ACTTAGGACCGAGGCTGAGTACCTGCTCAACGCTTGGTGGAAGAGGGATGTCGCCTATTACATGCAAAGGTTGGCTTTGGTGTCGTGTCTTTTGAGGAGTAAGGGATCTGAGATGCTTCAAAGTGAGTCGCCACAGATATTCGGTTGTGCGGTCAGTGAGGTTGGAGTACTCACGCCATGCTCGTTTTCCATAGGGTGGACTCAAATTGTTGCATAACTGTACGTACAAACTGTTCCGGTATAGTCTTGTCTGCCGGTACCACTCAGCTTGTAAAATCTTGCACAACCTTCTGCCGTGCCCTACTGATGGGGCAAAGCCTCCAAACAGTATCTTGACTTCCGGAGGTAGAAGGTGGACCCGGAGGCAGTAACTGAACGTCCGCGCTTGGCAGATGCTAATGGCGATGAGGGTCACAAGGACGTCGGGGTACAAATGAAGATGCAGAAAGGGGCCCGATGTACTAGAAATGAAATTGGTCAGAACTTCAGCTTGGGCGAGTCGGTAATTCATGATAATGCTTCACAGCGCACAAGATCAGACACACTTAAAAAGGAAAATCACGCATACACAGGAAGAACACTCACGCAGCGCTGACTGACAACTCAAATGTATTATGCCTCATCTTCATCTTCACTCACTCCGATGCAAATGGCAGTGAAACAAAAAATCAAGGATCATATGAAAAAGAGAAAAGGCAAGGACAGAAAAAGGATTAAAAACAAAATATAGAAGGAAGCAAAATATAGAAGGAAAAAAGTAATGAATTCCCTGTACAGCGGACGTTGCTACTGTGCTTTTTCTATATAGTTCAACTCTTTCTCCGTTAAGGCTAGCGAAGGAGTGCTAACACATATCCTATCTAGCCTTACAATGTTAGCGGTTTCTACTATTTCCCGCGTCGTTTTGTCCCTGCTCTGTCCCAGTATGGTGCATTTCTCTAGGAGGGGAGAACATCCACACGCTCTGCAGTGGAGGCCTAAATGACCTGAGTTGGAATTTATGGCATTGTTGTGGTGCTCACGAAGTCGGTCATTTAGACAGCGACCCGTCTGTCCGATGTAACACTTGCCACATGTGAGGGGGAAGGAATAGATGACTCCCTCAATGCAGGACACGAACTTGTTCAGGTGGTTTTTGATACATCCAACTGGTCGACTAGATGTCCCATTGACCTTCTTGCACAAGCTAGAAAGTCTATTTGGCGCGGAGAAGACAACGTCTACGTTGACTCTATTGGCCATTTTCTTAAGCTTGTGGGATAAGTTGTGGATGTAGGGAACTATGACAGGCCTTGTGGTGCGGTCTGCGTGTTATAGCTCCTTCCTGCTTGACCTCCCTGAGTAGGACTTCGGCAACGGAAGTTAATAAGGACGGGGGGTAGCCCGCTAAAACCAACCGAGAAATTTGCATGTTGAAACTCGTAGGGACTGTGTGTTTGCAAGATTTTTCCAGAGAGTTTTTTAGGCATAGTTTATAATGCCTCTTTTTACAAGCTTAGAGTGGGCGGAGCTATGGTTGAGGAGAGGCTTCTTTGCTCGAGGTTCGTACGACCAGCAGGTGTGATTGCTTTCAAAAAATAGTCGTAGGTCCAAGAATCTTATAGATCGCTCAACCGGAAGCTCATGGGTGAGTTTTAACGGGTGAAGGCAGTCCTTGAAGGTGGACAGAACACTGGCCACTAAGTCGGGGAAGGTTCCATTGTTACTGTCAAGTAAAATCAGGTAGTCATCCACGTACCGAAACACACGCACTACTTTGGACTGGTCAAGGTTATGCTGCAATAATCTGTTGTGAAATGCCAGATAAAGGTCACTGAGTACGGGAGCTATACAAGAACCGATACATACTCCCGTTTTCTGCAGGTATGTTAAGCCTTCCCAGGTGGCAAAAGTAGAATTCAAGTAGGTGATTATTAAATCTAGGAAACCCTTGACTGAGACGCCTGACGCGTTTTGAAAGGCTATGACACCAAAGGAGTCAACACTTTCTTCTATGCACCTAAGAAGACGGTCTTGAGGGAGGGCATAATAAAGGTCTTTGACGTCGATGGAAAAGGCGTTGAGACTTCTATCTGTGACATCATGGAGGAATTGCCAGACCTCATCTGAGCTCCTAATCAGGTAGGGATCATTGATGTCAAGAAGGTTTAGTTTGTCTTGGAGGAACACTGCGATGGACTTTTGCCAAGTGCCTCGTTCAGACACAATGACCCTGAGGGGGCAATCAGTCTTGTGCGTTTTTGCACTGAAGAAAATCTCAAGGCTGGATAATTTGCTTTTGTCGATGGATGAACAAAGTTGCTTGAGGTCAAGAGAGCTACATAGCTTCTTGGCTTGGCTTTTGATCTTACTTAAGGTGATATCTTGATGGCAATGGAAGACTGACTCAATGGCCGTTAAGGCCTTATTGCCAAACAAGGCCTTGTGCATGAGCACAAAACCGCCTTCTTTGTCTGCCGGCAGGAGAGATAAGCTATGCCCTCTTAAGTAGGTTTCAGCCCTTTTAATGGACAGTGGGCTGATCGGGGTTGTATGGCGCGAGAGAATGTCCACTCCTTCTGAAATACATCGATCATTTTCCGTGTGGACATTCATGTGGACATAATGAATGGCAAAGAAATGGGCAGTTTCCTTCAAGTAAAAAGGTTTCAGCATTCATAGAAACCGACTCAAGAGTTTATTTGATTTGAACCAAAATGACATCCTGAATAACCAATGCTTCGTAAAAAAAAAAAAAAAAAAAAAAAAAACAGCAGCTATGTGATTTTTTTTTTTTTTTTTTTTGGCAGAGGGGAAGTTTGGGAAATGCCATTACAAATTTCTGCATGTTAAAATATGCTACCCAGAACCAGTACTTCAAAACTGTGCTTCACAAATTTGTGCCAGGTAAACAAACTTGATATTCATAAGCCTCAAAAACAAAACAAGATGATTGCATTTCGTTCTAACTTGGCAAGTTCTACATTCAACCACAAATAGTTAGCTAAAAAAAAAAAAAAAAGTACAAGGAAGGCACGAACAACAGTTATTACACTAAATACAACCTCCTTTATAATATTTATACTTAAAAAAAGACCAAGTTGATCAGTCGAATAACTAGACCTGGGATTTCCGGGGCATATCCCAATTTCTAAGAGTTCAATTAGCAGTGTCAGCTATCAGTACACATCTATGAAGCAATTTCCATTTTGGTCTTCATCAAGTTTGTTGTCCTGAATTGTCCCAATTTTACGTCGAGTGTCCTGAAAGATTTAATATTGTCCCGATTGTCGCAACTTTTAAGTGTACAGTTACTTGACTAAAAGTGCCTTTCACCTATTTTTGCATCGGCAAGAAGCAAGCGTGACATTCTTTAGCAAATGGCTCCAACGACGACCGAACCGCGTGCACTGCCTTTTATGAGCCGGCTGCCTTCCCTGCAAAACATGATACATGCATTGCTCACGCTATGCATTGTGTGGCAGAGCAGATTTGAGAGTTGCACCCTGTGGCAAAGTCACTTGTGTCTGACATGAAAAAAGTGCTCTCTAAATCTGTGAAGCAACGCTCGCTCTTCGCCTCTATGAACCTACCCTTACCTCCCGACGGGGCACATTTTGAAGAGTAGCAATGTACAACGTGGGAAACCGCAGCACAGTGGCAGACTTCGTGAAGAAATTATAAGGGGACAACTGATGCCACGAAGCTGCTGCAAGAGATCGTGATCAGCAACGCTCTTGTTGCCAGCGAGCTCTGCATTATCGAGTAGAACGGATTTACACAAAACGCGATTGCAAGGCTGTAAACCGCGGGGCTCGATGTAGAGATGCAGTTTGGAATCTTGGATTTTGTCGCAGAGAATTTGGACAGCTCTGCGAAAGCAAACTTAGTAAGTCGCTCGAGAAAAACCCCGACATGGAGTGGGTACGTTCACCAAAAACTCCAAATGGCGTTTGTGACTTGGATGCCAAACGAGCCCTCAGGTTTTTACCGCCTGCCTCTGGAAGCAGAGCAGTTGTTCTCCGATTTTAACTTGTCAAACAGAAAAAAGGCACAGCTTAAGCAAACTAACACTCGAGATGTTCCTATTTCTTTCAATAAAAGCTGCATATTTAGTCGCTAAAAAACACTCAGAGCGTTCTCACAGAAGCTTGCATTGTCTTGGAAAGTGTCCCAATGTTTTGGCGTTTCCTATGCCAATTTTGATCCGGAAATCCCAGCTCTACTGATCACACAACCAGCTAAAAGGGGACAGGTGAAGCAGAAAGAGTGCTCAAAAACAAACTCAAATGTATGTCGTTTTCAAGCTTTACATAACCGGAATACCACTTACACAGCATGCGAGTTAATGATTTTTCATTTTAACTAAAAACTTGAGACTAAGTAAAGCAAGAAGGGGGAAAACATACACTTGGTGTATGATGATGAAGCAATTAATGAAAATTTTTGGTTAGCTCAGTTGGTACGGTGCTCCACCGGAAATGGAGAGGTCCCTGGTTCGATACCACCAGATTGGAATTTTTAAGTTGCGCACCAATCACCTAGCTGTTTTTGGAGATTAGTGTTTGTCCTTTGTCCCCTTCTTCCGGGATTATTCTCGTTCTACTTGGTGAATGTCTGCTTCTCACATACTTACCCTTTGAATACCCTCAAGATAAAAAAGACGGAAGACCAGCGGAGCTGTGCTCGATACACTGTGTGCTTCTTCTTCGTCGTCGCCTGTTTTTCGCGCCGTTTCCTACGATGAATTCTCACCAGCGCGCCAAACCATCCATTCTTTTATTACAGCTGGAAAGGTTGCCGCCATCTACGAGCGACGGTGGAAACCATACTGGTTGTGTGCTTGCTGCCGTCCTTATAGATGGCAGTAGCTGTCCAGGTAGGTTTGTGTCGACATACCGGACACGATCCTGGGGAACCTAGTCCTTAACAGCTCCGCTGTAAAAAAGAAATCCAGTATTCCAAGCTTTATTTGCACAACAAAAGTTATATGAATGCAAAATAAACAAAAGACAGCTGTCTCACAAAGGGAATCTACTATTTTATTTCTAGCATTTCAATCTCCAACACTGAAAATACCGTAATGCCTTTCTTTTTTCGGCATGCTTCCAAGGTTTCGAAATTCTTTTTTCAACGGGGCTCAAAGTCTAGCCAGCTCTGCTGACGACAGATCGCACAAAACTGAATGAAAAGACAAGACAACATTTGACCACATGTTTCACGCAGAGACTGCTTCAGGCATCCACTACCACATGGCTCTCTGCACCCCGGACATGTAGTTGTAGTCCGCAAAGTGACGGAACATTATCCGCGACACGCGCCAGGGACGGACGAAGGAACGAGCCCTGGAGGTGACCACGCATCGCCCGTGGATACGCGTTGTACAGCTGTTCAGCGGAAGCTCAGCAATCTCCTTGTCTGCTATTTCCTGCAACAGCAAAGGCATCGTGAAGATAAATCAGGGAAATATCTGTACCTTTTTCAGTCCTAGCAAGGAATGCATCATGTGGTGTTTGCAGGATAAAAAATGTTACATAGTATTCAAATAAACTAATGTTTGTTTCTTTGTTTGGAAGTCAGCTTTCTGGCTCGCTTTGCAGTTAACACTTTCCTGACCATGGGAAAAGTAGAAATTTTCAAAGGATCCGTGCAATTGCTTTTATTTTCCTAACTAACTTGCGTATGAAGCAAAATGACACACCAAAATCTGGCCAATTAGCTGTTATTTTAAAAAACAAAATGTAGAAAAAAAATTTCAAATGTTATTTTCTGAAAATGCAACGTAAGTATGGGAGGCATATAAACGCCGAAACTTCTACAGCTATGTCAAATTAAACAACAAATAATAAAAAAAATTCAGAAATTGTGCCCCACTCCCACGACTTCTGAAAGTTAGTGTATTCTAACTGATGTCTATTTTTTGTTCGTCGGAGTTAGCCTCCGTAACACGTGTGCTTTTTAAAGAAAGAATGCTTATATTGGTGAAGCATAATAGTACACCTCACATTCCCAGAATGCTTTTTTTGTGTTTCGCCCCGGTTTTGTCATAGCAGTAAGTGTAGTTCTCTCATATTTAACATTTCTGTCCAGCTTGTTGGGAACATTAAATGTGCACGTCGGCTCAGGACAGCCTTGCAAGTTATAGTGATGCTTACCGACAACCATCTGTTAAGTGATACCTATACCATAATTTAGAGTGACTCCACATCTCTTGAGGTATAAAAAAATATGCCCCAATACAGTTGAATTACGTAAATAATGCCATCTTTGTTTCGAAGACTGACGCAAGCAGTTAGCCACATTAGGCAAGTGAAACCACCGTTCCCAGGACTGTTTTTGACAGCCCACCACCTTGTGATTAAACCTACCTTGAAATTGAAACTAGTGCTCTTCGGCTATCCACACGATATTGGAATATAATTCCTCGCACGAAACTTAACTTCTTGACGGTGCTTGGAAACCATCGATCACCGGTGACTGATGGCTTATAGGTGCGGTCAGGAAAAAGTTGAGAACAAAAATACCTCAAGAAAATAAAATTAGAGACCGTAAATTTTACCAAAAAATATAACCGAGACGTTGCTCATGTACTGTGCTCAGTCTCAGAGATCTGCTCATCATGTTTAATGCTTGGGAGAAGAGCGTGTTGGTTTAAGTCATGGATGAAGAAAGAATAAAACAATTAAGACAGGGACAACACAACCACATGAAAGATGTGGTTGTGTTGTCCCTGTTTTAATTGTTTTATTCTTTCTTCATCCATCATGTTTAGCCTTCACCAAACCTTTCGTGCCCTTACCTTTCAGTACATTTTTGTTTCTTTCAAAGGAAATAGGACTGAATTTGTCAGGGAAAGTATGCATCCGTTCTTCAGACATGTTCCAAAGCTAGAAATGTGCAAACCAGTAACTACGCATAATTTTGTGATTGATGTAAAGGTGAGTCCCCCTTTTTTCCTGTACGTGAAAAAACATACTTTTGCAATTACAAATTTACGCTGTACAATAATCATGCCATATAAATAGGGTTCAGAGTTTTCGGTTTAAACCCATAAAAAATGATAAAAGTATGCCGAACCCATTTTTGGAAATTCAGTTTTAACCGAAAAAGGTCGGTTTGCAAATTCGGTTTAAACCAATAAAAGTATGTCTAATCCGTTCTCTAAAATTCAGTGTTAACCGAAAAAGGTCAGTTTTTAAGGCCGCGTCGAGGTTGGTGGGGGAGGGAGGGAGAAAGAGAGAGGGCTTTGCAAGGTTAGACATTGTGTGACGTCTTCATCATTGCCTTCTTCCAAGGTTCAACATACAACGAAAAAGAAGTCTTGGATTGGCCTTCGCGGGACATCTGTGTCCTTTCTGTGATCGGGCTAAGTGTAACAAATTCCTGGTCAAAAAAAAAAAAAAAAGTTTGGATGTCGGCTAGTATAAGGTTTTTCGCTTCATGCACTTTAGAGGACATCGAGGAGAGCCTTTCTTATTACCCTCTCTCAAACTTCCCTGTGGTTGACAACATAAATACAATGGATTATTTTTTTTGCCATTCCGCTGGTTCCTATACGGTCATCACCTTGGACGGTCACGTCGTCAGAGTGGGAAGGGAAAAGAAGCGCGCTAAAGATTATGCCCGCGAATTCGGCGATTTTGAGGTGTGTCCTGATGGAAGTTGCAGCGAAGACCACGTATGTACACGTGCCGTTATTCTTTGAGTGATCACAAATATCAGAGCTACAAGGATCATCTGATCCGGTGTCCGATGGTGTTTCTTTCATATTCACCGAAAGAAACCGGTAAACCTTTTTGGGAATAAATATACACCGAAGAAAACCGAAAATTGAATTTTAAAATAAGCACCTAAAAAGTATGCCGAATTTTAAAAAAATAAAAACCAAAAGCGCGGAACTCTACGTATAACACCTCAGACTGTGGTGGAAGAAATTGGAAACATTTTAGTAGAAGGAACAGACACAGAAAGGGACATCCTCTTTCAAATTTCTAGTTTCAAATTTCTTCCACCACAGTCTCAGGTGTTATATGGCATGATTAGCTAGTACCAGCTCGCCTGCACACTCACTGTCTTTTCACTTATGTACAATAATCTAGCTACAAATGGAATTAGATAACATGTTAGGATAAAATCAAATAAACAAGGCTATGACGCATTACTAGTGGCCCACCAACACCAACATTTATCGTTTGCTTTTACACACCATAACCAGACATCTAATCAGGTACACTGCAGCAACCATGAACTTGCTGCCGGCCGCACATGATAGCTAGATCAGGCTATATATTGAGGTGTAATGCTGTTGCGGGCTTACTGAGGTGACAATAGACTTAAAATACTTCGAATAATAATCTATTTTCACTTTACAGAAAGTGAAAGAAAAGAAATAACGACAAAACTTGTCCTGCGGACGCTTTAAAGGGACGGCACCACGTGACTGTTCTCGCTGATAAGTTCCCGGGTTGCCGCTCGCACTGCATTCGCATTCAGTGACCTTGTTTCCAAAGCAAATCTTGATCCTGTAAACTTACACTTTTCCCGAAATTTGACGAGAAATAAAAATGGAACGGGCCACGACTCGATAAAGCCTTAGCAACAACGCCCAGTTAGGCCTACTACAATATCTATGATTCAACTTTATTCTGTACCCCCAATAATACATATATACAAAGGGGTAAATAACTGTTTTAAGACTCAGAAAAAAAAAAAAAAAAGGAGATGTTTCGTTTGAAATTGCTACCTGAAGTGCCCTGGGCAAGATGTCGTTTTTTCGCAGAGAATTTATGTTGATCCTCAGACGGGCGTATTCCTTCACGATTCTGCGTCGTTTTGCGTCACGGGCCATCCTCCAGTCCGTGTACATGAACCGTCGCGGACTCAGGGAACCCAACGTAGTCGTCGACTGTAAATTAAAAACGCAGAAAATAAAGTCAGGAAGTTGTATCTTTGACAACTTAGAAGTGGTCACATCATAGTGTGACTAATGGAAGTCCGAAGAACAGCCTCTACTGACAACGCCTACTCATCAAACAAAGCATCAAAGATGCGTCGATGCAAGCAAAATAACTAAAGTACCTTCAAACGTAACTTAAAAATGTAAAGCGTCACTGAACATAGAAGCTGAAGCACGCTGTGCATGTTGGATACGCAAATGTGATTGGAGGGCAAACGTTTTGGACAGTTTGGTGGGTTTCTACATCTCAGATCGACGAAAAACTTGCCTGTCCGGAAAGAGCTGCATTCGCCAGACACCTCGTTGCTCCGAGGAGCTTATTCATTGCTAAACTCAAAGCGGTATTCATTTAAGCTCGCTCAATCAGATAGAATCAATAAAACCGGAGCATGCGGGCCGCCATGACAGTCAGCTAGATTTAGGACCGCATTTTGATAATAAACTTCTTTACAAGCTTTTTATAAAAATATTTAATAAATTTAAAATTACCATAATGTTTTACTTTAATAAAATATTTATAAATGTTTGCATAACAAAGCGTTTTGTGAACGTATTGATGACGTCATAACCAAGTCGATATATAGCACGTGACCCGCCGCCGTCACTTCTCTTCGCTCTCCGTCGGTTGTGTTGGTGAGTTGTGCTGCCTCTTTTATCCGCGTTTTGCTGGGTCAAATTATTGGCATCCGTCAAGAACATTGGGTCAGTTTTTAACTATCAGGATAATTCTTGACGTTTGCGGCATTATTTTCGGGCGGTGGTTACTGTTTCACCTGTTCGGATTGGTTGGACGTTTCCGGGGTAGCCGGTGCTGATCCCCGTGATGGCGGTGCGAAAGGCCGCCCGACTTTCCGTGCTGGTTACCACGTCTCCGAGTTCCGGTTCGCCAAAAATTCGCTTCCGAACCGAGCTTACGCCTTCTGCAACGAGTGGACTGGTGTGGACCAGCCACTATCACATTCGCTTGTCATTAGCAGTGTGTTTCTACGCCTCGTGGCGACGAAAATTTTTGGGTCGCCATTTTGACTGCGCACGCCATTCCCCGCTCCGCTTTTGTGCCCATTGCTGTTTGCCGGCGCGGCCGCGAACTTCCAGTGTCCGGGCGCTAGGAGCGCCGACTTCAGGGGGTCTTCAACTCCGTTTGACGAGCTCATCTCTGTCTTTCTTTTGCAGTCAGGGGCACACGCCACGATCACCCGAAGTCATGGGAAAGGAAAAGACGCACATTAACATCGTGGTCATCGGCCACGTCGATTCCGGCAAGTCGACGACCACCGGTCACCTGATCTACAAATGCGGTGGTATCGACAAGCGTACCATCGAGAAGTTCGAGAAGGAAGCCCAAGAGGTCAGTTTTTCGGGGTTCCTCCTGACCGCTTTTTCCCTGCGCCCGTCGGTCCTTTATCGGAGCGGGCGGAGTTCGCCATATTGTCTGGTCGCCGGCCGGCGTGATGCGGTTCCAAGCTTCGCGTTTGGGGAATTGGGTTTTTCTGTATGTTGAGCTGAGATCAGTTACAGCTGGAAAAACTTGTGTTGGTTCGGAGGCGATAGGCCATGTGCGCATGAAGTTACGTTAGGCTTGCTGGTCAGTGCTTCGAATGCTTCTTTCAACAAGCAAGTTCATTACTCCCTAAGCATTTTATGGCCCAACGCAGACTACGCTGTGTATTAGTCAAGTAAATTCAAAAGGGGGCATATGGTACTGGGATAAATGAAGTATACTTCAAGTGTGGCTAAAACTCGATTTTGGCACAGCTTTGTTAAAGACAATGATCACTCTCTTCCTGCTTCTTAGTCTCAAATTTGACTTCTAAGTTTTGCCAGCACTCCTGCACTCTAAATTTTTTTGGCTTTCATTCAAACATTTTGCCATTGGTTTGGTGAGAATGGTGTATGTTCCGCTTGCTTGCAGATGGGCAAGGGCTCCTTCAAGTACGCCTGGGTGTTGGACAAGCTGAAGGCAGAGCGTGAACGTGGTATCACCATCGATATCACCCTGTGGAAGTTCGAGACCCCCAGGTACTACGTGACCGTCATCGATGCCCCGGGACATCGTGATTTCATCAAGAACATGATCACGGGTACCTCCCAGGTCAGTCTGGCAGTCCCCTTTGGCTAGTTTTAGCACTGGACAACCTCCAATTATCTTCAGTCTTTCAACCTTTGTAAGTGAACACTAGAGAACTGGACTCTACTCCTAGTGTTTCCTTGCAATAGTGGGAGGACTTCACAGGTGTTAGTGCTGCTTTTAACCTGCAATGGGGGTATAGTTTGTACAGCTTTTAGATGACCTATGTAAAGTACCTCATATTTGTTTCATGCTAGTGCAATTTACACTTTTGGTGCCGGTACTCTTGATAATACTGGTCTAGATGAGTTTAGTGGATAGTTTTTCCACCACCAGCTATAGTCTGACAGGTTAAGAATTCGGGAGACTTGTCTCCCACCCCTCCTACACTTTAGCAGACCAAATGCTTGAGAGGTCGTCTCCTCTCCAATATTCACTTCGCTAAAGTGGAGAGGTGGGGGGGGAGCTTTCCTTTAACTCTTAACCTGTCGGACTATAGCAGCCAGTTAACAATGGGAACGGAGCAGTGCAGTTACTGGCGTTATTCTCTGCCATCTTACTCAAACTACAATTAGTCAATCTTGTTTATGGCATTGTTGGGAGAAAATTTTGCCAAGGATGCAAAGACCTTCGCTGCTGGCAGCCACTTGTTTCTTATGCTTGCACGTCTTATATTCAAAAGGGATTTCGAGGAATATGGCAGACACCAGCCTCTAGGCGTTGTGCTTTGTTTGACCCTGATGTCCCTTCCAGGCCGACTGTGCCGTGCTGGTTGTGGCTGCTGGTACTGGTGAGTTCGAGGCTGGTATCTCCAAGAACGGTCAGACCAGAGAGCATGCTCTGCTGGCCTACACCCTGGGTGTGAAGCAGATGATTGTGGGTGTCAACAAGATGGACACCACTGAGCCCCCCTTCTCTCAAACCCGTTTCGAGGAAATCCAGAAGGAAGTGTCTGCCTACATCAAGAAAATTGGCTACAACCCAGCCACCGTCCCCTTCGTGCCCATCTCCGGCTGGAACGGTGACAACATGCTGGACGCCAGCCCCAACATGGGCTGGTACAAGGGCTGGACCATTGAGCGCAAGTCTGGCAAGTCTGAGGGCAAGTCCCTGCTGCAGGCCCTGGACGCCATGGAGCCCCCCACCCGTCCCACGGACAAGCCCCTCCGACTTCCCCTGCAGGACGTCTACAAGATTGGTGGTATCGGCACGGTCCCGGTCGGCCGTGTGGAGACTGGTCTCCTCAAGCCCGGCATGGTGGTGACCTTCGCCCCCGCCAACATCACCACTGAGGTCAAGTCTGTGGAGATGCATCACGAGGCTCTGACGGAAGCCGTGCCCGGAGACAACGTGGGCTTCAACGTCAAGAACGTGTCTGTGAAGGAGTTGCGTCGTGGCTACGTGTGTGGAGACTCCAAGGACTCTCCACCCAAGTCTACGGAGGAGTTCACCGCCCAGGTGATTGTGCTGAACCACCCTGGCCAGATCTCCAACGGCTACACGCCTGTTCTGGACTGCCACACGGCTCACATTGCCTGCAAGTTCCGTGAGATCAAGGAGAAGTGCGACCGTCGTTCTGGCAAGAAGCTGGAAGGTACGGTCATCTCAATGGCTAGAGGACACCAGCCTGACTGGTGTCTTCGAGGAATCCTTATTCCAGAAATCCTGGGACCATAGGTCTCCGGGATGAGGATGCCTCGAGGACATCAGTCTTGATAGTTCAAGGTTTTTTTTTTTGGTTTTTTTTAGTAGTCTTCAGTATTTAGCTAGTTCTGATGTCTTGTCCTTGTCTTTTGCAGACAACCCAAAGTTCATCAAGTCTGGAGATGCTGCCATCATCGACCTGGTGCCCTCCAAGCCGATGTGCGTGGAGACCTTCACCGACTTCCCACCCTTGGGTCGCTTTGCCGTGCGTGACATGAGGCAGACGGTGGCTGTGGGCGTCATCAAGTCTGTGAAGCCCAAGGAGGCATCTGGTGGCAAGGTCACCAAGGCTGCTGAGAAGGCCCAGAAGAAGAAATAACTATGGCTACTTGGCAGGGCCACTCCAGAGCAGCAGCCACGGCAGCAGGGCTGCTGGCCCCCGGCCGGGACAAGGCTCCTGGCACACTTTCGTTTGGTTACTCTGTTTCTCAACCTTTGGTTGCTGTGTCAGTGTCACCGCAAAGAGTTCAGGAGGAAAAAAAGTCTGTGCCCCTTACCTGTTGAGATGTTGTCATTGGGTGTTTCTATTTTAAAGCGACACAAATAAAAGCCAAGCTGTATCGCCCTTCGAGTCTGGGTGTCCATCCTCTTTATTTCTCTCAATCTTGGTTCTGTTTTGAAATAGGTGGGTGTGCCTTTGTTGAATCTCATCTCGATTAAACTGCTTGGGTAATTAGAAACCATGGCATAGTGCAATGCCACAAATCTGTTCACTCGTCTGAATTGTTAGGTTATTGAAGGGTAAAATTGAGCTTGCTAGGGCTTAAATGGAAAGTGCAGGAATTGGTGACGGGCCATTTATGCAGGACTTGTTCGTCTAATCCGAATATTGCTTGAAGGTCCAAATGTGTAGTCCCGCTCTTCACTCTACTGCTTCCGCATTATGAGCGGGGTGGATCCAGACTGCAAAATACGAATTCAATGTCTGGCGGGCACGAGATATACTGAAGGCCCACCTAAACCGAAAACCTGAAGTCTGATAATCGGTGCCCGTGTGCCACTCATCTCAATGACAATAGACATAGAGATCAGTGCCGTGTACGCAACCGACAGAACTTTAAATGCAAATTATTATAGATTTTAATTACCTACAAGCGTTGCTGTCGTGTATTAAAACAACTTTTCCATTCGTGCGCCTCTGTTACACGGGTTACACGCTAGGCTAGAGTGCCTTCATGTGCGCTCACATGAAGGCTCCCTACGCTAGGCTAGAGTAATAGCGAGTTCGTTTCACACGCACAGGCACCGTTCGAGTTCTCTCCCAGAATGCACCGCACTCTCAGAGTGTTGCACGGAAAACTGGACTCAAACGAACTCGCCAAATGCACCGAGTGCAGAAGATTGATGCTGCCGCCATCTATGTTGTAGAAAAGGTACCGACTTCAAACCGAAACTAGCGCCTTTCTGATCGGAGTGGTGCGTGGGAATGCGAGAATGCAGTCGCTACCAACGTTTATCTACAAACGTTGGTCGCTGCAACCTGTAGTTTATAGTTGCGATGACTTCAAACAGCTCGGCTGCCGTAGAGATAGTTACAGGCGGCGTAAATTTCCGCAACCAGCTGTCTACAAAGCAGCTGGTTGCGATCTTTCAATTCTTACAACTGTTTACACTGAAGAAAACTGATGATACTGTCCGAGCACAAGCATGATCCGTTTAAGCATGGTATTATGCGTGAACCACTGAAAGGGTGCGGCTTAAAACTAGCCTGTTGGAATATCCAGCAAAACTGGGACTTTCGATTTGGATCGTCAATATAGGTGGATCAGATATTAGCCTTGGTGAGGGCGTCGAGAACGAGAGCATTCTCGAACAAAATACGACGGGGCAAGTTAGCTGACGTAGGTAAATGTTAAACATGATGATGTTGCCCAATCCTCGGGTAAAGTCTCCATCTTTAGCTTTCTCTGATGCTTATTAGGCAGTCAGAGGTTTCTGCTGGGGGAGTTTTGTCGACAAATGTTAAATTTTTCACCCGCACACGGATGGTGATAGATATCTCGGGGGCTGCTGTTACGTTTGTTCTGATCATTCCTTTTCACACTGGTATATTTCAGCGTTTGTACGGCAACAAAGCGATTTAAAACCGGCAAATAAATCATGGGTTGTCAATTGCTTCCTTCGGGAAATAGCAGACGCTCACAATTCAAGCTCGCGTTTGATTTCGTGGCCCCAGGGACGCGTTTTTTTATCAGAAAATCTACTTTTTTTTTCGTTCGGTTCCGCGACACATCGTAGCAGACGAACCCTGGTCGTCTGCTCCCGCTCCTTGCCGGCCCCGCCGGAGCGAGGCATGACGGGATTGCATTTTGGCGCACTCCCGATTTTCTCGGTGCAGCGAGTGCATGCACGCGTGGGGTGTCAGCGCTGAAACGAACTCGGAGAGTGCAACCACTCGTGGAGTGCCGGCCGAAACGAACCCGTTCCTCGCTGCGAGTGGGCACGCGTGGGCACGAGTGCCGTGAAACGAACTCGCTATAACTCATGACTCGCCTCGTAGCTCATAGAGGGGCTTTAGTAGCTCACGCTTTGCACTTTTGATACTGTGGCTCAAGAGTAACCTACCTCGTTAAAATAAACAATCAAAATGCAACAAATAAAAAGAAAAAAACTAAAAAATAGTGTAATAATGTCACTACTAAAAAAAAAAAAAAAGATTGTATGCAGCGCCATCTCTACTTGAAAGCGAGAAGTAACTCTAGCCAGTGCTGCCCTCTTTTAGCCCGTATTGTATCGATTCGTCAGATGATGACGGTCGCGTAGATGGTGGGATGGTGCGCGATACACGCTGATTACGTTGTCGGAAATCATGTGATTCAGTCAAAAGATTTCCTCGCTTTCGCTTTCCTCATACAGCGCGTAGCGCGTAGTTTGGCAGTGTCGTTGGTGTCGTCGGAGCAGTCGGGTTTCAGTCGCCCGCGGTCCAACCAGTTCAACCATGCACGCCGTTCGCCTGGTTTGCGCCGTCGCGGCGCTCTCCGTGGTGAGTCCACACCACTTTCGTACTGTGTTTGCGGGTCGGACTTCGCAAGCTGTGCAGTTAACTTTGGGCCAACTTTCCTAGTTCATTTTCTCATTACGAGGGAAGCTGGGGGGAAGTTGCTGATTCATGATAGGTAGCAACAACGCTAAAAAAGACCGGGTGTACTGAGAAGACAACCCAAGGTCCACCGAAATTGGACACCTGTAAAATTTACGCACGCCACATTAATAACATTAACTCAGATTTCGCGGGTGCGTTTAGTTTCATGACACTGCATTTCAGAAAGAAGTGATAGAGCGCACCTGTCTTCCTGTGAATCTCCTATGTTGACCTGTTTTTTTTTTTTTTTTTTTTTTTTTTTTTTTTTTTTGGCGCCGTAGTTGACAAGTGTTGACACTCCATGCTTCTCTCCGTAATATGTCTGTCGAAGTGCTAATCGAGTGCTCCTGACCTAGAGCGTTATCCATCCTTTCACTTGGATGAAATGTCAATGACAGGGTAAGAACTGACACTAGCATCTCTTTCGGATACCCGGCCAAGAGCAGTTGCCCGTTGCCTTCCGTGATGCTGCGCGTGCACGCTCTAAGGCTCCGAAACATAGAAGGTAGAAAGCTGACGCTGGAGGCGAGACGACTATAAAAACCTCCCTACCGTTTTTCTTTTCTTCTCGAGTTACCGAATTAGCGTGCACGATTCCAGGGGCATTACTTCGACACTGCATGACACGCCTTCGGTGCTTATCTTAACTTCTCTATCAGTCTGCCAATTGTTTCGAGCAGTTGTTCGCTAGATTGATAGATATGCAGCCGAGGTCTCTCAGAGTGCAATTCGGTGCTGTTAAACCCTACCCCAACGAAACAAAATGAGGGATTTGTTTATTTGTGGAGACCCTGGAACACCCAAGGTTCATTAGCAAGGGAGCAGTCAAGACGTACGAGTTCTGCACAAATCTACAAATATTGATGAACTCTCCTATTGTCCATCTTATAACCCAGGAAGACCAGCATCCGTTACATCCGTTTGACGAAACATTAAACAAGAGAGGTTGTTTGAAAGCAATGAAACTGATTTCACTCCTGTGCCGAAGGCACTTTTCTGTGTCATCCTGATAAAAATCGTGGCTGGCCAAATTATGCAGTGACTTCATAGCTAAGCCAGTGGAGACCAACATTAACAAGTGGCTTGTACTGCCTACAGCAAAAATTGGTAAGAGACTTGCAAAATTTATGATTCTCCTTACTACATTTATGTGATCATAAAATTTCATAACTAGCGTGCTCAAAAGTACATTGCAAAATAATATTTAGGTGCTCTAAAGGGTTCAAACTCATTTTTGGTACTTCAGGTGCTCCAAGAGCCATTTTTAGGTGTTCCAAAGTGCTCGAAAATTTGTGTTCTATTGCTTCAAAAATTGCTCCAAGTCACAATTTGTTCATTCTTGATCTGACGTAGTATATGTTATGCATTAGTTTCAAGTGACCTAAACACATCTTGTATGGAAATGCCCTGTTTAAAGGGATTGTCCGGTCGAAACCGGAAGCACTTGAGTTTTTGCACTCGTTACATTGAGGGAGTGTTCATAAGTCAAACATACTTTTTGTTCAGATATATGATGTTCCTATATTTTAAACCATTCATGAGTGTGTGTGTGTGTACGAAACTGCAACCCAAATTTCGCCATCGTCAATAGCTGACATTTGTAGCTGCTGCTTGTCGCATAACTCGAAGGCTCGTCGGATGGTCGGGATGACAAGCCTTGGTCGATGGATGTCTTGTATTTTGTTTGAAATTTTAAGTCTCCTAGGCTGTACTCTACTGAAATATGTTTCTTGTAGTGCAGCTCCCAAGCGTGTGCAAAAAAGTCTCACCTTTGGCAAGATATTGCTTGAAAACAGCCTTTAGCTTTGAACCGACGTATGCCGTTTCGCGCAAACACAACTGTGACAGCCACCGATCTGACAAGGACCGCTTGATAAGAGAAGGATGCAGATTTTGCCTTTAAAGCGGCACCTGGGTCCATGAAGCGGCATCTGGGTCCACATATCGGCAAATCCGCTGGATCGGTGACGCGGCTGCGGGTCTTTCTTTTGGAGGCGATGCCAGCGGTTAACGCAAACGGCGACTCGTTCAAAATGTATGTAACATTCCTAGATCGTCACTCGACTCGGACGAGCTTGGTGAATTGTAGCTTGGCTCCATTTTCACACGCTGGTCAAACGGAATCGGGCAGCGAGCGTCCTAAATATAACATTTGGCATTGTTTCAAGATGGCCTAGCTATTGCTTTCGGTTTCTCTGCATAATCAAACCGATTGATCCGGTTTGGGCGAGGTGTGAGTGGATATAGTTGAATATCGTTGGTGCAGCATCACACCTCAGCTTACGAGCCTTCTGCCTGCTAAGAGCTAAGTCTTAGCTCTCTTCTGTAAAATGATTGCTGCATAAGCGGGATCTCGATCTTGACGTGAACACAGTGTTTCCTATGTACAGTCCCCCACAATATGAAAGACCCACTGGGAGCGCGTGGCCGAGGCGGTGGCTGGCAGGGGCGTTGCGAGCGCTCCGGGCAATTCCATTCTGCTTCGAGGGGAGGACGCTCACTCGGGACTCGGCACAAACTGATAAGCGCGTTGCGCTTTAACTGAGCCTCGAGTGAGTGTCCTCCCCTCGAAGCAGAATGGAATTGCCCGGAGCGCTCGCAACGCCCCCGCCAGCCACCGCCTCGGCCACGCTCTCCCAGTGGGTCTTTCATATTGCGGGGGACTGTACCTTCCACGGTGACGGTTCATTTTGCTCGTTGCTGCACGTCTCGCGGAAAAGTATGGAACGTTGCGTTTGGCTCGCAGGTGCTGCCCAGTGGTTGTGGCACCCAACTGTGAAACAAAAATTTCACCCATCCAAAGAAACAAGTCGAGTACAACAACAAAAATGAAGCACGCTGCAACGTTCATTTGCAGGCAAACGACGAGACAGAGGTGCTCACTTTGTGTTACGTGACACCAGAGCTTCAGTGTTGGTAATGAAAGCACTGTTTACGCTAGGATGCAATTGGAGACTTTTAAAATTCAATAACTTATGCCAAGGGGCATATAAAATTCAGATATTGCAAGGACGATGCATTTTGGAACAATGATATTCAATTGTTTTCTCGAACACAATTTAAATTGAGGATAATGTTTCATCGCACCAATGCACTCTTCATACTCATACCTTCCAAAAACAAATCTCACAGCCTTGTTTTGAACTCCTTCAATATGATTGATAAGCACAGAGCAAAAAAAAATTCCAAATTGCAAGGACATGTTCAGTCAGCAATCAGACATGGCTGCAATAAAGATTCCTTCGTACATTCCCCCCCCCCCCCCAAAAAAAAATGTATATTTTGACATTTAGACAAAAACAAGAAAAAAACATGCAGCTCTCAAAATGCCTTTTTAAAATCCTAAGATTTGGTTGCTCCAGTTGTAACAAGTGAGGTAGGAGTCTTTACATCTGTGTCAAGCACCGACCCAAGTTTTCCATTTTCGTTATCTAGTGCATGGTGCCTCAATAAGGGTTACCTACTTGCGGTGGTTTGTCATCTGGAGTTACATATCTGTGCTACAGTAAAGAATGAATGGTATAGGAATGCTAGCATGGGGTTTCATTTTACTCTACCCTTTTTGTCTTGTTACCTGTCAATGACTCAACAAGTTGGAGTCATTGGCTGACGGGTTTGTCTTTGCAATGTCTTTCAGTCTTTTAAAATTGTGGGAAGGCAGATAATGGCAGGATAGGTACATAATGGTGTTGGACGCAAGGCTCCTATTTTTTCTTTTTGATTAACGACCTCCGGCTGTCGTAAACGTCACTTTTCAAAAGTAGTCGAGGTAGGGTACCCACCTGGGTTTGTTTCGCAGTCCTAAAAATCGTTGGTGTAAAAAGAAAAGACGAACAAAACGGCACAGATGCAGGGTTCCGTCTGCCTGCATCTTTCACTTCTATCTTTGTATTGTTTAAAAAAAAATGAATGGACATTCACTTACAGGTATTCAGCAAGTTTTTATTTTTTAACTTCAGAGCGTTCGATGTATGAACTCAAAGTAGGTGGTTAGGCTGATTTTGGGGTGACATCGACTCCAACTTGATATTCACAGGCAAGTCAGGCAGTCTGTTTTTACCTGGGAACAAAGATTCTAATGTATGCTGCATCAAATTTCCTGCCTGCGAGCTAAAGTCGTTTTACCTGTACATCAAATACATGCAGCTTTTCGGTTGCCACGGCAACGGAACCTTCCGAGCACAGGTGCCAACACGGCCGCAGGGGATGTAAACTATAGTTAGTTTTGTTTGATATGTTTGTGTTTGAATGAGCCCAGTTTTATGCGCCTGCCCTCTGTCACAGTCGTGACATGTTTTTTAGCTCACGAGCCAAGGTTGAAGGCTGTTTATAAAAGTGCTCGACAAGAATTAGTCACACAAAAGTTTATGTGCGATGTAGGTTCGGGGGGGTACTTACTCTCTTGCTTGTTTCTCTGAAAACTGTCTTGAAAAACTGTCTTTTGTCATTTATGGTTGTTTTAAAGAGCTGGAGCTTAGAAATGGGAGGATTTGGCATTTTTCAATGATTGTAGGTTTATACTTTAACATCTTTGCTCCACATTAGCTTACTTACAGGGTGTTTCTTTTTAAGCGTAACAGATTTGTTTTAAAAAAGCTGTGAAAGCTACACTAATGCAGTTTCTGCAGGTGGGTTATATGGTCAGGGGGAGACAGTTTCGGGGTCTGATTGTACCAATTGGTCAGCTAGTTGTCTAGAATGTTGCCGTATGTTTAAATTATCGAAAATGAACATATGGTTTTAAGTCGAAACATGCTGAGTGTCGTCGAAATATACTAGATCGGTCACTATTGGAAAGACTTGTAGCGCTAGCGGTATCAGTCATGCAGCAGGAGCAAGGCTACTGGTGCTATAAGGCTTCTGCATGGTTTTTCTGTCTTGTCATTCGCTTTTTCTTACCCCAGCCTTGTGCCTGTTGCGGGAGTGCTAACTTTAGGGCTCTATTGCATGTCTCATGCACTCAGTCTTCCTAATACTGATGTGGTGGTTTTCGATGATGCTTGTCAAGTTTCTAATTGGAACGATGTGTGTATTTTCACCAATTAAAAAGTTGTTGAACAAATTTTAGAACTATTAGACTTATTATAGCAATTAGTCCCTTATATTATGTCCCATGGCCGTATAACTTGCCTGCACAAACTGCGTTAAAATAACTTTTGCAGCGTAAAAAAAAAAAAAAAAAAAAATTTTAAAGAGAAACACCTTGTATAACACTAAGTCTGTAAGGAAGTTCTGTGGACCCCCGTTTCTGACTTCAGTAGTTAATAGGCATGCTGACACGGCTGTTTTTGTGAATACGCGTCATCATTCGTCGTGGGAGTTTCGTCTCTGTCGGTCTTCAGTGTACTACTGCGTGATTCAATGACTGAAAAGTTCTAATCTGCAACATAAACCAGTGTCGCCATACCTCAAAGGCAGGTTGACCCTGCACTGTCTAAACACAAGCGTCGAGGTTTTCTTTTTAGAGCGGAGCTCTTAGGGGCCCGTTTTCAGCCTGAGCGCCGTCGCCGTCGGCGTACCCCCCCCCCCCCCCCCCCAAGGTCACGTGACCCCCCAAGGTCACGTGACCCCCCCCCCCCCCCCCAAGTCACGTGACCCCCCTCCCCCGAGATCACGTGACCCCCCCGGGGTCACGTGACTACCCGCAGGTGACGTGACCCCCCTCAGTACCCTTCCCTACTCCTCCTCAAGAGCTGCGCTCCAATTCGGCGTTACAGGGATTTGTAAACGGCTTTCATTTCTTTCCTCTGAGACATGGTAAAAATGTTAGGGGACTACTCTATACTCCATTCACCCCTAAACTGAGACTGCGGCGGGAGCTAGGTGCTCGCAGGACCATCGGCCACCTCCTTCTTGTCACCTAATCAGACTCTTTGCGCGTGCACATGGGCGGGAGCGTGATCACGTTGCGAAAGAGAGGCGTATGACTAGCCCAATGAGGACGTAGCCTCCGCCGCAGTCTCAGCTTAGGGGTGAACGGAGTATAACACAAAAAACTAGCACAGTGCTTGGTGTTTGTCCACTAGCACAAGTGCCAGGATGTGATGTTGAGTGAAAGCACAATAAAAGAAATGGTTACAAATTGGTGCCGTAATCAGCAGGGAACCACTATGCACGGATGAAATGACAACGTAGCTCTGAATCTTTTGTGGTAGGGAGAGTCCCGTTGACACGCAGCTTGTGCCGGCATGTGGAATTAATGGCTCGTGTGCTCGTATTGCGGCATTACGTATCCTGGATTGAGGTCTCTGCACGTCCTGTTTTGGAAGGGTGTTATAATAATAGCTTTAGGTCACCAACGTAGGTGAGAAACTTTGATAGGTTGTCTAGACTGTTTGATTCACAAAGTTGGAATGTGCTCTGAATCTGCTTTCATAGGGCAGCTTTATTTTTGATTCTTTTACTGGAATGCTGGATGCAAATAAAAAATCAAAAAATATTTTTTTTTTCTCAATTGGTTTTTGTGACAAGAGGAATGCACTCTTCTCAAAAGGTTAATGAGTTTGCCTGTTTGTATACTTCGAAGATATTCTTATTCTTGACCTTCTTAAATAAGTAGATGAAAGTTGATATTCTTAAGAATGTCAATTTATACTATTCAGAATATTTGATAATCTTAGTAGAGCTTCATTCAACCTTGTCAAGTACTGCAAATATCATATTTTTTAATGATATGGGCTCATTCTGTCCCAGTCCTTCCTCAAGGTTAGGAAATGGAATTCACCTTCATATCCCGAGAGATAGCCCACCTAAAATAGAGCAAATTGAGTGAAAATAAGGAGTAAACTATCCTTCAGTGTTGTCAACAACAAAAAAAAAAAGGTTGAAATAATGCTAGTTATAGATTTTGTGACCTGCAAAACTTGTGATGACAGCAAGGGACGATGAACTCAAGACTACTGCCTTTCCCAGTTGGCAATGCTTGGTTACCTCCCATCATGGCTAAGTGACACCATTTCTGCCATGGTCACCATTGACCAGGGCCCTGCAATTACTGGAATTACCTTTAGGTGTTATTGAAAGAAAGGAAATCGTGCCAAAAATAAGGAGTTATCTTTCAGAGGTGGGGCATCTCTCTGGATATTACTGTATGTATTGGGCTAGTAAAGGATCTGGTGTGTTCGTTCAGTCAGTCTGCCATTTATTTCTTTTATTTTGTTTTATTTGAATACAGTTGTCTGCTTGGTTTAATCGACTTGAAAAAGGATGGATTTTCTCAGCCCGGGCTTGTACAGTACAATCCACTTATAACGATACCACATATAAATATGTACTGCTTATAACAGTCAGTTTTAGAATTTCTAGACTGGAAATAATGAGTTTCTAGTCCAGATACAACGATAATCGGTTATAACGATTGAAATTTTGGGTTTTTCTCATTATCGTTATAAGTGGGTTGCACTCTACTAGCTTTGGAAGCGTGCAACTAGGGGACACTGCATCCAGTGTTCTTTGGCGACAACTTAGGATGAACTGTGCTATGAACATTTGGGAACTTGTGTAAAGTATTAAAGAAATTATTTTTCCTAAAATTTACTTGGCTTTGCACTCTCTTCCATTAGAACTAAGAATGTAGAAAAATTCAAACCTTTTTCCTCTTTTCGTTAGCAAACTTTGGCTGTTATAGAGCTTCAGAATGAACACATAGAGAGCATGACTGTAGCTTTGCTGTTTTTGCTATAAAGTATGCATGGATACGTGTGTAAGAATTCTGAGCAACTGGTAACCTTGAAGGGTAAAGCTATCTTTATCAGTGATAAACTGTCTCTACTATCCGAAAGTCCTTGCCAATGTTTTCTCTGTTAAGCTATCCTTTATGTGACCAGGAGAAAGTTTAAAGTATCTTGTTTGCCTTTGAAGATAAGATCCAATTCATGAACAGTGGAAGGATTTGAAGTGTCTTGTACTTAAGGATAAGATTCAATTTATGATCTGTAGAAGGATTTTAACTAGCCTTGTACTGACTAATTCCTTCAAACCTGCAGACAACAGTTCTCTTGCTCTAAAAACAATGAGTGTTTCTCTAGCATTCACTTGCTTACCTAGGTGGGCTAGAGTGCTTTCTGTGCTTACTGTAGATTTCTGTTACTTTAATGGTCTTGATATTGAGTGGGGTAAAAGCCCAGCTTCAGATTACTGTATTTTAATTGAAGAAAAAAAACATGTAATAGGAAGACACCATAACGAGAAATAAAATAATAATAAAAAGTGCAAAGCGTTGTTTGTGCATTTCGTTTGTATCCATTTTTTATAACCGCAAGTGAAAGATCATTGGTGGAGGCATTATTTTTGCGTTTTGCAATCATTATTGTGCCTCCTGCTGCTCACATTACGCTTCTAAGAAAAAGTAGTCTGAAGTGTGTATTCCAAACACTCTTCCCATTCATTTTCAGATTTTGAGGGACACGACTGTAAAAATGCGGTCATTGTTAGTCAATAATTTTCATTTTTCCAGGTTACGGCAAACGTTGCGGGCCACTGCGTTCAGAGAGGGAACTGTGGCAAGGACAAGTTGACCATGAAAACTATCCCTTGCGTGGACTACGGACCACCAAACAATGTCAGCGCTGACTCTCTCAAGCTCCTCGCAAACGTGTGTCCAGACCTGCTGAAAGGTTAGTTGCTTTGCGATTACTTTACTATTCAGATTCGAATTTATTAATTTTTTTACAAATACATTAAAATATATATATATATCTATTGTTTGGACTGATAGCTACAGTGGCTAGTGTCGGGCCCAATCACAAAATGTTTTGCAGTGCAGCACCCATGTAAAAAAAAAATGCTAGGTTTTGTTATGGGATAATTTTTATTTAACTCTTGCGAGTAAAAAAAAGAAAGCAGTTTACAACTCCTCGAATTAGAGCGCAGATCTTGAGGAGGAGGAGGGGAGGGTATCTCCCTCCTCTTCACCTCGTCATCCTGCCTGCTAGTCCTCGCTCCAAGCGGCATCGGCGTGACCCTCATGACCTCACCGGGGTCACGTGACGGGAGCGGGGTCTTATGGCGTCACCGGGGTCGTTGTGATGACGGCATTGTCATGGGCATCGTGATGACGTCATCAGTGACATCACGCGTCCCATAATATACCGCGCAAATACGCCGACGGCGACGCCGCTCAAGCCGGAAACAGGCGCCTAAAAGCTGCGCTCTAAAAAAATTTCTGCATCACATTTGTTGGAATTGCATTCCAAATTAATGTACCACTAAATTCAACGATCTATTGATTATATTTTTTATCCTCCCTTTTTTCTTACGGTGGGCCGGAACGGACAATTGAAGGCTGTGTAAGCCAGTGGCGTAGCCAGGGAGGGGCTTATGGGGTTTCTACTCCCACCCTCCCTCCCTCCCTCCCTCCCCTTGACATCCAGCTGACCCTAAAACATACACATAAATCTTAAAGGGACCATGAAATGACCTTTTTACTTTTTCCAGATAACTTTTACATTAAACCGTCAATGTTCACTGAATGCCGAACAGGCATCCGTTTTCGTCTCGGTTTATTAACTTTTACACAAAAAATTATTGAAATATCGACATTTTCATTCTCTCCAACTGACCGCAAAAGAAGCCGTGACGTAGACCGTTTCCGGAACCGGAAGTTCTCTCGGCAGTAGGAGAATGGGAGTGTTAGCGGCAACGAGTTGGGGTGCGCCGGTAGGTTTTACTGCGCTGATGTCACCGACGTATTTCCTGAATCGGCGCCTCTCATCGCCGCATCGCAGCTGAGCGAAATTCAATGAGATATGTTGCGCTATAGCGACAGCATGGGACTAGTCCCATACGCCGGTATGCCTGTTGGGAAGTGCAGCGAGTCTTGTCACCACCCCGTCATTGTTGGCAGAAGGGCCGGCCCGTGTCAGTCGTTTGCAAAGCGACGTAGATGGCGTTTTTCGCGGCCTCGGAGATGCAGGAGCGAGCCGACGTTAAAAAAGATACGTTTGAACTACGAGTGTCAGCAAGAGCCACGTAAATACCTGTTTACACTCGGAGCGGACGAGCGCGCTTGATGGAAGTCTTGTATTCGCGCTGTTGGTAAGCGCTTCAGGACCGTTCTTTTACGATTGCAACTCGATACTGACGCGACACTCGGCAAAGAAAGGTTAGACCGGGGTCGACAGTGACGTGCAGTCTGTCAGAATAAAAATGGCATACCAATAACAAAGTGTACATACCGTGTTACGAAGGCAATCCATACGGCGTTTATTTCAGCTCTATATCACACAAAACAAGAAGATAGAATCGACGAGAGTCCCTTTTCGACGAGTGTTCGTCAACACTGCCTCGGAAAACAAGGGGAAGATTGACCTCACCTCTTAATCTAGAATTGAGGTCAGCGATCAAACTATAATACGGGAAGGGTCCACAAGGGTCGCGCGGGCATATTCCATTTAGCGCGCCAGCCGGTCGTAGGCAGACGGTCTTGCGACGAAGCAATGCAGCGCCGAGTCGGAATGCCTGCTAGGCCTATATTCTGAGCAGCTCGCTTCGTCGGAGTCGGTGGATCCAGCGTTCTTGTTCGTCGTGGTCTGTTTTAAGTACTGTTTTCTTGCTGCTTGATGTCGGCACGCGCGGGAAGAACACATAGAAAAATAAACGTTCAGTCAGTCAGAGTTTTGAGAGGAAGGAAAACAAAGAAAATAAACATTCGTCGGTCGCCGCCACCCAAGTAACTGTTGGCCCTGCCCTACTGCGCACGCGCAGTAGTTGCTTCGTTTACCACACGATAGATGGCGCTTGGCTCTCAGCATTATCAAATTTGGCAATTTTCGCCACACATCTCTAATTATGCTACAAAATGTGGATCTGAATATTATTTAACAAAACTTTTAGGAAACATTCGCCGGCTATTTATTGTTTACGATCGCGGTGCTGGTGAGGTAGGCTCTTACCCAATAGGCGACCTGGATTTGGCTGACGTGCTCCATTTCCGCGGATGCATCGTAGTGAACAGGCGAAGGAAGGAAGGCGCAAAAGAGTCCAGTTTTCTTTTAAAAGTTGTATAGCAAATAATTTTTTTTGGCTCCCTATTTTTGTTTTTGTGTTTCTTTTCACACCTTTTACGACGTGCGGTGGATGAAACTCTATTTTAAAATCATTTCATGGTCCCTTTAACCCCACCCTCTTCGCACCCCGTCATAGACGTCCCACCATTTCAGCCCCCTGCCCCCCCCCCCCCCTCCCTCCCTCCCCTTCCCCCCCAAAGAAAATCTTCCTGGCTACGCCACTGGTGTAGACGTCATGCGCCTTCGAGAGGGCCTCAGCCAAGTACGGCATGTATGGTCGCACAATGGACTTCTTCCAAAACCGACGCGCCCCATCGCGGCAAAATACCACGCAGTGCACTCTGGGAACTAGTTGGCCACTCAGTTTCGGTTTCGACTGAGCAGCTTCCTCTCATGCTATCACGCCGCGACTGAACGCGCTGCTCGCGTTTTCGATTATCTGACTTTTCACGAACGTACAATACACTCATTCTCGAGTGATACAAAACCAAGACCGGGGCACTTTCCTTGGTTCCCGAAACACCGGATATTGTGCGTGCGTATGCGAACGTAGCAAGTCGTGGCTTAGTCACCTCACCCCACAAGTGTATCTTTGAGCTCAATGTCAGTAATCCCGTCTAGTACCAGTGAACTACAACTGAAATTTGTTCGTCTGGAGCCTTACACGCATATTGTTTGCCAAACGTCCGCTTCTTGTTACTTCATTGGGCTAAAAGCAAACCGTATCCTCACAGGGTATCAAAGTTGAGGCCAGCGTTTACGCATGAACTTTTAAGGAAACGCAATAAATTCGACCTCACTACTGCACAAAAACTACTATGATGTCTTCCTCGTGTCATCATATATCTTCCACTCAAATTTTATGCTGATAGAAGATTAACTTTTCGCAAACGCTGAGATCGGCTGGCTATGACGGAGGCCCTAACAAGCGTCCCCTACTCCTCGCTAAGCCTTTTTGGACGAGTTTTTACTGACGCCCGAGATCTGTGCCGGGAACGGTGTGTCTGAAATTATCTCGGCATACTCAGGCAGGGAGGAAGCAAACACATAACATATATTATGGCCATTAGCAACCGTCAAATGCGCTTTGAATTCGTTCGAGCACTTGTGCGAAGAATGTCGCACCGTGCGCCGGACGGGCATGAACCCCAATGCAGTGCGCATAGGGGTTCATGGCCGTCTGACGCACTTTCGGTGAACGGTGCGACATTCTTCACACAAGTGCTCGACTTTTGCATTCTGAAAACGGTCTGTATGCGCGAATTTGTCTATATGATTGCAGGATAACTTTATGCGCATACGCGATGTTGAAAATTAGTGGAATGCAAGCGGGTGGGGACTTCACTTCGTGCAGTGCTGTGGGTCAGTACAGATAAGAGATAAGAAGTGTGTTAAAATTGAGCTTTTCAATGGCGCCTCCGAGTTTTACCTCGCATACTCAGGAACATTAAGAAAAACAGTAATTGCAAAAAATAATATTTCGTCTATGGACGCACGAAGCAAACAAACTTCCTGATCAACAACACTAATCTAAAGGCGCGAGCTCGATGTATGCATACTTATTGTTTGCTACAGCTTGTTGATTCGTACACAAGCAAGATCCCCGAGCACCGAGCTTCGCAGCGTCGAGACTCCCAGCACTGGCTCGTCCACATACCTCGATTGGAACGCTAACAGGAAGGCTCAAGTAGAAAAATACAACAAGCATGTGTTAAGATGAGCTATACGTCTTGGGATTATGCTAAAGCTTCGAGGTATGACCATTTAGGTTAGTTTAGAGACCACAAATGACGCTCTCGGAACCAGAAAACAATCTCTTGTCGACGTGTCGATCGAAACCGCAACCATGACACCCTCCTCCCTGTCCAACTAGTTCCCAGAATGCAACGCGCGCCGTGTTGCATGCAGGGCTTTATGGAAGTAGTCTATTGGTTCACAGCGCTGGACTATCCGACATTGTTTGTAGTGTCCACTGCGGTTTGTGTTAGGTGAACCGAATTATAGCTTGCAACTACGCTGATCCATCATGCCAGTTTATATAAAGAATGCAATCAACTTCGTTAGCAGCAAGCTAATTGATGAACTGCAGTTTTATTTTTGTGCAGCTTTAACACGTTCCTTGTCAGCTAACTCGATGGAAGGAAATGGCTGAAAAGAGATTATATCCTCGACAAACAAAGAAAGGGTGAATGCAGAACTCGCCAAGGGTTGTCTTTCGAAAAAAACTTTCTCACTCCACATTTTGCGCAAAAAAGTGAGGTCATTTTTTATTTTATTTTTTTGTTTCACACGGTTGTCGGATGCATTGCACGTGGAAAGTAGAGCCACTAGAAAAGGCTGTGGTTCAGAGTCTCAATCCTTCAGGCATCTTGGTGCTGAAAATCCCAATTGCCAGTTATCCAGTGCTTCATTTTAAATTGCAGGAAACTCTTTTCAGTCCTTCAGAAACATTAAAAAAAAGCTCGCAACAGAGCGAAACTTTATTGCCCAAGCTTCCAGACACCTCATCGAAAACTCGGGAAGACGCTTTTTCTGAACTCCACTAAGCACCGGAATAGCGGCACCCATGAAATAATGGGGAAGGGGTGATGATGACCGGGGATGGGACGGGGATGGGACGGGGATGGGGATTGGGATGGGGATTGGGATGGGGATTGGGATGGGGATTGGGATGGGGATTGGGATGGGATGGGATGGGATGGGGATGGGTATTGGGATGGGATGGGATGGGGGAGAGATGGAATGGGATGCCTCCACTATTGACATGGATTATTTAATAGCTATAGTGCAGTTGGCTCTTAAGCATGGATGTGGCAGGGACCTCTTGAGGACCTGCCAAAAGTGGGTTTTACAATAGGGGGCCCTAACGTTTGGATGCCCCTAAAAAATTGGGGCACCCCAACGCAACAAGGTTGGCGCCGCTTGCCTTTCCCGCTTGCAGCACCATTGCAGCTAACCAACATAATTTTCAAAAAAAATAAAAATAAACGTAAAACATATGCAATGAACAAGTACTTTTTGTTCATAAGTAAATCATAAAATCAAATCAACCCAGCTAAAACAAAAGGTAATCTGAAATCAGTGTAAATATTGTTAGCCATTTTCAGCCACAACAATCCAATCCTAAGCGCTCTAATTTGGTGCTTATTCTCGGATTGTTTTTGGCGTTCCGGGTGCCGTGTTGACCGTCTGTCGCCGAAGACTTGGGCCTTCAGTTATGCGAGCAGCTGCTCTATTTAGACCTGAGCTGGAGCAACTTGGAAGCCTTGGAAGACTTGTTTCTAAACTACAGGTAACGTACCACAGATGCTCGGCCGATCGAATCAAGAAAATACATTCGGAGTCTTGGGGCAGCGAGACGTTGCAGTGTCAACGGTTACCTTGTCTCTTTAAGGCCCGTCCACACTCTTGCAACCGAGTACGACCGAGAGAGACCGAGGCTTGTTAAAACCTCTTAACATTTCTTGGGACGAGAGAACACACTGGCACGCTGGCGCCATCTGTGCGGTGACCCTGGAACTGCATTTCACAAGAACGAAGGTTATGCAGTATTTCCGAGGTCAAATGTGCGTAATACTTATAAGAAAAGCTTGTTTATAACGTTCACAAAAGTTTTCCAAGCCAAAAAAGAAAGGATAATGCTCGAGAGAAATAGAAATGATGCCGGACCGCCAAGTTTACACTGCTACCCAATAGATGGCGCCAGTGTATCCTCTCATTGTAAGCGGTTTTAAGGATCCCAGTTTTAGGAGGTCGCAAGAGTGAACGGGCCTTTAGGCTTGGGAGCTTTCGGTTGCACGTGAAAAGATCCCGAGATGGTCGAAATTAATCTTCAGTCCTCTGCTGGGGCGTGCCACATGCCTGTTGTTGGTTTGGGGAAAGAAAAAAAAAACTAATTTGACTGATTTTTTTGTTAGGCTTAGGAATGGCGAGAATCGGAAGGCACTCTAAAATGGGGCGAGCTCATCGCTCATTCTTTGCGATTTGAGCGAGATAAAGCGAGGCGAAAACGGACTGCACCATTCACTGGCAGTAAATGTGGCTAATACGGCAGCGACCGTGACGAATTTGCTCCAAAGTGAGTGGGAAGGGCGCCGCCATGTTTGCCGTGTAGCCCGGTCCCAAGCAAGTACGGGCCCCACGCTATTTGTCAAATTTTGCGTTAGGGGCGAACACCAACCGAAAACCCAAGGTTAATGCTTGAGGCAAAGGTGTCGCGGACACCAAAAAAGGCTTCGCCGACCCCCATTTGAGAACCACTGCTCTTACAAGTCGTTGAGCATGGCAGGCCCCAAGTGCTGTTTTCTGATAGTGGTACATTACTTCGATATCCTCTCGCAGGTGGGGCTAACAAGTTCTGCTGCGACGATCACTCGGTGAAGGAGCTCAGCGACAACCTGGCACTCATGCGGCTCATGACCGGAAGCTGCCCGTCGTGCTTCTACAACCTGGCGCGGGTCTTTTGCGTCATGACCTGCTCGCCGCACCAGGACACCTTTCAGGAGGTTGGTGACGACGGCGTTTGACGTCCTAAAGAGAGGCACGGAAGCCGCGGTTACACAAATGCGAGACAGTTTTGAACTTCTTCCAAGGGTGTTGCTAACGCTACACCGATATGTTTTCGTGAGTTTTTAAGCGAGGGTGTTGAGACAAAATGCAGCAACTGCCTATACAAGATTCATGCTTTTTCTAAACTAAATTATTTGAGAGGGAAGGTGTCAGACTTGAGGAGTTTGTCCGAGATCGGTCAGGTGTCAATTGTGACGCAATCGATCTTCAGAAAAGCCTGTATTTGTGTGGCAGCGCACTCAGTGTTAAATTGCTCGCAAGCACACTCCCGAAATTTTCAACCTTGAAAAAGTGGTGGTTGAGCACTTGTTAGGTCAAAGAGAAAAAAAAAAGTGCACAGAGGGCACGTCCCGGGGTGGGTTTCACTGCTTTGCACAAGTGCATGTGCATCATGCTTCACTGCTTTGCACCGGAGCGCACGGGTAGAGCTGCTAAGCTATGCATAGCTCGGACAAGTGGCTGATGCGGGGAGAGTATCTCAATGAGCTAGGTGGGCTCAGAACTTCGATATGTCCTCTGCCTATTTTACACACATTTCAAAAGTAGCGGGTGCTTATTGTGGACATGCGTGCCTACCTGGTATTTTACGGAAATGATTGCCCTGGGTGAGGACTGACAGTACAAATAAATCTTTTTTTCTTTTTTAAGTTGTACTACAGTACGCAACCATGCCTGCCTCGTAAAGAAATTTGAGGCCCTCCTTCGTATCGCCAGATGCCAGTAGAAACCAAAAACTTCTGGCCGCTGTCGTAGCTTGAGACACTTGGACCGATCATGTGAGGCACCGAAAGGCTTTCGATTTTTCACGATAATAAAAATACAGCACCGTCAGTTTTTGGAAGTATCTCTGTCTTCACTTGCCCCTTGGCTGAGAACCACTTGAGTCTTCCACTAGAAACCAGAAAGCCTGACCTTAAATCTAGTTTAAGGTCTGCCCCCCCCCCCCCCCCCCCCCCCCCCCTTCCCCAGACTATGTTGTTGCTTGTTTCCAATTTTTTCTCGGACACTGCTTCATTTTCCCAGGATAAAACATGTATGAATTATCCTGGGAAGTCTGCAATCACAAGGAAAGGTAGGCCTCAACCCATAGGCCTGCTTTAGATGAAGATATAAGAAACATTTCTTTGGAATTAACAGGTGCTCCATCATTTCCTATGGTGCATTACTATGTTGCATTACTGCGTTACAAAAGAAAAGTAACGCATTACTGGTAATGCCGTTACTTGTAACACGCTACCGTCAGCACCGGTGTACAACGGGTTGATTGTGCAGGTTGCCGAGAAGCAGCCAGAGCCGGGCAAGGGCCTGGTCACTCTCAACTACTACATGAGCAGTGCGTACGCCAAGGGAACCTTCGACTCCTGCTACGGCCTCCAGTTCGGGGGTGCTTCGGTCACCAAGATCCTGTGCGGGAGCTATGCAGACAACTGCGTCCCCGAGACTCTGCTCATGTCCCTGGGAGCCCACGACAGCCTGCACTCTCCATTCGAGATCGACTTCCAGTTCTCTGGTGAGCCCGCACACTTGTGGAGCGAAAACTGGTTCATGGCTGTTTTAAGGCCCATTTACACAGTCCGTACTTTAACAGGTTTATAGTTTATATGCTTTATGGAATACTTCATTTTATCGAATGTCTCGATACGTGTTGAAATTTCTTACGACAAGGGAATGCACACTGGCGCCACCCGTCGGGTGGCCGTGGAAGACTCGGCGGTCTTGTGTATTTCCCATTTTTTCATTTTTTTTTATTGAAAATTTTTTGTCAGTGTTATGAATAACCATTTCTCGTAGGTCATACGTACATTTGGCCTCACAAATACTGCAAAACCTTTGCTCTAGCGAAATGCGGTTCCATGGTCACCGCAGAGGTGGCACCAGCTTCTTAGCGTGTTCTCTCATCTCGAGAGATTTTAAGAGGGTTCAAGACGTTCGGTTCTAAGGAGTCGCAAGTGTGTGAACGGGCCTTTAAAGCCAGATTGTCTGTCGGCAGTTGTACACTTTAGCCCCATGTTCCAGGGGATAAAAACCAGTCCTTGGATGGCCAAGAATACATGTTTTTCATTTAAGGCCCGTAAAGATATTAGCCGCTGGAGAAATTCGGCCATCTGCATAGAGTTCTTATCTTATACTCTTATTGTTCACGTTCTGCCCATCAGAAAGCACGGCGATAGAGCCTAAGTATGCCCCCGACCTCGCTACACCACCGTCTTCCGCACAATAAAGTCGATCTGCTACGGTGACCAAACATCAATAGATGCGAACGCAGCATCTGAGGCCAGCTACCGCAACACCATCTTTCGAATGCCATCTGCTACCAATGCACAATGCTAGCTTGGACTCTGAGCTAAGCTGCTAAATAGACAGCGCTGCTCGCGGTCGCCCCTCTCTTCGCTTGGGGAACCTTCATCGCCGTGCTTTTCAATCTGAACTTAATGCAGATGGCAGACTTTTAAACGTGAACTTAACGCAAATGGCGGATTTTCTATTTTCTTCAGCGCCTAGTCATTTAGATTCAAAATCTTTATTTTCAAAAATTTTTTTGTTTGAAAGTGAAGAGGGAAGAGAGGAAAAAGTGAAAGCCGCTTACAACTCCATGGAACGCCCAATTAGAGCGCAGCTCTTGAGGAGGAGGAGAGAAGGGTACTGGGGGGGGAGTTCAACTAACCAGGGGGGGGGGGGGGTCACGTGACCTGGAGGTCACGTGACCCACCAATGCCGAAGATGTCATCACTGACGTCACTGATGACGTCATCAGTGATGATGACGATGCGGATGCCGGTGACGTCATCAGTGATGATGACGATGACGATGTGGATGCCAGTGACGTCACTAATGACGTCATCAGTGATGATGACGATGTGGATGCCGGTGACGTCATCAGCGACGATGACGTCATTGGGGGTCACGCGACATCGGCGGGGGTCACATGACTCCCCTGAGGTCACGTGACCCTCCTCGAGGTCACGTGACCCCCCGAGGTCACGTGACCCCCGCCGATGTCGCGTGACCTCCGATGACGTCATCGTCACTGATGACGTCACCGGCATCCACATCGTCATCGTCATCATCACTGATGACGTCACCGGCATCCACATCGCCATCGTCATCATCACTGATGACGTCATTAGTGACGTCACTGATGACGTCACCGGCATCCGCATCATCATCGTCATCATCACTGATGACTTCGCCGGAATCCGCATCGTCATCGTCATCATCACTGATGATGACGATGACGATGCGTGACCCTCCTGAGGTCACGTGACCTCAGGGGAGTCATGTGACTTCGGGGGGTCACGTGACCTCGGGGGGGGGGGGGGGGGGGTCACGTGCCCCCCACGAGGTCACGTGACCCCGGTGGGGGGCTCGCGCGGTGCATTATGGGACATTTCCCATAATGCACCGCGCGGTTACGGCGACACCGCTCAAGCCGGAAACGGGCCCCTAAGAGCTGCGCTCTAAAATGAGGCGTTTACAAATCTGTAATGCGAAATTAGAGCGCAGCTCTTGGGGAAGAGGAGGGCAGGGTACGCAGGGAAGGGTATGCTCCCTCTGTACCCTCTCCTCCACCCCTCCTCCTCCTCCCGTCCTCCTCTGCTCCTTCTTGCCTCCTCTTCCTTTCATCCTCCTCCTTGGTGTCTTTCTCTCCTTGTCCTGCATACCCTCCCATCCTCCTCCATACCCTCCCCTCCTCCCACAGTTTCCCCGCTAGATTTAGCTGAAAAATTTATGCCACGTGACGTTAACAGCAATTAGATTCCTCGCTAAATTTAGCGGCGAATTGAATTGCTGTTGAGGTCACGTGATACCAATTTTCCAGCTAAATCTAGCGGAGAAACTGAATTTGCTCATAGGTGACGTGACACCAAGTCATGCGACGTCATTTTCCCCGCTAAATTTAGTGGGGAAACTGAGCATGGTTCATAGGGGACATGACACCAAGCCGTGCGACGAGATGGCGGTAAGACCGCTTTCGTCAATGATCCGAGATTTGAAAGATAACTGGTCGCATTTTCCCGGGACCTTTGACCTTGTGCGCTGATCAAACTTAATTATAAAATACTTTACTTTTTTCTTTTGGGGGCTTGGCACAAAAAACTTCTGAGTTTATCGGATAAATCCGAAATCACCAAAAGTTTACCGGGGGGGGGGGGGGTGGGGGGGGGTTTCAGTTTTTTGGATTTATCCAAAAATGCGGAACCCTATTGATCCCATACTATGAGCATGTATTGGACGGGCTCTGTCAACATTCGCCATGAACTCTGTTTGGCTCGTATTGAAGACGAGTGCTGCATCAGCGTTGACTCTAATCCAGTCACACGCTTCGTGTCCAGGCAATGGGGACCGCCAATGTTGCTTAAAGGGACACTGACACCCCCCAAAAAATTTTTTTTATTTTTTGCCAGGCGCTTCATTATGGTGTCGGGGGACTACCGAATTAATATTTTGCAACAGAGTAGCGTATTTCTTTAATAAAGCCAAAAGACGCAACTGCTCGAAACCGAAACCGAAACCCGACGGAGGTCGGAGAAGTGGAGAGAAGAGAGTGACTGGCGGAAGTCACGTGGCTACACCCGACCGTGCTTTTTTTTTTTTTTTTTTTTCTCCTCTCCGGTAGCAGACGACACGACATGCGGCGTGCGGGAACTGCTTGTCGTGCCATTCTTTTGCAGTTATGTTTGTTCCGCTCGTTGTTATGTACTCCAAGATGAGTTGTTTTGTACATTGAGGAGTTAGAGATGAGTAGTGAGTGCCCGTGGTGAATTTCCATGATCGGCTCCGAAAAGTATAAACCCAAGATGTTGCGTGAAGAGCTGGCTCACATGTCCTGCATCCGAAAAAAAGTGGCATTGTCGAAAGATCAACGGGATCGGGACCAATGGCTGGCTGCAATTCCTGTAGAACATTTACGGGCACCTCGGAAAGCGGACGCTACTTGATTTATATGCTCCTTGCACTTTGTGGAAAGTGATTACATTGAACAAAAGGTAAGGGCGCAAACGAGCTGGTGGTGGTTAAACATTTCGACAAAAACCCCGAGACTGGGACAAAAAGGGACGGACAAACACAAAGTCTCTTTGTGTTTGTCCGTCCCTTTTTGTCCCAGTCTCGGGGTTTTTGTCGAAATGATTACATTGAGTTCGCAGGTGTCAAAACAGAAATCCCATACCGTTTAATTCAGCGAAGTATCGTCCACAACATTTGTTTGTTTTATTTTTTTTTTTTTTGGTTTGTTTCTTCAGTGATGATTGTAAAAAAAAAGAAAAAGATATGTAAACATCAGAAATTGTTTGCAAAAAAAAAAAAAAAATCACGGGGGATCGAACCCGGACCTTCGGTGTGTGAAGCGGACGTCTTTCCCACTGAGCTACTGGGGCATCTCGTTTCTGGTGGATCTCTTTCCTTAGTAATAATTCAGCTGGTAAACTAAGTTTGAAAGTTTGCTGTCGATTTTTCTTTAGCAAAAGCACTCCCGGGTCGAAGTCGGGAAGCACCACGCTTTGGGGACATTCGCACCTAGTAAAGACATCGTACGCGTGCATATTCAACTCGAAGTAGACACGTCGTGCTTGACGTTTGCGCGAGCGTTGTCTTCAGCCACGAGAAGGGAGCGACGGCTCGGCGACGTCTTCGTGCAAATCGGCTTGGTGGCCGGGCGTGTTGTACGGGATGAATACCAATTCTTTTGATCAGTCCCAAATTTCTCTTTTAACGGTAGACAGAATTCGCCGGTACCGCGAACGACAGTTCTGAAATAGAGGTCCCACGCCCGTCGTCCGCTGCCATCGCTGTCCCCGCGAGTCCCACGATACGCGAAACGACGAACGCACAGAATGCTTCCGGTTGTCTGTGGAACTTTTTTTTTCAATCAACGTATTTGCAGCTTTTTAGAAGCCACAAAAAATGGGTTTCATATTTTTTTCTATTTTTAATATTGAGTGTGTGCCTTCAGTGACCCACGACTTTGATTAAATTTGGTGGTCGCATCGATACCTTAGAAAATGGCCCGTGACCGCGGAAAAGAGAGTGAGCGAGACTCGAACCGGCCAGTTCTTGATCGGCGGTTTTCGGGCGGAAAGAAACCGAATTTCGAGCCGCAAATTCTGTTCTGGGTAGTTGAGCCCTCATATGTCACGTACAACTAACAACCTCGGCGAGCATAAATACCCTGTCAGTGTCCCTTTAATGAACTTCTGAAAAGGGTCTATTATCAGAAAAGAGGAGGTGTTTCTTTCTCCCGGAAATCAAAAGAAAATCGAGGGACCTTTTTTTTTTTTGTATGTTGGTTTTTATCCCATTCACTGCTCAACACACTGAGGGAGGTGTTGCTAGTCCCATGGTGTTGAGCTTTTCTGGGGTTATTTACAGTGACACTCAGTGCACCTGTGCCCATGTTACACATGCAAATTCCCACGGGGGAGCTCTGCTGTGGTGGTGGAGGCAATTGGGAGGGCATGCTCTTCAGATTTAGACTTTTAATGCTTCTTAGAATTTAATACAGAGGATGAGAGCTTACCATCTGTTGGAGGAGCTCTGTACAGCACCTCTGGTTCGAAATCTGAAACAGTCCGAATGTCGCAGCTACATAATGAGGAAAAAACTTGTGCATTGATCCTTTCTCTAGTATTTTTCTGAAAATAAAAACCCGACCGCTAGAACACATCTTTTAAGGAAAAAAAAAACTCAAAGTTCACACACGCATTGTCAATGGTAGAGTGGGATGACACGGGGAAGCTGTGAACTTCATGGGTCAACACTCGTCTGAAAATTTGGTGCCCACCCACTTCAAATACCGGTGCTTGCTACTCAGTAAAATGCTTGCAAGTCTACTGAATGTGGTTACGGGGCATTTTGGTGTTCAGGTTATTCTGAAGATATTTTCTTCATATATCTTTTTCTGGAAAAATCTTAGCCCTTGTTTAGGTCGGAGGCGTAAAGCTAAACTTGTTGCCCATCAGAGCTTGCATTGACATGTCCCTCGAACTGTAGCGTTTCACAGGTACAGTGTAGACCGCATATAACGTATGTCGCGGGAGTCGCGAAAATCCGCACTATAAGCGGTACCGCGCTATAACCAAAACATAAATTTTTCACACCAAATTACATGCCATTAGACAACTTACCTTTGTAAAAGAATTTATTTTATGTTAGATGAAAAATAAAGCTTAGTTTGAGGAAAGTCTTTATTTCATTAGACTAGTACACTTCTCTCTCAAATGTGTCACACATTTTGAAAGAAATGAGCGACTTTTGCCTGGCGCAGCCTTTTAACGGCGTCGCGGGTTGTGGACGAACGTTGCGAGCGTTCAGGATTGCTAACCCTAATCACTTTTCTCCGGGGATGAAAACGCATGAAAATTCGCATCCCTTCTACGGTACGCGCCAGTGATACCTTCAAATTGAGCACAGGCACGAAATGCTCCCAATAAGAAATCCGGGCGATCTTTGAAAACACAAATGCTTAGAAAGCACCACTGTAGTCGAAGTAAACAAACACGACGACACGAGTGTTTCTGCAGTCTTGAGAGTGCTGCCACAACATCGCCGCACGAGTAGGTGGATCTTCCCTTCTAGTACGCGCTGGGTTATCATAGCGACACACAACGAAAATTCACTGTCAAGGATAGCGGTTTTACGCGGAACGATGAGCTTCCTCCACGCCGTCTACGTTAACGATCACAACCAAAAGTATACGGGCGGCTTTGTCACAACCGACGCCATGTTTGCGGATAAAAGCAGCCGGCCCGCGACCAGCATGCACCGCGCGCGAACACTTCTCCTCGACCTGCGATTGGTCTGTCGTTACGGTTGTTTCCAACGCAGCGGAGGGACGCACGCACGTGAACGACGCGTCCATGCATCCCTCCGTCGCTATGGCAACTGAAGCCTCTCTCTTCGCTTCTCCTTGCTTCTTCGAGCAACCTCCTTGCCCCGCGAGTGCCGCTTGCGGCTCGCGCCGTTATCTAGTGTCGCACAGGGAAGTGTGCTCGCTGCGCCGGTCAGTCGGTGCGGTCTGCGGGCTGTTCCAGAAACCGCACTATAACCGGTATTTCCCTTCGCGCGCCTGCATTTTAAGCGGTGTGTAATTACATAGAGTTCTATGGGAGGCGAACCGGTGGTTTAAAAAAGCCGCGTTATACCCGGTCCTGCACTATGAGCGGTTACATTGTAAGTGGTCTATACTGTATTACTCTCTCCGCTCCTGTAGTTCGGTGAGTTTCAGCGTTTCAAATAATTAAAACGCTGGCCTGCTTAAAAAAGGCATAATATTAGTACACCACGCCACATGGATGTAATTGTTATAAAAATGGTCGTCACAATGTGAATATGATTGTTGATGCAGTATTCCGTACACATGTTGCTTGTTTTGTGGGATATATCACTTTGTGGAAATGATTGCCAATTTGTGAAAATGATTGTCACCCCATGAGAGCGATTGTTACCCCATAGAAGCAATTTTTACCGGATGGAAGCAATTGTCACCCGATGGAAATGATATGCACTCCATGGAAATGATATGCACTCCATGGAAATGATATGCACTCCATGGAAATGATATGCACTCCATGGAAATGATATGCACTCCATGGAAATGATATGCACTCCATGGAAATGATATGCACTCCATGGAAATGATATGCACTCCATGGAAATGATAGGCACTCCATGGAAAAATGATTGGCACCCCATGGAAATGATTTTCACCCCATGGAAATGATTGTGGATGCAACATTCTGTAGGTATGTTGCTAGTTTAGTGGGGCATGTCGCTTCATCCGTTTTGTGGGACGTACCACCTCATGGAAATGGTGGTCACAACATGAATACGATTGTGGATACAAAATTCCGTAGATGCGTCGCCGGTTTTCAGACATATCCGCCTGCTACAAGTGAATTTTCCCCTTTTCTGACCATGCAGACGTTCCCGTGGTGTCCAAGAACAAGACGTATGTGCCAATGAATGACACGTTCCGCAAATGTTCCGAACCGGGAGCTCCTGGCAAGGAAGCCTGCAGCTGCTCCTCTTGCTTGGATGCCTGTTCGAAGATCGTCCCGGTCTATCCTCAAGACCCAAAGCCGTGGACGATCTTCAGAGTTGATGGCTTCTACATTGTGGCCGGCATCGTCTTCAGCATCTTCTTGGTGATCGTCCTTGCGGTGGCGGTCAGCGGTTATGTTCTCCGGAGGTTCAAAGACGAGGCCAACCTGAGTGAGTGGTCAGAGCTTTTCTTTCAGTGACAGCGCTCGAGAGGTAGGCATTCTGGCTTCTGCTCACGTTGGAAATTAAGTACAGTTTTTTGCACTCTACAAGTCTCACCCCCACATCATATTTAACAATTAAGTAGTGTAGTCATTATTTGCTTGTTTCACTTTTTTTGTCCCTTGCTATTGGAGCTTATTTACCAAATTTGGCCCTTGTGCCACTAAAACTTAATTTACCAATGACCCCTGGAATCCCGGATTCCTTGTAGCATGCCGAAATGCTGACCTTTCCTCGAGCAGATTGTTTAATTTGCACGCTTCTCTTCCCCATCATTACTGCAGGAGACTAGCCCAACCCGCCCACCAATCGCGAGCATTTGTGCATGAGGAGCATTACCCGCTTCATTTCTAAGAGCAAATGCACAACAGAACCTCTCTTCCTGAGCTATTAGTTTGCGCTAACTTCCTTAGAATGCTCAGTGATGAAAGTGCTGCGCCAATTGCGCCAAATTGCGCCAAGGACGCAATCCTGCTACATGTAGTGCCGAATTTTCATTTTACCGAAGAATTGCGCCATGCCTGCGCCGAGATGAGATGTAGCAATAAAAAATAAAAATTGAAGTCTTGTCAGAGCGCGTGGCGGTACCGCGGTATTTTCCGCGCCGCAACTGTTATGGAAACTGAAACCGCGAGGGCGCATTATCATCATCATCATTGAAAGGAACAACTTTAGCAACATCTGGGACCAAAGCCGCAGAGGCTCATCCCACTGAGCAGCCTATTTAAAAAAAGAAGAAAAAAAAAAAAAAGAAAGCTGAGCTTGTGGATGTTTTGAATGTTGGCCCGCCCTGTTCCCGTGCGCTAGCTAGCAGCGAAGTCAAAGCTAGCGCGAGCCCAATGCTCTGTGCATTCCTGACTCGCGCATGGGCTCGTGCTGTGTGGGCGCCGTTACGGGCTCCATGTGCGCGCTTGTAGCTTCGGCTGCGCTCGCACCGAAGCTGAAAAGAACTATAGTTGAGTTGCACCAAACTGTGGATGTAGTGCTGGCAAAGCCTCACTGTCCTTTTCGGAGCACGAAGCACTGCGCGACTGCGGTGTCTGCTCCGCGGGTGTCGCTTCTCTGCAGCGCGTCGGTGCATGCCAAGGAGCGCACTCAACGGGTTAACTCACCGTGATCCGATCGTGACTTCGCCAGCATATCGAAAATGAATCGGAATTTTTGAAGCGAATATCAGATACCGCAATATTTGAAGCTGCTGTCCGAAAGACAACTCTAATCTGAACTAAAATATTCCACAACAGTGAGGGTCGTTACATGCTGCTACAGATACCTTAAAAGAAGTGCAGGCTGATAAAACTAAATATCCTGTAACATCAGAATTCAGTGTGACATATTTAATTGTATTTTTTTATCTGACGAGCAGATGAACTTTATTAAAAAAAAGTTTATTTTTTTTTTTTGTGTTTACTTTGTTGAATTTTATATATCCTGTTTTAAAAAGGCGACAGGTGCTGTGTTCCAATAGTAGAGATGGGCTTTATATAGCAATGCAGCATTATTTCATTTTCAAGTAATATGCCAACATATGCCGGCCCCTGCTCCAAAAGGGCCACTACCTGCTCCAAAACAACAATTTGCCTACTACAAGGCCTGCTCCAAAAGGTCAAATGGCACTTCCATCACTGAATGCTGAACAGAGTATGGCCAGACTATAAATTTCGGTAGAAGTTCGAGGGTTGACGTTAGTTGAAATAGGTACCGCACTTTAAAAAATGTCAAAGTTCACTTTTTTTTTTTTCAGAACATTGAGACAGCCAGTTACGGCTAACGATAGGGTTCCAACAAATGACAAAGCTCGGGATACGATTGGACATGAAAAATGCGGCGTGCATGGGGTCAATGACCTAGTGAAACATAATGTTCATTGTCCCTATGCACATCACATTTTTCAGAGCTAACAAGCAGGACAGGGTCCTCCCACAAAGCCTTTCCCTTCAGTAGAGGAAACGCTGGAGAGATGAGTGGACAGAAGGGAACCAGCAATCATGGCAAGCGGAGAGCTTTGTGGCAGTGCATTGTGCCGCCTCTCAAGACAGCCACCTATGGCCACAGTGGAACAGTGGCCATAGTTGGCTGTCCTGTTTGTTTTGCAGTGAAGTGAAATCCCACTTTTTTTTGGTACAGAATTGCATGCTTGCTAGAGCCAACTTTGATTCAGCTTTGAAAAGTGAAGCCGGCCACGATTGAAGAGAGTTGGCCTAGTTGGCCGGCTGCCAAACGCCTGCGCCGCATCTCCGCCGGCCACACAATGCACTTGTAAAGGAATAATACAAAAAAAAAAAGAAGCTTAAAACAAAATCAAAAGCTTGGTTAGTTAAAAAATATAAAAACAAAAGGCAAAAAAAAAGTGACAATGTTGACACAGTGCTTTGTACCTGGATGGCTGGAATTGTAATTAGCATCCGCTGCATATTTCTGCACCGGTCTGATCAATAAATCTAATACAAGTGTAAAATTTACATGGGTCTTGTTGCAGGTAATAAAACCTGTTTCGGTTTCTGCTGTGCAGGTTCAACGAACTCTGACGAAGATCTCCTCAAGGCCGACGATGAGATGGGTGGCGGTGGCATCCTCCAGACGGCCTTGGTGGTAGGGTTTGGGCGCTGGGGCGGCTTCTGTGCTCGCCACCCGCTGCCCGTGCTCGCCGCGTCGGCCGCTGTCGTGGTGATCTGCTGCTCCGGTCTGGCGTTCTTAACCATCCTCACTGATCCTGTGAAGCTCTGGTCGGCGCCGGGAAGCCAGGCACGCGTCGAACGCAATCTCTTCAACAAGGAGTTTGGGTGAGCACTCGGCGTGGACGTGCACAATTTGTGGGTGGGATAACCCTCTTGCCTCGGCGTAGCGATTAGTAGGTTTTATGGTAATTCTGGGGGATTGCTGGCAAACTCGTAGCATGTGGAGTGAAAGCTCGCGTTGCAGAACCCAGGGGTCTGGGTTCAGCATCTATCTCTGTTTGTTTTGATCCGGGTGAGCACCGTACTGGCCTCCAGTTGTGTATCGCTACTGCGTGATGCACAGTAAAGACCCCAGGCAAGCGGTTATGGCTAAATTCTGTCATCTACAGCTAAGACGCCAGACGCCCATTGGGGCTGACCAACTTCCGCTGCTTAACCAAGCACGTATCACTAATTATGGTAACTCGTAGCGGGCATCTTGCCTATAGCTCTGCAAAATTCACTTTGTAGGGGTGCGTGCTCCTGAAAGTGTCACGATTTGGGAACGCAGACAATGCAGTAGAGTGTTGGCAGTTGTGTAAAGTTGCTGGGTGAATTGTAAACAAGAATGCTCTAATTCAGTTTTATCCTGCATAGCTGCCTAAAGCTGAATTCTCGTTTGGGTGTTTTATATTGCTGGAGACTTTACTCAATCTTGAGTGTATGCTTAAACATTGCATCATCATTTGTGTCTTTTTCGACACGTGTGCTACCCATGCCTGACCTGATGTGAACACCCCATATAGCCTAAGAACCGATTGTTTGCTCCCTTTCTGCTTTTTCGTTCTTAAATAGCCTAGTTTTTTCTTACGACGTGGCTCCTATTCTGACTGTGTGTACTAATTTTTTTTGCCAAGTTCCTTCAAAATAGTCAGCATTGGATCATGCAAGTTACCACCTCTGAGGCACACCCCCTTTTATTTGCAGGCCATTCTACCGCATAGAGCAGGTGATTGTGACGCGGAACGACGGCGAACCCTTCAATTATCTGGTGAAGAAGATCGGCTTCAACCGGACTGTCACGTTCGGCAGTGTGTTTGAAAAGCACTTCTTTCATGAGGTGAGCTGGAAAATCGCCAGTTTAAAGGGACCATGAAACGATTTTGGACTCTAATTTTACTAACTACAAATTCTTCAGTGGGTGCAAAAGAAGGCGAGCACAGAAGGATAGCAAGGCAAAAACATAATTTTCGTATGCAGTTTCGAGAATGAGAGCAGGCTGTTTCTTACCTTTTCTTCTTTGGAACCTCTCTGCACTTCCACTGTGATGGTGTCTGCAGTGCCAGAACACGTCTGCCAAATCCAGCTTGTATATTGGATATGGGCACTGCATTGTTCGGATGACAAGTTCGATGATCCGTAAAAAGCGTGGTGGAAACCGCTCATTCCACGCACATCACGGAACTTTTGGTTTAAGAATGTGAGTGATTGGATTTTTTTAACCAGCACTGTCGAAGTTGACAGTCTGACGTTACTCTTGTTTCCGTCGACAAAAGTCCAACTGAAAAGCGTAGGGAGCGTCTGGCAGGTTGAAGAATGTCGACCACGTCGGCAAGAAGCCGGGAGGGCCGTAGCTGTAGCTGAACTATGCAAGGAGTACGGACGGCTGACATGACCCTTTCACGGCTGGAGATTTACTGGTTTTGGCGAAATGCTGTATCAAGAATGCATGATTTCTCATTTTACAGGAGAGTTGAGGAGGAAACCGAACTTGGGTTTTTGTCCTTTCAATTTTTCTGAAAAAGGTCAAAGGACTGAAACCAAAACGGGTTCCTGTTTTAGTTCTATGAACATTCCATTTTATGCTTCCTTTAAGTACAGCTGACCATGCATTGATGCCGGGCTATGTGCAAAAACGCTAATACCTTCTTTTCGGCTGTGTGTAAGTAAGCTCGTAAGCTTCGGAGCTGCTTTATTGTGAAAAAATGTAGAATTGGGGACGTTCTCCTCAGCTGTCACTGAGGGTAACCAGGGAGTTCCTCAAGATCGTGAAGTTTAAAAACTCCTACTCGCGGTCAATTCTGCCAAAAGCAGCATTCCAAGTTTCATGGGGTCGAATGTTTTACAGCTTGCTCTTTCTCTCAAAAACTAAAATTGTCTCAGTCATGCCTAAAAACAATTAGATGAGTATAAGTGATCTGTCTGTAACATGCTGCATTGTTTTTGGGTGTTTCAGGTGGCTGCTCTGCAGGAGTCCCTGCTGCAACTCACCGCGGAACACGACGGCCGCAGCGTGACGCTGAAGGACATCTGCAACTCGCCGATGGACAATGGAGAGTGTCTGATCATGTCCCCGATCAACTATTTTCAGAACAATGCGTCTCTGCTGGATCTAGAAGACCAGGGCAGAACGTACCTTGAGCATCTCGACTTCTGCCTAAGGTGATCTCGATTACTAGTACTCGATAAGTCCTAAAGCTAACCAAACTCATTGCTATTTTGATTTCACTAAATGTTAGTGCATGACTTCTCAAGCTGGGTTTCTAAAGTACCCCCAGGGGCTCCCCAAACTAACCCCATGGGTTCTCCAAAATATCCCCGTGGCTGCTCCAAAGTAACTCCATCGTTTCTCCAAAGTGCCCTCAGGGTTTCTCCAATGCACCCTCAGCATTTCTTCAAAGTGCAGTCTGTTCCTTCAAAATACCCTAAGGGTTTCCCTAAAATACCCTCTGGGATTTCCTGAGCTCCTGAATATTGTCAGTCATCCCTGCCCCTAAGTAAAGTGTTCTTCCAGCTGAAGCACTGTTTTGAAAGATCAGTCCTTCATTGATGCATACTTTGCCAAAAACTTCAGAGCATCTGCACCATTGTTTACAAAGTCTGTAGGCTTGTGGACTGCTTTTACGTAATTACTCGAAACCCGGAGGGGTTTCTCGGCTATCAATCGGGAGATAAGAATTCCTTGAGATTGAATGAGAACCTCTGCGTTTGATAACAGCGTTATCGCTTAATTAATACTATGTTTTCGTTCATCGCGGCGGGTTAGCCCTGTTAAGTGTTTCTCACCAAGCGCCTATGTGTGTGCTGTGGGAAAGCACTGCCCACAGAGCTCGCGGTCATTGCTTTTCCGCAATATTACTTCTGCTCAGGGAGAAGCGCACTGAATGGGACTAATCCACTGCGATTATGCAAGCAGAACTGTTCTGACAACCTGCTTTCATTATTCGTGCTTGTTTTTTAGGGGCGAAGCTCCTTAGGGTCTAGCCTTGTCCGTTTGGCGTCCGCGCTCACGTCGATCTTGCTCGTGAGCTCACATGCTCACGTGCTCGTGTAGAAAAAAAAAAAGAATGATGGAAAAAAAAAGAAAAAGATGTTTGCACAGTCAACAGGATTCGAACCTGTGCGGGGAGACCCCAATGGATTTCTAGTCCATCGCCTTAACCACTTGGCCAAGACTGTGGGACAAGTAGGGGGCTCTGAGATGTGGTAGTTACTCAAGAGCTGGGGATGTCATGGATGAAACGTTGCATGTAGCCACTCAACCTCTATACAGGAGAGGGTGCTGCGGTCAAATTCCTATATAATCGCGTTGAACATTGCACGCGTTGGCTCAACGTTTATAGACGAGAGGGCGCTGCGGCCAAATGCTCAAATGCGTATATAACCACGTTCCATACCGCACATCCTTTTTCTGACGTGGATGAAAACGAACGAAAGGCTCGGCATGCTACGGCTGAGCGTCTGTGCAGACAAGCACCACCAGAGCTTCGCCCCAATCAACATTTCATTTAATTTCATTTCATTTATTTATGGTATCGTGCACTACGGGGAGATGCGGTCATTTTTTATTTTTCTGGGGTGTTTAAATTTGAGATTAAAGACAGAATACTTGCATATAGCAAGCAGACTTATAAATTCCCTCGAGTAGGACAGCTGAGCATTTCTTCAGGTTTATTTGTATGTCAAATAGGCACCTCGTCTCTTTCTGGAGTTTGAAATAATGACAGTCCACTGTAGTAAGTTTTATGTTCACAGTATCTGTAGCATGCTCCCAATACATCAGCATCTTGAATACCTGTACCAATATCATGGACACACTGCAACCTTTCTTCACTATAACTATGTACCTCTATCACTCCTACTACAGTCGAACCCGTTTATAACGAACTCCATCGGACACTCATCTTAGTTCGATATATCAAGTAGTTCGTTATAGCAAATATCGCTATTTCGTGAGGACAGCAAAAGCGAGAGAGATGAAAGGAAATCGCGCGGAATAGCGGCGAAGGCTGCCGAGCGTAGCGAGCCTCACGCCGGCGCTCAGAGCCGTGTTATCGCGAGGCAGCTTTCATGATGGAACATATGTATTCATATTTCTATCAATAAATTTCAGTGCGGTTTCGTCGGTATTATAAATATCGCAGGGCCTGTACTGCTCCGCAATTGCTGGCCAGTTTTCGGCGATCCACTTCTTGACGCTTTCATTGTCGACTGCTCGACTCTCGCCGGCGACAACTTTGTCGACGATGTCGTAACGTTCCTTGAACCGTTGAAGCCATCCGGATCCGCCACTAAAATCTTGAACGTCGAGCAAAAAGGCAGTCTTTTGCTTTCTGCTGTAACATGGGGCCCGAAACTGGAAGGTTTCGAGCGCGAATATCCAAAAACCCCGCGTACAGCGCCTTTTCCACTCTGTCAAAGGCAGGCGCCCAAATGCGCTTTCCGTCGGCGTTCGGTCGATCTCGGGCCTTTTGCAGGATCGCTGGCTTGTTTTTCAGTATCGTACTCAGCGTGCTTCTGGCGATCTTGAAGGATGCGGCGACTCCTGACTTCTTCTCGCCGCGTTCAACGTGCCGGATTATTTCCACCTTGGTAGAGAACGGTAGCAATGAACGCACCTTGGTCGCCATCTCTTGCGGGAACAGGAAGGACACAAAGAACAACGAGCCTCCTCGGCAAAACGCTAGGAACAAGAGAGCCATGTCCGGCCTGGTACGGCTGCAGGATGATGTCGTCAGAACGTCATTGCACGCTTGCTCTATTATTGGCCAGCGCGCTTCCGCGGGGGCCGGTTGCGGGCGTTCGCAGTCGGTGTTGTGACTCATCTTCTCAAGGGTCATCGTGTTTTTCTTGGTTTTCTCTTGTCCTCTGTCGCTTCGTGCATGGCAGGGAAGCCAGCGCGCTTCCGCTGGGGTCGGTTGCGGGCGTTCGCAGTCGGTTTTGTGACTCATCTTTTCAAGGGCCATCGTGTTTTTCTTGGTTTTCTCTTGTCCTCTGTCGCTCTGTGCATTGCAGGGAAGCCCGCGCGTCTCCACGGGGGCGGTAGCGGGCGCTCGCAGTTCGATATATCCGATGTGTGGTTCGTTATAGAAAGTATATTTCTCATGAATATTGATCTTAAAATTTCGTGTGTTCGATATAGACCATAATTCGTTCTAACCGGGTTCGTTATAAACGGGTTCGACTGTATAGAAAACTACAGCCGTAGCCGAATAATTTGATTTTGCGAGCAGTCTTTTTGTCAGGGCAAAAATGTCCCGATTAAGGGACTTATCTGTAATATAAATTTTAGTTCAGTTAGCTCTGCCCAAGTTCTTTTTAAGTTTCTTAATTTAAAAATTTTACATAATTTAGCGCAGTGTACAGTAACATTTGTGGCATGCGATCACGCGTTACTTTTAGGAATTTACGGTATCTAAAGAGGGCCCGATGACTAAATGAATTCATCAGAGACCACAATATCCATGCCATGCCTGGTTGAAATTTAGGTGCATTTTTTGTTATACACAGTGGCCCCCTTTCTGTGGAAGACAAGACGTTTGCGAACCTGTCCTGCCTCGGGGCATACGGTGGACCAGTGTTTCCCTTCGTCGCGCTCGGAGGCGTTCACGACGGCAATTACGCCAACTCTTCCGCTCTCGTCATCACCCTGATGGTGAACAACAACGTCGACCCGTCGCTCGTGGCGCCTGCCATCGCATGGGAACGTTTGTGAGTTTGATTGGCTTTGACTGACCAGCTCTGCTTTTACCCTTGTTGGCTCTATGCTTTCTTCCAGGTTTAGAAAAGCAGGGCAAACGTCTCTCTTAAAAAACACATGCAAAGAAAAAAATTTTTTTTTAAAACTGCCTGTTGTAAAATATTAGGCAAGCGGCCCACTCAAACTTTGCAGATGATCGCAAAAAAATGGGGGATGGATGCTTGTCCGATCATCAATTTTACATATAAATGTACTCTGCATATTTTCTGAGATCTCACAAATTAGGTAATGGGCGCTTAGTGTGGAATGGGCGGATGGGCGGTATTCTACGGTAGGTGGAAAAAGAATTTCATAGAACAAATTTATAATGAAAGAAAAAAAAAAAATTGAAAACTATATTTACGGCGCGAAATGAATTCATAGTTGTTGCCCGCAGGTGCCCGCAGAAAAGTGGCCTCTGTCACGTGGTGCTTGCAGTGTTTCGGAGGCGTCGTATGGGCTCTACTTTTTAAAAACAAAGATTAATAAGAAACTTTTAGAGCCCAAAGGATGCACCTGAAAGAGTGCAAGCACCACGTGATAGACCTGTGCGCCGGTCAGAAATTGACGGTGGCGGCACGCCGGAGTGTTCATTACCGGCGGCGGCAAGAAGCTCGTCCGACCGGCGGCGTACCACATTCGGCGTGCGGCGGCTGCGTGACTTCGCGGCGGTGGTGCCGCGCGGCGCACAGGTCTACCACGTGACCAGTGGCGGTTCCTGCGGACGCCAACTACAAAGTCACTTCTCGCCGTAAATGTAGCTCTAAAAATTTTTTCTCTTCAATCGAAATTGTATTATGCCGTTCTTTTTACATCTAAGCTGTTTAAAAAGACTTTTTCTTTTGCCATGTGTCTTTTAAAGCACTGGACTTTTAATTATTGGTGGTTTTCTTGGACAGAGTGGAGGGCTCTTAAGCTTGTCCCGCTTTTCTTAATCTGCAACGGACTATGGAGCATTGTGCAATTGGGTTTGGAACTTGTTTTTTCTTCCAGGTTCATAGAAACTTTGAAGAACTTCTCGCACCCCAACATGAGTGTGTCCTTCCTTTCGGAGGTGAGTGAGGTGGACTCACTGCTGCGGTAAAAAATGTGAACTCTGGTGTCGGTGCAAGCTCAGTTATTATGCTTTAAAAAAAAATGAAAATGAAAATTTATTAAACAACCTAAAAAGGTTTTATATATTACAAAAAAAATTTGCAAAAGAAAGTACATTTACAGTGTTAGTTGTTTTAGTTTACAACTTTCATTTATGTGCGCCAAAGTGGGCACATAACGTTGCCACACGTACACGCCAAGGGCAGCGTTCTAGTTGGCTATCTCTCCTCTCCTTGCCCCTCTTAAAGGGTAACTGCAAAGTAAAAAAGTTTTTTTAAACAGCCTATTTAGGACAAGCATGTCACAAAACAAATCTTCCGTAAAAAAAACAAATTTTTTTCTAACAATATTTACGCCGCCGGACGTAATTTAGTTGGAGTCACAACTTCTTCACATTTGAAACTGTCGCTCTTTCAACGCGCGCGGAGTGGCTGGAATACGTCACTCCGTGACGTATAGTACAAACTTTGTGGCACGAGATTTAAAACTGACAAAATAGCCGCAAACTAAAATGAGTCTTGCGCAAACTGTAAAAAATTTTGTTTTTGGCAGAAAATTTGTTTTGTGACATGCTTGTCCCAGCTAGGCCGTTTAAAAATACACTTTTTTTTGCAGTTACCCTTTAAATGCACCCCAGCCATGCGCTCCCCCCATGGAGGTAGGGGGCTTCTGGACTTTCGGTTTGGAGGGGGACAACGATGGCCAAAAACAAACGTAACCAAACAATGCTATGGGACGAAAAGGACAGCTGATTTGGTGCCAACAGCTCTTTTGGTCACTGTTGGGGGCATTCCCACCGACTGCGACACCTAATTCAGGCTTAGGGAGATTTTCTCATTTGGCTGGCTTGAGCCTGTATGTCGCCTCCATTTCTTGCTACCTCCACGGCGCTGGAGTCCTCTCCACTTTTCCATCTCGCGCGTGATTTTGCTACGTGGAGGAGAGGGAAGGAGAGAACTAGAATGGTTGCCCTTGGCGTGTGCATCTGGTGACATTGTGTACCCATTCTTGGCACGCGCTTTGGAAGCTGTAAACTAAAACAACTTTAGCGCTGTAAATAATTTTTCTAGGGTATTTAAAATTTATATTTTCCTCTTCAGTGTTTTTTTTAATGTCTGCAAGATTTAAGTTTCGCTTGCAGTCTCTTGTGCTGCCGCTCTAATTCACGGGCAAATCAGCGGCTGCCACTTTTTAATGTGAAAGCATTAACTGGTCCCATGGAGGGAAGCCGGTGGTGTCTGTAGCAGCAAAAAAGGCACCTAAATTCCAATTGTTTTAATTGACTAAGCGAAATGGCACCTAAAGTCCCATGGACTGCGACGCGTCATATCGGACACTTTGTCGCGAAGCCGGCAAGGCTGCTCAAAGTCAAAGCGGACACTCCTCAGAAATAAAACTCGAAGAAAACTGCAGCAACGCAGATGCATTGTTGCGGAAGCCGTGGAGCCGGCGGGATTTGCCGCGCCTGCGCATTGGGAAAGCGGGATGTCACCGCCAGAGTGCTGTGTCAAAAAAGGAAGACATGGCACACTGCTTCTAGGAATGTGCTACGTGTAGGAATGCTTTCATTCCTACATGTAAGCAGTTTTAAAGGGCAACTCCGCTTCATTTTTGATATTTAGAAAACTATGTAGCCCTCTTCAGTATCATATAGGTAGACCCCATGTCAAATATTACGATCTAATTCCATCTATATACTTAATAAACTTGCCAGCAAACCTTCAAGTGAGCCAAGTCGCCGAAGTCTGCCAACTCTATCGTGCGACGTGAGGCACAATCGTCAGCGCAGTCAATGCGACGGACTTTGAGTGGCAAACATTGAGCCACTACGTCAGAGGCATGTCAGAGGCATGACTACGTCATTCTCACATTTTGTTTGTTTCTACTTCTCGGAGCGAAATTCAATGATGACGTCATCAGTTTCTCCTCCCGGTGTTGGCTGAACGGCGTCCACGTGATCACCGTAACGCAGATGCGCTAGGTAGTTTGCGCTGCCCTGCGCACCTATCGGTCTGTTTCTCCAGTCCCCTTCTCCTCTTTCGTCTTCTCCCCCTCTCCCTCGGGCCATCACCGTCCACGCCATGTGAAGCAACCTCCCGCGTTGCGTGTCCTGTCCTTCGCCCCCCCCCAAGCATCACAAGACCCATGGTTCGACGTGATGTGGCCATGACTCTGACGACACCAGACCAATGTTGCTTGACAGAACCAAAGTTTCGGTTTCAGTGTCAGCTGATGTTTAAATTAGGATTACACAAATAATATTCCACATTTCGCGAATCCGAAGACGTAGAGCTGTTTAGTAGTGGGGGGCTTTGCGAGTTTGAATCGCGTGTAAGCCTAAATTTTTCGGAATTGAGCGGAGTTGCCTTTTAAGTGTCTCCTTTAATTTTTTATTGCTTTGTTATTCTAAAATGTTTATCCCTGTACAGTATGTATTCATGTGACCTTGTTGTATGCATTTTTATGCGAACAAGATTTATTCCAGCTTTCTGTTAAGACATTTACATTTTCATTGCTTAGAAGTTAGTAGTTTACTTGACCAAATATGTGTATTAGGTATGTATTCTTGTGCCGATTCCCCTGTTATGACATTTGAGCTATATATTAGTTAAACCGATACGCATTGTTGGGGCTTTATGATGTCCGAAGTGTTGTTAATTCATCTATTTTGTGATTAGACTGATTTTGTGATTATTAGTATTCCACGCTGCGTGTCAAGTGTTGGTGGGCAGGGCCCTGTCGAGCCACGACTGCAGCTTTTTCCCCCTGCTCTCTGCTCTTCTCTGGAGTGAAACTAAACAATTATTATATACATGCTTGGAGCATGTTTAACATTCGTTGTTTCTGATCTTCAAGAAATTTATTTCGTATGGTACGAAAGAAATGGACCCTCTAGCTTTTCTTCACCGCATTGATCAGAAGAGATGTCAAATTAGTATAGTGCTAGACTCCCATTATTGAGAGTGCTTAGTCTTGTGGCTTGTTCAGATCAGGTAGTGCTGTAAGCTTGATAATGCCTATTAGAACTTCTGAGCTTTCTCAGTCAGTATGGTTGTGTGTCATTTGTTTTTGTTTTTCGTCCCATGGCAGATATCTATTGAAGACGAATTACAGAGGGAAAGCCAGTCGGATGTGTTGACGGTCCTGATCAGTTACTTCATCATGTTTGTGTATGTGTCTCTTGCCTTGGGTCAGTACCGATCATGGTCAACCCTCATGGTGAGCTGCGTTGGGCCTTCCTTCGATTCTTTGATTGCAGACGTCTGTTGGGATGACTGGCAGTTTGTGTGTTTGTAACTGGGAAAGCACGTGTGCTGGAGATTACACTGTTATGTTTTTAAGCTTCACTCTGGCATCGGCTTCAGCCTTGCTAAGTGAACCTGAAAGAACCATGATCCCATTTTAAATTATTTTTTTTAGGGGTAGTAGTATTTTGTGCTAAGTGATGGCACTAAGGCTTTGTCAAAAAAAATCTCAAAAACCGAAAGCCACTGTTTTTTCTATTCTACACCCAATATGGGCACCTTTGCCAGTTTGCATGCTGCATATTCTCATTAGCTTTTACCTAGGAGGAGTTGATCATTTTTGCTTCTTGCAATATACTAGAACATAAGAATGCCCTCAGACATTTAATATGAATTTGTTTGTTTGTTACAGCACCTATCTCATTCGACACGTGGTAGTCTTACAAAAAAAAAACAGCTGAGATGAGTTTTCTGTAAAAGCTAGAGGACGAAACAAAAATTAACCATTCTTGTTCTCGCTACACATCCATGACCTATTGTGAGCATAAGTACCCAAATACTAAAAATTGTTTTATGGTGCCAAATGTTATGGTATAGACAGTAAATGCTTGCATCTCCTGTACATTGATTCCAGTGTCTCTTTTCTAGATGGACTCTCAGGTGACTCTGGGACTGAGTGGAGTGGTGATAGTGCTTGCCTCGGTGGCTTCCTCGCTGGGTCTTTTCAGCTTTGCGGGCTCGCCGGTCACCCTGATCGTCATCGAAGTGATTCCGTTCCTTGTGTTGGCCGTGGGTGTCGACAACATCTTCATTTTGGTCCAGGGATTTCAGGTAAAGGAAAACGGTTTAGCCTTTCTGAACACATTTAGCCTCTGCAACGACCAAGTCGGCTGTTGTGGTGTTGGTGAGACAGATATTTAGCACATTAAACATGGTTTGTGTATATCAGAGAAGGCTTGCTGTTCAAATGTCTTGCATGTAAAACACTGAACAATGTTAGCAGTTGGTAACTGTTTCATTCTGGACTCCTAAAGCCACGAAAATTGGCCAACACTTGACAGCGCACAAAAACAGCACACTATAAAAATTACATATGCACAAAGAAATAACCCTCACGCAGCACTGCCTGTCAACTCTGGAATATATTAAACATCATCTTCAATTTCTTTTACTCTTGCACACTAAGAAGAAAATTTTAAAAAAAAATAACCAAGAATTAGAGTTTATGGTCAGTGCTGCATGAGAGTTATTTCTTTGTGTGTATGTAATTTTACAGAGGAGCTGTTAAGGGCTAGTTTCCCCAGGATCGTGTCCACCAGCAAAGAAATGATGACACCGAACTCTGGACAACTACCGCCATGTATGAGCGACGGCAGCAACCAGACAACTGGTTGCCGGCGTCGCTCATAGATGGCAGCAACATTTCTTTGGAGGAAGAATGGGAGCGGAACGAGCGGCGATGTGCGCAGCAGCGCACAAATGGTTTTGCAATTGCTGCGAGGCCGCCATCGCCTAAAGTTCCACTTCGTCGAGCGCTTCAAATTTTCTTGTGAAAAAGGAGCAGATTGCTCGCCTGGAAAGCCACCACCAAGAACAGAAGCTACAGCTCTGCTGCGTTTCCTTCTTCACCAGGGTGTAAAGGATGTGTTTTTTATAGTGTGTTGTTTTTGTGTGCTGTGAAGTGTTAGCATGATTCACCAACTCGCCCAAGCTGAAGTATTGACGAAAATTAAGCAGAAGGTGTCAATGGTGTAGTAGGCTAGTACCGTATTTACACGATTGTAAGTCGACCCCCCCCACATTGCTCATCAGCAAAAAAAGAAAAACAAATTTTTAGATGAGAGTTTTACTGCTAAAACGTGAGAATGGGAATGTGTCTTTTTCGAAAGCCAAGCTTCCAACACGCGATCGACGCCTTCTGGCGTGCTTTGGCTGCGCATGCACGCGCGAGGTGCATGAGATGGCCAGGCGTTATCGAAACTAGGAAGCTCACACTGGAGGCGGGACAACTGAAGCTGCTCACTATCGTTCTCACTCCGTCCGCGACTACACTACGACTCGTCCGCACTGGTGATGTCAATCCCATCGCCATCACTGCTACGTTCTCGAAGCACGTCGTCGGCGCCGTCCAACGAAATCTCGCACTTCGCAAAAGACAGGATCAAGCGCATCTTCCGCGCTTGCTCAGCGATCGCGTTGCACGTCACGGGTACGGACCGATTGCACGCTTTTGCGGCATACGTTGCAAGCCTGACCTCCAACTCCTGAAGGCATCCCCACCTATCCAGACTTCGGCCTGCGGAAGCCTCTTCGTTTGCCGGCACAGTGCGCCACTGAAGGCTCCACTGGAGCATCATCCGCTCCGACGGGTCGAACTTGCGTCCCACAGCCGAGTTGTTGGTTGCTTCTGAGTGAAGATTGGCCATAAACGAGCACCGAAAACCTAAACTGCCCAGATCACGCGTGTCAGTACAAAAAAACAAACATAGTTAGCGCTCCAGCATGATCTCGTCACTCGATCAAACGATGTGCGACCAGCACGACCGTGAATCGTGCGAAAAACTGCGAGTGCGAAGAGAAGCCACGGGGTAAGTGAGCCGTGGGGCTGTCCCAGCGGCCTCTGGAGTGGCTCTTACAAGAAGTGCTGCCACCCCCTGGGAGCCGGGCGCGCCGTGCGCTGCTCACCGCCGTATATTCGGGTTAATTTGCGAATCGCTATCAGTTATACCTATACTCCTTCGTGCAAATAAAAAAAAAAAATTAATTTGTTAAATGAGCGCACAGAATAGTGCAATGCTAGAGGTACAGCCGGCTGAACTCATTACGGGCCGAGGTGTTCATGATATCGCAATCGTTTCGTATTCGCCGGCGGTGGAATGCTCTGGTTCGATTATAAGTCGACCCCCCCACTTCAGATTTTCAAAAATTGAAAAAAGGGTCAACCTACATTCGTGTAAATATGGTATGCATTGGTTTGCTGGTTCTTGGGAGACAGCCTGTGATAAGAATGTCTTCGCATTGCAGAGGGCAAACGTCCTAGACGAGGAACCCCTTGATCAAAAGGTGTCTCGGGTGGTGGGCAACCTTGGTCCCTCCCTCATGCTGGCCAGCGTCTCTGAGGCAGCCTGCTTCTTGCTCGGTGAGTCAGCAATTTTTGAACTTGATTTGGAACGTGCAAATGTCAGTATATTAGTAGCCCCTATTGTGCAAACCTTGTACCTGCATGCAAGAGTTCCACGGTTCACACTATGCAAGAGGACTTTGTCAAGAAGAAATCGCTTCGTGCTCTTCCACTGCCTAGGTGATATGCAAAATGCTCGTTTCTTTTGGTTATAGATGGTATGCTTGTGGTAAGAACAATGTTGTCAGTCCATCGTCAGTGAACTGGTCAGCAACAGTCCTCACTGTAGTCGGATACAATTTAATGAATGTGGCACCTCCAGCACAAGCTTTCTACTTTCATTAACACTTAGACAAAACATGACGGAAGGCAAAGCGCGTGTGCTGGAGTCAAAGCTTCTGGTGGAAACAGCAGTCCAGTTTTACCAGACAAGGCATCATAGTCATTACTCTTCACCTTTTACAGCGGAACTGTTAAGGGCTAGGTTCCCCAGGATCGTGTCAGATACCAAAGAAATGACGACACAAGCCTACACTAACCTCTGGACAGCTACCGCCATCTATAGACGAACCCGCGTCCCTGACGTCACGCAGCTGTGGTGGCGCTGTCGACGGCACTGCGCATGCGCGGACGCTTCACTTCACGCAAATCCGGTTTCTGCGCACGCGCAGTGCCCACACCTGGTGTGGGCAAACGCGGGTTTGTTTGTAAACAGCATGCCGGTCTATAAGCGACGGCGGCAACCAGGCAACCAGTGTGGTTGCCGCCGTCGCTCATAGATGGTGGCGACCTTTCCAGTTATCATAAAAATATTGATAGTTGAACAAGTTGGTGGGAATTTATCGTAGGGAACAGGCGCGAAAAACAGACGAGGACAAAGAAGAAACACGTGACGGGCGCAGAGCACGTCACGCGTGTTTCTCCTTCGTCCTTGTCTGTTTTGTGCACTGTTTCCTACGCTGTCATCGGTTTGGGTTTGGACTGATGATGGGTCGGCCGCGTGCCCTTTCTTCGGGGAAAGAAGGCCGGGTGCGGAAGGAGCGGTAACGTACGCAGCAGCGTGAATGGGTCCGCAACCGCCGCATGCGTCGAGCGCTTCAGATTCTCTTGCGAAAAAAGAGCAGATCGCTCGCTACAGCTCTGCTGCTCCTCCTTCTTCACCAGAGTGGATGGGGAAAGTTTTTTATTTGGGTACTCATCACGTAAAAAGGTTATGTGCAGTGTTTACCTAGACCTTCCTTGAACTTTGGAGCATCTGGAACATGACCGTGCTGAATAAGTGAAGTTGGTGTCCTCTCGGTAATTTATTCATCTTTTACCTGCCCTTTGCTTGGCAGACCACTGTTCAGTGAATTCTGCTATAGCAGCGATCCAGAAATCTCTGCCAGTGAAGCATTCAGCGAAATGTTTATCACCAGTCTCATTCGCGGTTGTTGCTGCCAGTTCGAGTGACTTGCGTTCATAACAGGCCTTACGTACGGGCCAACGGCCTTTCTGTGGTGCCGGAACACTCCAGGGTTGAATAAAAATTATATTATCAGCCTGCAATTGTCACCTCAACCAGTGATGGCACGTGCTTGGCTGCTTCAACATCGCACGTTCCCTGTGCACTCTCTATGTTGCCCTTTGATTTGCAAGCCTCTCCTTGCATTCCGATGTGCCAATAACGCATTTTTGGTATGCTCGCTGAACTGCACTGTGTCTGTATACTTTTTCTGTCGGCATCAATTAAGCACTCCCTGTACTTGCTGCAGGGGGATTGAGCACAATGCCAGCTGTGAGGACGTTTGCCCTGTACGCTGGTGTGGCACTCCTTTTGGATTTCCTGCTCCAAGTGACCTGCTTTGTCGCCTTGCTTACATTGGATGCTAAGAGACAGAGGGTGAGTGCTGCTTCTTTTAAAGTACAAGGAAAGTGCATAACCTTGTAAAAAATAAGGGTTTTGTACACTGGGAACATGTGTATTTAGCGAGAAATGAGGTTTGATGGCTAGTTTATTAGATGCTCTTTTTTTGTGGACTGGCTGGAACCTCTGTTTCCAGAACAGTCCAAATTCCTGGCGTGTAATCCGTACAAACAGTTAGCTATTATGAGCTATACTGTTCACAATGAGTTTCATATATGAGTGCTTCACTACCGTAAAATGCTGGGGGACCACCCACCCTACCACACTTTCACTGAGTATGGGGTCAGTCTAGACATGAGCGCTTGTCCGGTAAAATCAGGCACTTAATGTATAATTTGCAGAATTCCCAAGTTTGGGAAATTTTAATAGTGGGCGTTTGGACGAAGTAGGTGCTTGTGCGGCATTTCATGGTATATTGAGCACTTCACTGTGTTGAGAGCTTCACTGTGTTGAGAGCTTCACTGTGTTGAGAGCTTCACTGTGTTGAGAGCTTCACTGTGTTGAGAGCTTCACTGTGTTGAGAGCTTCACTGTGTTGAGTGCTTCACTGTGTTGAGTGCTTCACTGTGTTGAGTGCTTCACTGTGTTGAGTGCTTCACTGTGTTGAGTGCTTCACTGTGTTGAGTGCTTCACTGTGTTGAGTGCTTCACTGTGTTGAGTGCTTCACTGTGTTGAGTGCTTCACTGTGTTGAGTGCTTCACTGTGTTGAGTGCTTCTTTTACTGAACGTTTTATTATGTTGAATGCTTTGTTGTATTGAACACTTTATTATATTGAATGCCTTGTTATATTTGAACACTTCACTGTTTTGAACGCTTCACTATTTTGAACGCTTCACTATTTTGAACGCTTCACTATTTTGAACGCTTCACTATTTTGAACGCTTCACTATTTTGAACGCTTCACTATTTTGAACGTTTCACTATTTTGAATGCTTCACTATTTTGAATGAGGCTTCACTATTTTGAATGAGGCTTCACTATTTTGAATGAGGCTTCACTATTTTGAATGAGGCTTCACTATTTTGAATGAGGCTTCACTATTTTGAATGAGGCTTCACTATTTTGAATGAGGCTTTACTATGTTCAATGAGGCTTTACTATGTTCAATGAGGCTTTACTATGTTCAATGAGGCTTTACTATGTTCAATGAGGCTTTACTATGTTCAATGAGGCTTTACTATGTTCAATGAGGCTTTACTATGTTCAATGAGGCTTTACTATGTTCAATGAGGCTTTACTATGTTCAATGAGGCTTTACTATGTTCAATGAGGCTTTACTATGTTCAATGAGGCTTTACTATGTTCAATGATGCTTTACTATGTTCAATGATGCTTTGCTATGTTCAATGATGCTTTGCTATGTTCGATGATGCTTTGCTATGTTCGATGATGCTTTACTATGTTCAATGATGCTTTACTATGTTCAATGATGCTTTACTATGTTCAATGATGCTTTACTATGTTCAATGATGCTTTACTATGTTCAATGATGCTTTACTATGTTCAATGATGCTTTACTATGTTCAATGATGCTTTACTATGTTCAATGATGCTTTACTATGTTCAATGATGCTTCACTATGTTCAATGATGCTTCACTATGTTCAATGCTTACCTATGTTCAATGCTTACCTATGTTCAGCGCTTCACTACAGTACACTCACGATAATTCAAACTTGGATATTTTATACTTCTGGTTAAGTCAAACAAATTTAAAATATGGTTGTTCCTCTATGTTTTAGAGCGCAACTCTTAGGCGCCCTTTTCTGACTTGAGCGGCAGTGGCGGTGGCGCCGTGCGTTGCATTTTGCCCATAATGACGTCAGACGTGATGTCACGAGGCTCACGAGTGACACCACTTGTGACGTCACCGCGTTACATTATGGGTAAATTTTCCCACTAAATTTAGCGGGAAAATTTCTTTGCTTAACTTAGCGGAAGTAATTCCCCACAAAATTTAGCTGGAAACATTTCCCGCTAAATTTAGCAGAAAGATTTCTCCGCTAAATCTAGCGGTAAAATTTTCTTGCTAAATATAACAAAAACTTTAGAAAATTTTCTGCTAAATGGCAGGAGAGGAGAGTACGGATGAGGAGAGGGCATACCCTCCTCTTTGTACCTTCCCCTCCTTCTCAAGAGCTGCGCTCTAATTCGGCATTAGAGGAGATTGTAAACGTCTTTCATTTTTTTTAATGCATTCATAAAACGTCATCAAGCACGCACCGCTCACGCCCAAGTGCGGGAGCGTGATGTCACCGCCGGAGTGCAGTGTGCAAAAGGTGTGCTTCGGACTTCATATATGCTCGTTGTGTGCTTTGTGTGATGGACCGTGAGGCGACCGCGTCTGCATCTACGGCCTTGACATCGGCAGCAGCGTCTACATCTACGGCAGCTTTCTCAGGCAAACGTGGCAGACCACGCAAATACACCACAGCCTCCTCAAGGGGGGACACTACCCAGAAAAGTTTACTTCTGTACCGCTTGCTTGATTTCAATCAAATTTGCAGTTGAAGTTTATGAGTGGCAAGACCGTCCCTGCCAAATTTCATTGTCTTGTGCCAATTCTGAAACTTGTTACAATATGGAAGTCAGTGTGTACGCCTAGGAAAACTATTGTTTTAAAATAAAAATGTGAGTTTTATGTGTAATATAGTCATAGGAATATCCATAGCACATACCCAGCTAGTTACCTTGCTATATTGCATTGCTTTCATTAGTATAACTCCATAAGATTAGATTTTTTTCTCTTCATGTGTGTACTTTTTTACAAATGTAGTTTTTTCAGCATAAAAGAATTTTAAATTGGAAAGACTAACCAGCCAAGCATGTTCCTCACAACCACCTAAGAATAATTCTCTATTGTGTAATAGGAAAATGGTAGTTTTTCTAAAGAGATATTTATGCCGAAAAGTGGAACGTAGAAACATTTTCTTTAGCATTGGTGGACCGAAAATAATTTATAAAAAATTAACTGTGTAATGTAAACTAATTGAACTTTCTGGGAATACTCTCTAGATGTTGGTGGATGTAGATGTGGCATTTTTTCAAAAAATCAACTTTTTTTGTAGGAATTTTTTTTTTTGGGTAGTGTCCCCCCTTAAGGGGGGACACTACCCAAAAGAGTAAATTTTTGAACCACTTGTCGGATTGAAATTATATTTACACTGCTTGTTTCTGTTGATGTTGAAAACATTTTTGCCAATTTTTGTTAACCTGGGTGAAGTACAAAAAAAAATCGCAAACGTTCAAAGACGAAAGTGGGTGTGTCTGCTTAGGAAAACTATTGTTTTGAAATTACTTATAAATTTGTTGTTTTCATGTGTTATATTGCATTAGGACAGTTCAAAGCAGATAACTATGGAGCTATATTTCTATGTTATACCATCTTTCATGACAAAAAAGCCACATAAACACAAATAGAGTTTTTTAAATTTCCATTCTTTGTCCAAACTTTTAGTTCTTGAGCATGAAAAATGACAAAAATAAAAATTACAAGCTCATAGTTATCTTCCCCTTAAAATTTCACCCCAGAAAAATTCATAAAAATGAATCTAAGTTGCGTAATAACAAAATGATAGTTTTCCTAAAGTGAAATTTATGCCAAAAAGTGGAATGGAGAAAAATGTGTTCAAAGTGCTCTGACCTCTACCTTTTCTTTAGCATCAGTGGACCGAAAATAATTTATAAAAAATTAACTATGCAGTGTAAACTAATGAAACTTTCTGGGAATACTCTCTAGATGTTGGCGGATGTAAATATGACATTTTTTTAAATGAACTTTTTTTTGCAGAAATTGTTTTTTCTGGGTAGTGTCCCCCCTTAAGTGTCCTCCTCTAAGCATCATTCTCAATGTCATGCTGTATGTAGTCCTTAAGGTCGTCCTAGATGTTGTCCTTAAGGTCGTCCTAGATGTCGTCCTTGAGATTGTCCTAGACGTCGTTCTTGATTTCGTCCTCGATGCTGTCTTTCAGGCTATCAGAGGATTGTCCTCGGCGTTGTCCTCGAGGTCATTCGAGAGGTCGTTCTAGACAGCGTATTTGGGGTCGGTCTCTAGGACGCCGTCCTAAACTTTAATATATGTAGAAACATCACTCGGGAACATTTCTCCCGCGGGACTATGCTTTCACCTTCCTAGTCGTAAGCAGTCTTAAAGGAACTGTGCAACGATTTTAACGTTGAAAGAATTGGCATCTTCTGCTTTTGATATTGTTCACCTTGTCACAAATGACAGAAAACACGCCTCCTTTCATTGAAATGATGCGATTCCGCCGTGTAATAGCGAGGTAAAACTTAGAATATTCCCCGACCTGCAGCCGCGAGCGGCGGCCATGAGAAACACACAGTGTGACGTCAATGAGGAATCTTGTAGAAAGATAGCAAGTTGCGCGAATACCTGCTTGATAAAAGGTAACTTTTCTATAAATCTTGTCGTTCCAACATATATATAAATGCGTCAAAAACCTGGTATCATCGACAAACTTTTATTATATGGAGTTTTAGTGGCGCCATCTATCCTAGGTCCACAAAACCGTCAGTGCTGTCTGCTTACCACGAACAGAAGCCGGAGGGGGAGGGGTACAGAGTCGGACGGGTATGGCCTCCCCGGATGAGACTTTCCTCCTTTCACCATATTGTTCACGCTGCGCCTGCCAGCACGTGGTCACGCGGTCGCGAGCGGATGAGTTCTCGCTGCTCACTGATGGCTCTAAAGAGAGAACTTTTCCGAAACCCCGCGCCTATCCCCTCAACGTCACTGCGCACGTGACCCGGAAACAGACGTAAGAGTTGAGAGGCGGCAAAAACCTGGATCTTTAATTTTTTTAAATGAAAACTAGGGTATTCAGACAAAATCTGTTTTCTGTAGTTCACTTCAGAAGTATCAGGCATCAACTTCCACAATAATTTAAGCAAAGCCCTGAAATTGTTGCACAGCTCCTTTAAGTGTCCTGTAATCTTTTTTGTTCCCCCGGCTTTGTTGAGTGCCCTCCTTTCCGAGCACCGGTGCACTGCAGAAAAGCCACACTCGCAGAGCTTCCTTTCGCGGGGGTGTTTCTTCTCCGCAGTGCACCGGTGCTTGGTGAGAAGTGCACTCAACGGGACTTGGGCAGGGCAACAGATGAGCCATGAAAATGGGCTCCTGTGTAAATTTCTACAACTGGCGCAAGCGCTGTGACGTGGTGGCATGGCATAGGTCCACGTCGCAGGGTTTGTGCAAGTTGCTATGAAATCTGCTGCGCGGTGCCCTTTCTCATCACTTGCGTGTCCCTGCTTGATTGTTCGCGTTAGACAACTTCTTGGCCTGATGGACAAACTTAATTTTGTTTTGAGTTGTAATGAGCTGTTTAAACAGTCCACGATGAACAGCAACTTTGAGAGATCAACAAACTTTTGTCATACATTTCACAAATGTTTCATGTGTGGCATACTTGCTTATGATCAGTAAGGCCTATGTAGAGGCAATCATTAAATATCTGCTTTGTATGTGTGGCCATTCATATGGCAAATCATAATTTTATCTTTCATCATATTTAGATGTATTTCTGATACTTCAAACTGCTGATAATTCAAACAAAATTTGTGGCACTGTTTGTTGATTGCTTCATTATGTTGCACTCTTCACTATGATGCACTATTCACAATGTGTTATATCAAGTAACCTGAGCACTTGGTTACTGGAGTATTGTAACCACCTTTATTTTCGTGAGCTCAATATTTAACGCATTTTGCTAAGTATGAATTTTGAGAATATTTTCTTGGGACAAATTTGTGGTTCAGAGTGATATGCTATGTATTCGTTACCATGGGCTGATGTATATTTGCTTGATAAATTTTTCACGTTATTTTCGAAGTCCCGAAAATTGGGTTCTTGAGAAAACTGTTGTTTACAGTATTTAGCTTTTGGCTGCATGTATATCCACTTACAAGATACAATATCTTGAGCCATGAGTATATATAGATTAATGTTGGATTCTTACCATACCAAACTTTTGTACAGAGTCGTGTCTCTAGACACCTCCGTTCTCCAAACAGTTGTTCATAATAACGAGACATACCGTATTTACTCGCAGAATGAACGCACTTTTTTTTCCGAAAAATCGATGCAAAGTTGGGGGGAGCGTTCATTACGCGAAGTAAAACTTTTGCGTCCGTATTTACTCGCATAATGAACGACCTTTTATCCTGAAAAATCGAACTTCTTATCTCTTTGCGCGCGGCGCCCGATCTCCTAACCTAACTAGCTGTGCAAAAAAAACAAAACAAAAAAAAACTCCTCTTTGTTTTCTTTTTCTCTTAGTTCCTTGGGTTCTTTTTGCCGCCTTTCGCAAGCTGTTTTGTTTGCTTAGGCGAGGGCTCTCCGCTTATCTTTCTTATCTCCTTGCGCGCGACGCACGACCCCCATAACCAAACTGCGCTGTGCAAAAGAAAAGAAGAAAAAAAACTCTTTTTCTTCTGTTTTTTTTTTCAGTTCCGTGGATTTTTTTTTTTTTTGCCGCTTTTTGCAAGCTGTTTCGTTTGCTGAGAGGGCTTCTCAGCTCCTCTTTCTTACCTCCTTGCGCGCGGCGCGCGACCCCCCCCCCCCCCCCCCCCCCCCCCCCCCCCCCCGTAACCAAACTGCGCTGTGCAAAGAAAAAGAAAGCTACTCTTTTTTTTTTTTTTTTTTCCCGCTTTTCGCAAGCTTTCGTTTGCTTAGAGCGCTTCTCCGCTTCTCTTTCTTACCTCCTTGCGCGCGGCGGCGCGCAAACCCAAATCCAGACTGCGCTGCGCAAAAAAAAAAAAAAAAAGTTCCTCTCCATGTTTTTTTTTTGCTTCCGTTGGATCTTTGCAAAATTTTTAACGCCTTTTGCAAGGCGTTTTGTTCGCCCACGCTGCCCATGCATTCGCGACCTCGATGCATTAGGAAAAAAAGCGCGTTCATTTCGCGCGCGTGGGGGGAGGGGGTCAAAATTTTGACATCCGAGTTGGGGGTGCGTTTATTACGAGAGTGAATAAAAAAGTCGAAATTTTGAGAGCCGACTTGGGGGGTGCGTTCATTACGCGAGTGCGTTCATTGTGCGAGTAAATACGGTAAATGTGTGCACAGCGTAATCCACTTACCGTAAAATACCGAGCAAGCGCCCACTCAAAATTATGGGATAATCGCGGAAAACTCGGGGATGGGTGCTTGTTAGGTCCGAGAGCAAAAACGCAGGATTGTATAGTGGGGTGGGCCCTTGCTTGGCCCGACCGCCGAACTCAAAATGGCGGCCATTGGATGCACTTGGAAAAGGGCAGTCATTTGCCGAGCATGTGAACGTATAAAAGCAGAAAACCTTGCAGAAGCATGGATGTAACCAGTTTATTGAGAGAAATTAAAAAAAAAAAAAAAAAAAACACTAATGAATTCTAGTCTTTGTCAGTGAAGCCGTCAAAAGACTCTTCAGAGTCCGAACAGAACACTAGGTCCACACACTCGTCAGCAAGGGCACCGCGGTCATGGGGCATCGATGACGATGCCATTCAACAACTTCGACTTTCCTAGTGACCGTATACGAGTGCACCGTCCAAACAAGCGAACCGAGCGAACGCAAGCAACGCAGCGCGGTGAACACGAAACTAACCGAACCACCGAACAACAAGCGGAAGCGGAGGGGCAGAGGCACACGGGCACACGGCACGTGTGCAGCACACGCGCTAAGCTCTGTGCGGCTTTCCGTTCGCTAGATCCTCCTTTCCAACGTAGTGTGTCTTCACTGCTTCACTGTTGCCACCGTGCCCTTGCCTCTCTTCCTTTGTACACCAGGTTGCCTGTATCTTTTGTTATTTCTGCCATTTGACCTCGATTCCCGTGGCGCCGGAGTGTTGCTGTGTTGCGCCGGAGCCCTTCGTCCGATTCCCGCAGTGCCCTTCACCCCCTTCGCCCGCGCTGTCGTGACTCGTAATTCAACTTCAGGAGATAACGGCCGTCCACGGCGACTGGGCGCTTGCCATGTCCTTCGCATAGTTTTTAAATTTGCCTAAAATGGGGGGTGGGCGGTTGATGTGTCCTCTGTTTGTTCTTGAAATCGTTCAAAAATAGGGGGTGGGCCCTTGATGTGACATGGGCCCATGCTCGGTATTTTACGGTATAACGATAATGAGACAACCCAAAAGTGCAATCGTTATACCCAATTTTTGTTGTATCTGGCCTAGAAACTGGTCGTTTCTAGTCTAAGAATTTTATAAACTGATCGTTAGAAGTGGTATATTGTTATATGTGGTATCGTTTGAAGTGGATTGCACGGTATTTACAGTTTGTGTAAATGGTGTCTATATGGCTTAAAATGGTGTCTCTATGGTGGGGTATCCTGAACGGGGTTCATATTAACGAGACATGGCTTCTGTACTGATAGGACTGCTAATGCACCCTTTCCACTTCGCTACTGTCCGCCTCAGATCTGCCCTTAAGCCAGGGGTGCTTTTAACGGGCAATTTGTTTCCTCGTCATTCCAGGCCCGGCGTCTGGACATGTGCTGCTGCATCAGTCGCACTCCGGAACTCCTCGAAGAACCGCCGTCCAACGGTTTCCTGTACGGCCTCTTTGAGAAATATTACGCACCGGCTTTAATGAAGGCACCTGTCAGACTGGTTGTTGTGAGTAGATTCACACTTGTCACAATTTCTTTATCTGTTAGTTCACTGTTCTTTACGTGACATAGAAAATTGAATGTCTGGTGCCACAAGATTTTGCTTTTATGTTCAAACTTCATCATGATGGAGGCTGAAATTTGAGAACGATGGCAATTAGCTAAGGAGACTTCATACTTGCCCCAGTGTTTTCAACTACCAAACTTTTGGTTTCTCTAAGACCTCACTTTTTGGAGACTTCCCAAATTGGCAAACATTTGTAAAATTACAGACCACATAAGTCTGTATTCACGAGTTCAAAATGCTGATAAAACTTGCCAGCTTGGGAAATGTGAATGTGTCATTTATACCGTATTTACTCAATTCTAAGCACCGCCTTTTTTTCACACCCGCGATGTTCAAAGAGGAGGGGTGCTTAGATTCGGAACATGCCCCAAAAATATGAAATTTGCACAAGAAATATGAATTTATTATTATCAAAATGAAAGAATAAATGTTCTAAAGGAAATAAATAAAGCCCGCTTGCCATCAGTTTGCACCACAGTCGACTAGTCGCTCTCGCAACTAGTCTTTTGAGGATGATGTAGGCAAGTTTCCGACCGTCGGCTGTGATGCGCAGCATTACGGTCAGTCACCCTTTGCTTCTCATAGCCAGTCGTACGCCTTTTACTTCTCGGGCCTACTTCGTTCACGGTGCACGACCTTGGCATGTCGATGTACACAAGGGTCTCATCGGCATTGCCGATCTGCCCGAGTCCGTACCGAGATTCGGGACGCAGCTTCATCACATAATGTTAGAAGTTGACAAGCTTGTCCTCAAAGTCCAGCGGTAGCTTCTGGCAGATTGTGGTGCGGCGTCTCTAAGAGAAACTGTTCCTCTTCATCTGCCCCACCCAGCCTCGGCTTGCGCGGAACGCCGCACTCCGAACTGTTCAGCAGCGTCGCGATTTCCGTTGTCTTCCGCGTAAGAAATAACCATTCTCTTGAACTTCATTGTGTATGAAGTTCTCTTCGCACTCATGACGGACAATTTCCGCAAACCACGTGCACACAGTGAACGGAATATGATTGCAAGGCCAAGGCGGACGAATGCGGTAGGCTTAACAGACTATAAACTACCGAATGCAACAAGCGCAAGGAGACCAAACAGACTAAACATATTCGATAGAGGGTACGCCAACGCGCACCCTCTTTCGCAACCTGCACGGATGTGAAAGTAGAAAATGGCAGTATGTGCTGCCATCTATTAACTGACGTTGAAACCAAGCGCCAGCGGCCGTTCGCGACTCCGCTCGGCGATACCGGCGCCTCCGATCTCAAATTTTTTGTTGGGAGGGAGGTGCTTACATTCGCATGCAAACTTTTTTTCAGGTGTTTGTTTGAAAGGGGTGGGGGGGGGGGGGGGGGGTGTTTAGAATCGCGAAAATAAGGTACTTCAATGATAAAGATTAAGGCCGCAATCAATCTGGTAGGGTGCAAGTGCATTTGTGTTATTACAGAGGCTCATTAATACCTGCAACTCTGTTGTAATGGAAAGCAAGAGTGTAAAATAGTGAATTCATGATTGTTCTTATTTTATGAGAGTACACTATTGTCCTTCAGCAGCTCGCTTAATTTCTTTCGGGGATTTCAGAGATTGTAATGGTGCAATCCCGGGGATACTGGTAGCGTAACTTCGCTTTATATCGGCTCATGTGACTTTTCCTTTATTTGCTTTGATTGTGGTTGGAGAGCAGGATAGTTTAGGACCTAAGCAGATGATTGTGACTTTGTGGCTGTAGCTTCATTGTTTTTTGACGGTACATTTTTTTTTGAACAGATGCTGGTTTTTGTGGGCTGGGCATGTATCTCCCTCGCTGTCACAAACAAGATAGAGATCGGCTTGGACCAGGAGATCGCAATGCCTCTGGTGAGCAGTTTTAGTCCACAACTGGGCCCAGGCATGTATGTAGCCAGTGGGGGGGGGGGGGGCCATGGGGCCCGGGCCTCATGGGCCCCCCCCCCCTGGCTACGTGCCTGAAAGGGGGCAATGGTGATGACGTTTAGCTCAATGTTGATTACGCCCATGCCTTGGCTGCGCTGTTGGTTGCGCCTGAATTCGCCTGCTTGAGTCAGTCAATTTCGGCGATTTGGTTAGCTGCAAAGTTTGCCGGACCGTTTAAGAAACATTGAAACAGAATTGCGTCGTAATATTTGATGTGTGGTCTTCCCAGGCGATACTGAAGAAGACTGCATTGGTTTTTCAAAATCAAAAATGAAACGGAGTTGCCTTTAATCAAACAAACCTTAATTATGAACATGCGGCAGCTTCACCAAGTAAAAAGACATGAGTGGAGTTTGCCGATAATATCAGACGGGCATCAGTTCTCTTCGAACTGCGCCAGGCATTGCAAGAACATTGTCACTGCCGCTGCACTCCACTTTGTTTCGAAGCAGCCGTAGGATGTTACGTGTTTCCACAGTCATCGGCGTTTCCCAAAGTGCCTTTCCGACGTTGCTTCATATTTACCCTAGCCACACGCAAAGTTTTTTACGATCACAGCATTCATGGCAACAACGGGAATGTTTGCTTCGACGACCGCGAAAGAATGAGTTATCCTTGCTGGCTTCACAGACATGTTTTCAGACTCCTGTAGACACCATTACAGCTCTGGGAATCGTGCGTTAACTCAGCAGACATGCTCGCGAAAGAAAATCAAACGTGCACAGAGCATTTGGCAATCTTTCATCTGCGGGTTGCAGAATTCTTTAGCGATTTCAGACTTGGACCAGCCACTTTCCTCAACCTCGCAGATCTAAGCAACTTCCGATAAACATCCCACTCCCATACAACGCATGTGTGCATGTAGCGTGTGGTACGCCACAGGCGCGCCCGTGTAGGCACACGCGTCGAGGGCTCCCGAAGGGTTTGTCTCCTCCGGGCTCGACCGCGGCGGCGTTGGCTGCGGGTGCCGTGAGTAGCGTCTGAACATGGACGCTGCTTCCACTGCTACCTACCCCCACGGCGCATCGGCACCGGAAGAGGCCCTCTGCCTTCTGTCACCCGTTTGTTCCGTTTACTTGTTTGCCATTTTCCCAGTTTGCCGTTTACCTTGGAGGAGAAGGGGGGAGGGAATGCAGAGGTCTCTGTGCGTCTTCGTGTAGGCTTGCGTGCTTTCGGCACCTTGGCCTTTGTAATAAGCGTGGTTGGGCGCCGATACACTTGAAATAATCTGGTTCAAAATGCATGCATTTTGGTCGGGACCACGTTGAACGTCGTTAAAAGTGATAATTAGAAAAAAACTATTTCATTGTAACGATCGAGAGATTACTGTACCTGGCACCCCCAGGAGGAGGAAATGTGCAGCATTTTAACAAACAAAATTAATTATTAGAAGCTCGTATATTTACTTTTTAGCATTCTCTACAACCTAGAACAGGCTATTTTATACGTAGTGTTCCCCAAAATAAAAAGCTGGCAGAAGTTGGGCATCACTGTTTAGAAAGTCTTAACTTGGTCAAATTTCGTCGTAAGTTCAGAGGCTCGCCGAATCAGTCGAACTTCGAGGTTTGACTGTGTATGTCGGGTTTGTCGAAAATTTGCGACGTCCCCAGTTACAAGTATGGTCTTTCGGGAGGTGTTGTGAACCTTGCAGTGTGCTTTCCTTGCAGGACTCCTACCTTCAAGGCTACTTCCACATGCAGAAGACCGCGCTGGCCGTGGGGCCTCCGCTGTACTTTGTGGTGCAGCCGGGGTACAACTACACCGGCAAGAAGGACCAGGACCTGGTGTGCGGGTCTGCGGGCTGCGCCCCAGACTCTCTAGTCTCCCAGATCCAACTGGCGTCCATCTACAGCAACGTGTAAGTGTTTGGCACGCTGCTGGAGCACTTCATTTTTTATTTTTTGGAGTGATAGTTTTAGTACATAGGAATTCTCCACGGGCCTTCCTTGCTCGTGTGCTGTCATGCAACATCAATTTGCCCGCCAAATTCAGCGGAGAAATCGTCATGGTACCGCATGACTCAATGCCATTGTGTCACGAGATGTCATTGTCGCGACGTCACGGTGTTGTGCGATGTCAGTGTCGGACGACGTGACGTCGCAATTACCCCGCTAAATTTATCGGTTAAATACATCCACTGAATTCTGATAGAAAGTTAGGAATTCAATAAAGTGCATTGAATTTGATTGAATGTCCAAGTCAGGCTTTTTTTTTTTTTTTTTTTTGTAGCAACAGTTGCAAGTGGAATGTGATGGGCGACCTTGATGGTGGAAAGTTGAAACAGTAGCCGAGTCTGTTTTGTATGATGTTCCGTTTGTCATTCCAAAAATAAAACGAGAGTTTGTGAACATTCGGCCTTCTTGTGTGGTTATGCAAATTACCCCGATTCAGATTGTTTGCATAAAATATGTTACCACTTGTGCTGTCTCCTGAAAGGAAACAATGTATGAGCAGCAGCCTGCATAAGGAGGGGACATCATTGATGAATAAATAAATAACAAGCAGGCATATTTGTTAAAGCATCAAAGGGAACCTTACTTTCATTGTTATAACAGTGAACCTAAAGGTGCAATTAACTTGAGCCAGAAATCTGCACCTTCAGTAGTCTGGCTATATACACCTTGTTTCAATATGAGCTCGCAGCAGCAATGGCACTATTTGCTAATGAGTGAAATGCTTGCAGTAAAAAAGAAAAAAAAAATGTGTGCATCTTGTCAGATTGGTTATTATAGGAGTAGAGCCTCTTATGTTGCCTAAACTTTATTAATAGAGGGTAAAAGAAAAAAAAATTCTGAACAAATTTGTTTATGAAGGTGCCCTAAAACTAGCCATACCAATCCTGCATCTTGGTGAGGTAAGGTCTTTGTGGAAAAAATAAAATCAAGGACCCCGGTGTAGACAGTGACTGCAAAAAATGAAGCAAAACGATACTACTACTGGTCCTGAATTGTCCCTGCAGGACAACCATCTCGCAACCCGCCCAGTCTTGGCTCGACGACTACATCTCGTGGAGCGGGACCCAGGACTGCTGCCGAATGAACGCGACGACAAAGCAGTTTTGTCCGAGGCACGAGAATAGTGAGTCACACGCTGGCAATGCGTCGCACGATCTCGCCTGCACTTTCGTATCACTCCGCTGCGCCGCCGGTCGGCCGCGCCGCCCGCGTTCGCAGAGTATTTCGTTTGCTTCAGGTGTATAAACGATATCGTCTGCTACAGGTTGAAAAAGTGCCCTTTCACGTTCTGAAACTTAGTCACAGGGGATGTCAGTACGTAGGCTGGCCGCTGGCATCTGTGTCCGAGCTTTCCACCTGTTCGGCATAGTTTCGAGTTGTAAGTACACGTTGCAAGGTCCCCGATGACCCGGCCGTTGATGTTTTCTTGTATTGTCTGGATATACAAGACTTTTCCACCAGCTTCTCGGCGTTCAATGTGATCGGCAGGTAAAGGGGTGCCCTGATTTCGCCATGTATCTGAATTGTTGTGGCCCGAACGCTTTGCTTGTTTACAACGCGTCGGTACGACGCGGCCGGAGTCTCCTGCCGAATTTGAAAGTGGACATTCATCACGACTTCTTGCGCCTGACGCCCAAACATTCTTTTGGGAAAGGACGTTTTGAAGCGACTCGGTGAGGAAGGCAGCGAAGCACATGATTCGGCGATTACGGGAACGAAATCACGCAGAAAAACCGAACTCTGCAGCCATGTTGCCAACAGATATACATGTTTTCACCAAACCACATGCATTTACATATAAACTTCAGAGATTTGATTCCTTTAGTTGCAAATCATTCTCAGCAGTACACATCTGGAACATTGTGCAGTTTTTACGTACAAAACAGTTAATTTAAAAGAAATTACTTTTGTGAACTACTTTGTGGTACGTAGGAATGCTCTTCTCGAAGTTGCGAACCGTCCCTCAGCCTTTGGCTGCGCTCGGACGGAAGCTGATATGAAGTATAGTTATTACTCCTTGGGACATAGCCGAGTTGGCTGAGATCGTAAAACTGAGTTGCATGTTCTGTACTATTCTGTATTGCTACTCCCACGACTGGGACAAATTTCATGTCCATCGCGCAGTATCTGCGTGGGAATCATTACTGCATTGCGTGCCACTGGCCATGTTCACTCTGCACTTGTTTGCCTAAACAGCTTTATTTGATGCCTCCACTGATCATTCTTTTTATGATGTAAAGCTGTAGGGCTCTTGCATAAGGCAGTTGTTCTCAAATGGGGATCCACGGACCCTTTCGGGTCCGTGAAGGCCTTCTAGGGGTTCGCAAATTCCTGCCTTAGTCAAGCCTGACAATAAAAGTTCTCTTTTTTTAAGATTAAGAAGAAACATTCTATTTTTGGGCAGAGTTTTCTCGTGTCTATGTCGATGAGAGTAGTCTACTTCACCTAGCTCCTAGTTATATCTATTTGTTAAATCGTAATAATTAACCTATATGTTTCTCATCCCCTCATCATAATCGGGGTCCCCGATCCACAAGGGGTCCGCGAAACATCAATGGTTGAGAACCACTGGCATAAGGCATAATTTCCTGTGCAAAAAACTTGCCACACTCAGACCTGAGGTTAGCAGGAGAGTGTGAGCCCTATTAACATTTGCAGACGCATTGTTTTCTTTAAAAGCGAAGTTGAGAAGGCAGACATGTTTATAAGCACATATGTGAAAACCAGTGCGGATGCTAGTCTTCTCTGCCTTCTTCCTCAAATTCAACGAGTCATCGTCCAAAGTTTTGAAGGCCAGACCTAATTAGAGCTTGGGCTTTTTCTGTAGCTCCTGCCTTCCGAAATTACTCCGAAACCCTAGCGCGGGCAAAGTTGAAGTGTGGAGCTCACAAATACAATATGTATACGTATATAGGACACTGTGCATATAATTCATTGCACGTTTGCTCCTTTTGTGCACTTCGGCGTTTTTCTTGTTGCAACGTTCAACAAATTCGTTTTTATCAATGTTTCTCATCACGACTTCTCCCCCATTCTTGTTATCCCCCCTCATGTAATGCATCAATAGATACCTTTGAGGTCAATAAATGAAATGAAAAATAATGAGCCATTCCACTCTGTGGAAGTGGATGACCAGCAAAGCTGTTTAACACACGACACAGACGTGACACAGAACTCGGAACAAATGTACAAACATATTTATTGTCTTAATCGGGAGAGCAGAAGGAAAGGAAACTAGGCACGCAAGCACTTAAAACGATGACAAACACAGCGGTGCGAGCGTAGACATGGCAGACGTGGGTCGTACAGCGGCAAATCTTCAGGAAACCTTTATTATCTACCAGAGAGTCTATTAATCTTGAAAATTGTGCCTATTGATAACTAATCTGCTGTAAATGCATATCCAAGTGATCAGATGTATAAGCTTTTGCATAGAATGAAGTGGTTTTGCATCAAATTCGGGACCCGAGTTTTTGTTGATGCGCATGAAAAGTCCACTGAACCCCAGCCATAAACAGCTTTGCTGTAAAAAGCACTTCAGTTTGCTTCACAGATTTATTTTTCACATCTCCTTGTCATGGTGCTTCCTCTTCCTATGTAACCATTGATTAAAAGCAGTAGCGTTGCTTTAATATCATACCCCCTTCTGGCGACGTTTTCTGCAGCCACTGGATGTGTTTCCTGCCTGTCTGACCAGAAAACGATGTCCCGACCTCTGGGCGAAACATTCTCAAGGTTCCTGCCAGACTTTCTGGATGATGTTCCAGACCCGAAATGTCCCAAGGGGTGGGTGGCTCATTGTTTGTATTTTGCTACTCGTCGTAGCGTACCGGTGGCGACGTTAACCAACATTTAATCTGCCTGGGGAACAACTAAAGGCGCCGACTCTAATGGGTGAATTTTTTTTAATTGGATAAAAACAAATTTTATGTCAACTGAAGTTGGAAGGAACTGCATATGGGTCAGATATTTCGTAAGCCGAAACCTCAGTTGGAAAAATGGCCGTAGGGTGCAACAAGCCGCAACTTTTCTTTAGCAGCTTGTTTCCCCTTATAAAGTTTCGGAATGTGACTTTGTCTCTTTATATACAAAGATATTATTGTTCTGTGCAACGGTACCAAGTTTTTATTCTATGCATCGGAAGGGCTTCAAATGGGGGTCGTAAATGGTTTTAAACATTGAAATGCTTCCTAAAACAAAAGTTTTAGCAACTTCAGGCATGGAATTACATTTTAATTTTCAGAGGCCATGCTGCTTATTCAAATGCTGTGCAGCTCTACAACTCTAATGGCTCCACAATTGGAGGTAAGACTATTGTTTTTGCTGAGTGTGGGTTGTCATGTGCCCTGTATCATGTAGTGTAGAACCAGTGTGTGGCTGCTACTATTAACAAGCGCTTGTGAGGAGTATTCTGTCTCGACAAGAGTACGCTTGTGAGAAACTACCTTATATAAAGACTTGCGGTAGTGAATCTAAGGTACCATATTTAGACGATAGTAAGTCAACCCTCCCACATTGCACATCAACAAAAAAAAATATATTCTGGGGGTGCATTGTACGACGAACATGGGAGAATGGGCAGGGCACGTCTTTCGAACGCCTGGCCTCCAGCGTGCGCTCGACGCCTTCTGGCGTGCTTTAGCTGCACGTGCACGTGCGAGGCGCACGTGATGCCGAAGCAATTCTCTAAATTAGAGAGGTTGCGTTAGAAGCAAGACAACCGAAGCTCCTTCCTGTCATTCTCGCTGCGTCTTTCGTCCGTACGGTGCTGTCGTTCCCGTTGTCATTGCTGCTACGTTTCCAAAACATGTTGTCGGCGTTGCCTAACGAGTTCTTGCACCTTGCAACCGATTGCCTCCAGGTCGAACTTGCATGCTGCAGTGCAGTTTGTTGGTTGCTTTCGGATGAAGGATGGCCGTTAACGGGCATCAAAAATCTAAACTGCCCGGACCTCGCATGTCGATGCAAAGAATCTTAGTTGGCACTCTCGGTCAAATGTACAACGGTGCATTGTGGGAAAACAAGCAGCAGGTAGTGAGGCTGTTGCAGCGGCTGTTACGGCGTGGCACTTGCATTGAGTGCTGCCACCCGCGTGGTGGCAGCACTCGATGCCGCGTGGTGTATTGGCGCCGTTCACCGCTGTGCATTCGGGCTGATTTGCAAATCGCAATCACCATGACCGTAATACTTGCTCATGCAAATAGCAAATAAAAACATACATAAATATATATAACTTGTAAAACAAACTCACTGAATGGCAATATGTTACAGGTACAGGTGGCTGAACTCATTACAAGCCAAGGTGTTCTTTATATCGCGATTGTTTAGTTTGCCGGCGGCGGTATGCTTTGGTTCTGATCATAAGTTGACCCCCCTCCCCCAGTTAAGGGTTTCAAAAATTGTATATTGGGTCAACCTACAATTGTGTAAATACTGTCGGCATCTGCCCGAAAAAAGATAACTTAATTTCTACCCATTTCTTGCAATTGCACCACTTCTTTGTACAGGCTGATTAAATGTTTGCTTTCTCATATGTGTTTTCTCTGTGCTTTGCAGCCACGCAGTTTATGGCGTATCACGCACCGCTAGCCAACTCTGGGGACTTCACCCACGGCATCAAGATGTCGCGATTCATTGCTGACAACGTCACAGCCACTCTCCGAGCTTCGTCCACAGCCCACAATGCCACCGTGTTCCCATACAGGTTGGTTGTTTTCCAGTGGCCGGGCTACCGAAACTTGCCCTTGTGGGAAACATACAAAAGCTTGTTGTAGGTGAAGTACCGTATTTACTCGCACAATGAACATACTCGCGTAATGAATGCACCCCCCAAGTCGGCTCTCAAAATTTTGACTTTTTTTTTCACTCGCGTATTAAACGCATCCCCAACTCGGACGTCAAAATTTGGACCCCCTTCACCCACGCGTGCAAAATGAATGCACTTTCTATCCTGGTGCAGCGAGGTCGCGAATGCATGGGCAGCGTGGGCGAACAAAAATGGAAAAAATAAAGATCTAACGGAAGCAAGAAAAAAAAACATGGAGAGGAGCTTTTCTTTTTTTGCACAGTGCAGTCTGGACTTTGGGGTCGCAAGGAGATAAGAAAGATAAGCGAAGAAGCCGTTGCCTAATAAAACAAAACAGCTTGTAAAAAGCGGAAAAAAAAAAAAAAAAAAGCACCCACGGAACTAAGAGAAAAAAAAAAGGGGAGCTTTTTCTTTTTTCTTTTTTTTTTTGCACAGCGCAGTTTGGTTACGGGGTTGCACGCCGCGCGCAAGGAGGTAATGGTACGTTTACACCTAAGAAGAAATCCGCTGCCGCAGCAACGACCGGGTTGCATTTACATCTATCTCCTTCGCGGCGGCGGCGGCGACGCCGGCTGTGGCAGCTGTTCTCGTAACATCCGGTCAAATATGACGAGGAGGTGCGAGAGTTCCCACCTCGGCTCTCTCTCCCGGGCAATCCCGGGCGTTGCAGCTCCCGGAAGAACGCCTTCTCATGACGTAGGCAGCGTCGCGCTGCGCAAGAATGTCACTTCCAGGCAGCGCAATGCCTCGTTCAGCGACAGAAATAGATCCCGGACCTATACGCTTTGCCGCCGCGTTTTCCGCACTGCGTTTCGCCCCAGCAGCAAAAGCTGAGCGGATTCGCTGGCGGATCCGCAAGTGTAAACGTACCATAAGAAAGAGAAGCGAAGAAGCCCTCGCCTAAGCAGCAACGCTTAAGCAAATGAAACAGCTTGCGAACGGTGAAAAAAAAAGAAAGACAAACACTGTATGAAATTAAGAAAAAAAACGAAGAGGAGCTTTTTTTCCTTCTTTTTTTTTTGCACAGCGCAGTTTGGGTATGCGGTGGCGCGTGGCGAGCAAGGAGGCGGAGAAGCTTTTGCCTAAGCAACGCCTAAGCGAACAAAACTTAGGCAAACAAAACGGCTTGCAAAAAGCGGCAAAAGAAAAAAAAAAAAGAAAAAAAATACACGAAAGTAAGAGAAAAAAAAAAAAAGAGCTCTTTTTTTTTTTACAGCTTAGTTTGGTTACGGGGTCCCGCGCAAAGAGATCAGAAGTTGCGTCGATTTTTCAGGATAAAAGGTCCGTTCATTATGCGAGTAAATATGGACGCAAAATTTTACTTCGCGTAATGAACCCTCCCCCCCCCCCCCCCCCCCAACTTTGCATAGATTTTTCGGAAAAACAAGTGTGTTCATTCTGCGAGTAAATACGGTAAGATGTACCGTAAAATACCGTGGAAGCACCTACTTCGTTCAAGCCCCTACATTTAACATTTTCAAGACTTGGGAATTCTGCAAATTGTTTGATTTGACCGGACAGGCAGGTTTTAGGTTTAAGTGGGGTGGACGCTCCCGCGGTATTTTACGGTAGTATGGCAGGTGCCATGATCGTGCAGTGTTACTCATTGTCAAATCGTGGAAATCAAAGTTGTTTCCCTAGGAGATTTCACTACGATATTGTGAACAAAATAGAGGGTGTAAGGACCGCAAGTCAGAATATGGAGCTTCTGTAACATTGTCATTGGCGGTGTCTTTAAGGAACTTTTCCGACGAGAGTGTGTGGTCATCGTTTCGAGGGTTCTAACCATTTGCGAAGAGACCACAGAATATTTTTTGAGCTGTGTTGCTTGGCATTGGGCAGTTAAACTGAGGACCTTCAAACAAAGCTGTCTTATTTCGGGAAGAATCGGTCAACGTGTTTGGTTTGCTCTCTAGAAGTTGTAGGCTTCTAAATTTAAAAAAAAAAATCATCCGATGCTAAAATGGGAAATAGCTGCCTGTGTGAGCGAGACTAAACAATTTAGAATGTTCAGTACAGGATTCAAAGCATTTTCTTCCGCCCGCAAGTCTTGAAGGGGTACTGAACCACTTTCTGCAATAGTCTATTTATGGCCATAAGTCAATCTATGGGCTCTAAGCAGCCTAAAAATAACAAGAACATTACAATCGTGTGACCAATTTTTTTAAATAAAATCGGTATGAAAAGATTGTTTTGGAACTATCGCCGACACCAGACGGTGTCGATGCACGAGGAAGGGCAAGGCCCTTCCCTCCTCGTCCAATGGCGTCATCTGGTGTCAATCTTTTGATACCGGTTTTAACAAAGAAATTGGTCACGCACGAATGCAATGTTTGGTGTTTTGGGGTACCTTGAGCCCATAGATCGAGTTACGACCATAAACAGACTAAAGCAGAAAGTGATTTAGTGCACTTTTAAATCTCCTTTACAAGATCATTGGCACCCTGACATGCATTGATGGAACACTGAGCACATTGAACCACTGAAAACGATCCAATAGACAAGCGGTTCTCGAACGTTTCAATCTCTGAACAATTGCCAAAGAACTCCTGCCAGTCTAGGCATTAATGCATTAAAGCAGTAATGCAGAATGTGAACTGTGATGCACACACTAGCAAGAATTCGGCACATAGTTTTGTGTCATTGGGCGGCTCAGAGCTACAAAAATGGGACTTGCACGGGAAAAGCACTTTGCTTAAAAGGCAGCGACGGTTGAGAAATTTTGGGAGTTCAGGGAACCCGTGAGGGTACTCCGGTGGACCCCCGCATTCCTATACTCCGCGACAACTTTTCTTGGCAATACAGTGGAAGGTACAGGCCCGCGTCCCCTCTCCCATTTTGAGTGTGCGCGGGCTCTCCTCCTCTCCCCGGAAATGGGGAAGGAGAAGAAATGGGGGAGGAAGAGAGCCTGCGTACACTCAAAATGGGAGAGGGGACGCGGGACGCACCTTCCACTGTATTGCCAAGAAAAGTTGTCGCGGAGTTTAGGAACCCAGTTCGGGAACCCATGCAAAAGAGCGGTGGTTCTCAGATGGGGGGGGGGATCCGCGGACCCGTAAGGGGTCCCCGAAGCGATCGGACCATCGGTCAAGCCGAGCACTAAAACATTTTACGGCTATAGCTGTTGTGGGATTTTTTTACCGCCGGAAATGGCGTCCATCGTTGTTGTAGATGTCGTAGTAGGGCATGAAGTGGCTGACGTCGACAAATGCTCAAAAAAGAGTGCCCGTTGCTGCGGTGTTCTGGGGATTTGATGCTGGGTCCACTCTGTGCGAGGCAGGCGCATTATCAGAGTTATGCTGCAGCCTCAACAACCCGCTTCATCGGCACTCAACAAACACTCTTCCACGTACAGGTCTTGTGTAGCACCGCTAGATGTCGCTGTAGAAATTTCTTTATCGTTCTTCACTCGAAATTTAATCAGAGTTAATCAGAAGTCAAAAGCTTCGGCTAGGTGGCGTTAGCCACCGCCCGATTAAAAGGGTTCAGCCGTATCCATTAATTCAATACCTCCTGGAAGACGAACCCTGCAGATTAGGCCATTATCAGTAGATCCCTGCGTCACACTTGTTGCGAGATGCTGAAAGATGGGCTGGCGGCGACACTGACATGTCTTGCCGTTCATCGCAGGAGGAACAGTGAGGTGCTTGCTCGTGAGAACGAAGCTGAGAGACTTTGCTGTCGAGACTTCACCGTGCACGAACGCAACACCGATGCCCGACTAATTCTCCGTGACTTGTCTCAGCTATTGCCGCGACTGTACTGTAGATTTGCACAGGAATGCTCATTTCTTTCATATTGTGGAAAGCCATCCCACGAAGCCAAGTAGACCAGACTACCCTAACATCCCGTGTCATTGCCCGCCTCCTTGCCGCTTGCGCCATAAAAAAAGTGGGGTAGGCCGTGTCTCGGTGGGTGAATACAAAAAGTTAAAAAAGAATAAACCGGAAAAAAATGCCCACTTTTTGTGCGTATCTAGCGCGGCTGCAGAAGAGATACATTAAACTCCAAACTCTAATTACTTTTATTGTTTTATGCAAAAAATGCTCATGAAAGAATGTTTTACTATTGCGAAGTCGGTTGTTTGCTTACATGCCATGAACACCGCCAATCGGCGTACAGCGCGAAACGTTTGTTCTGTGAAAGCATGCTACACAGCTATGTTCTCCTCGTTAGTTTATGAAAAGAAGAAAAATAGCTAAGGTCTTTCGGAAGTAACCATTCCTAAAAATTGAGAAAAAAATGAAAGCCGCTTACAACTCCCTGTAACGCCGAATTAGAGCGCAGCTCTTGAGGAGGAGGAGGGAAGGGCACGGGGGGGGGGGGGGGGGGGGGGGGTAAACTAACCAGGGGGGGGGGTCACGTGACCTTGGGGGTCACGTGACCCCCAATGCCGATGATGTCATCACTGACGTCACTGATGACGTCATCCGTGACGATGACGATGCGGGTACCGATGACGTCATTAGTGACGTCACTGATGGCTTCACCAGTGATGATGACGATGCGAATGTAGGTGACGTCATCAGTGACGTCGCTGATGACGTCATCAGTGATGATGACGATGACGATGCGGATGCCGGTAACGACATCAGTGACATCACTGATGACGTCATCAGTGATGATGACGATGACGATGCTGATGCCGGTGACGTCGTCAGTGATGATGACGATGTGGATGCCGGTGACGTCATCAGTGATGATGACGATGACAATGTGGATGCCGGTGACGTCATCAGTGATGATGACGATGACGATGTGGATGCCGGTGACATCAGTGATGATGACGATGACGATGGGGATGCCGGTGACGTCATCAGTGATGATGACGATGCGGATGCCGGTGACGTCATCAGTGATGATGACGATAACGATGTGGATGCCAGTGACGTCATCAGTGATGATGACGATGTGGATGCCGGTGACGTCATCAGTGATGATGACGATGACGATGGGGATGCCGGTGACGTCAGCAGTGATGATGACGATGTGGATGCCGGTGACGTCATCAGTAATGATGACGATGACGATGCAGATGCCGGTGACGTCATCAGTGATGATGACGATGACGATGTGGATGCCGGTGACGTCATCAGTGACGATGACGTCATCGGGGGTCACGCGACATTGGCGGGGGTCACGTGACCTCGGGGGGTCACGTGACCTTGAGGAGGGGGTCACGTGACCTCAGGGGAGTCACGTGACCTCGGGGGGGGGGGGGGGGTCACGTGACCCCCCACGAGGTCACGTGACCCCGGTGGGGGGGCTCGCGCGGTGCATTATGGGACATTTCCCATGATGCACCGCGCGGTTACGCCGACGGCGACGCCGCTCAAGCCGGAAACGGGCCTCTAAGAGCTGCGCTCTAAAAAAATTCCACAAGAAAATAGAAGAACCGACCAGGCGCAACTAAAGCCCCTCGATGTGTTTGCTCTTGCCTTGCAAGTAGCGTCAATTGCGCGAGTGCACGAGGCCCATGTCTCGAGCGGCCCTTGGAAGCAAATGGCGGCGCAGCACTGAAATGAGCGGGCCTTGGAAGCGAATGGCGGCGGAGCACCTGCTCGTGGCACGTGTCTCGAGCGATTTCACAACAATGGTTGGCGATACTTGTAAAAAACGCTTTTATCAAGGGGCTTTAGGCGCAACGAGCGAGTGAAGGGGCAGACGAAAGAAGCGACGAAGAGCGATGTTGGGAAAGCAGGAAAGCCAACGATCGCGTTGGCAGATACTTTGCCGTTGGGCCAAGTATGTCAGTCGCAAACTCTTGTGCAACTTTCTTGTTTGGTGCATACATGTGTGCGTTCGTGCACGGCGTGCTATCAATGCGGGTTAAGGTGGCGTTGCTGCGTGGTGTGGACGGCACCACGAACACGGAGCTCGAATAGTGACGCTCTACAAATGTCTCTATGCGTCGGTCCAGCAAAGCTTTATTTACCCATTAGCTTAGTCTTAAACATTGCAAAACCGCCATCGCGACGTGCCAGAAGAAGACGCGGGTTCGCGGCGACCTTACTTCGGCGGAGACAGACTTTGACCTTGCACTCTGCAGTTACATTCCAGGATATGGGTCGTTCGCTTGCCTCGCGATCCCTGAATGGCTTACTGCTTGTGTTATCTTTCTGACTTTTTTTACAGCAGAGCTGTTAAGGGTTAGTTTCCCCATGATCGTGACCCCGCAAAGAAATGTTGACACAAAACTCTGGACAGCTACCACCATCTAGGAGCGACGGCGGCAACCGGACAATCTGCTTGCCGGCCTTGCTCATAGGTGGTGACAACCTTTCTAGCCTTTCCACTCTGGCTTTGACCAGAATGGAAAGGCTGAACTTCTCTAGCATCATCCTAGATGTCGTCCTTCAGGTCTTCCCAGAACTTCTCCTTGAGGTCGTCTTAGACGTCTTCGAAATCATCCTAGACGTCTTCTTTGAGGTCGTCCTAGGCGTCGTCCTTGAGGTCGTCCTAGGCGTCGTCCTTGAGGTCGTCCTAGGCGTCGTCCTTGAGGTCGTCCTAGGCGTTGTCCTTGTGGTCATCTAGATGTCGTCCCTGAGGTCGTCCTCTAGGTGTCATCCTCGAGGTTGTCTTGGAAGTCGTCATTCAGGGCGTCCTAGACATCGTCCTTGAAGTCGTCTGACCATAGTACACCTTCGCTGGTCTTCCTTCTTCACCAAAATTGAAAAGCTGAAAGCTTTTTTTTTTTTTTTTTTTTTTTTTTTGGGCAATTTTTTTGTAAGCATAAAAACTTTTTTTTCTGTTCCCTCCATCTTTTTCTTTTCGCACGGATACACTAAGACATCAAGGTCTCTCGCGGAGGAAATGCATAAACAAAGACAAACATCTTTCCCTCCTCCGTTTTACTTTGTCACGGACGTCCCCCAACTGTAAGGTTTGCGGTCGTGTTATTCGGGTAGGTTGAATGTTCGTGCATCGCGGAGTCAGCATTGTGATAATTTAAGGGGTAAGTGACGACTCGTGTTTTTTTTTGTTTTTTTTTTTTGAAAATCGATATTGGCCCAAAAAGTGGGGTGGGCGATGACTTGGGATATTACAGTAAGGCGCCTTCATGCACATCCTAGGCCTAACTAGTGCACTGAGGGAGTATGGTTGATTATTCTCAGTTTCAGAGTTTCAAAAGCTAGTTTGCGTGCATTTAGTTTCCTTCGTGTACCCTTTTGTAATTGTTCACTACACTGCCCTCCCTCCTGGTGGATGGGGTCTCCCGTCGCTTCTGTCGGCCCAGAAGAGGGATCTCTAAAACGTTGGTCATTGCAAACTTCTGCGGCGGAGGATTCAGAGCACCTTCTGGTTTGCCCCATGCAGCATCTTCCACGTCTTCTACGAGCAGTACCTGACGATAGTTAACGAAGCACTGCTGCACCTGGGGATATCGGTGGCTGGCATCTTCGTCATCACCTTCCTGCTGCTCGACCTCGACCTGCATGCAGCGGCTGTGGTCTGCCTCACCATTCTGATGATACTGGTGGACCTCCTGGGAATCATGTACTTCTGGGGCATCGCCCTCAATGCCGTCTCTCTTGTCAACCTCGTCATGGTGAGTGACTGAGCTTCGGGTCGTCTTGAGGAGCTGCAAAACGATTCAGAAATTGGCAGCAGTCATGATGAGGCAGTGTGCCTCACCACGGTGATTTTTTGAGGTGAAGTCGCCACACCCCCCAAAAGATGGCCTTTAGAAAACAATTGACACGAAGCATGCATCCACTGGCTACGGACCCATACAACACGGGATATCTAATAACACGTTCTGCAGACTATAAACATTACAGCACGCCACGCAGTGGACAAGGTTAGCAGATCAGATTTGTCGAAAGACCCTGAGCATATTGCTGACTGAAGTGTTTTCTTTTTTTCACTGCAGGCCGTGGGTATCTCTGTGGAGTTCTGCTCACACATTGTGCGTGCATTCCTCGTGAGCAGCCGGTCGACCCGTCTGCTTCGGTCGCAAGATTCCCTTGCGAGAATGGGCAGCTCGGTCAGTGGAATTTTCCTATCTCTGGAGCGCGAGTCTTCGTTTCGATTTTAGATTGGCCGGTGCTCGAACTTTGGGGAGCAGATGTTCTGTGCCACTTGTGAGAGCTATACCGAATTTACTCGAATCTAACGCGCACCTTTTTTCCGGGTCCAAAAATCGCATGCGTGCTAGAATCGAGTGCAACCCAAAACTGCGCTACCATATTGCCATTGATATTTCAAAATAGCCGCTCCATTACGCGCTGAAAAGCCGAGAGGCTTAGAGCGTAGCCAACTCGTGTGTTTCTTGCGTTCGTATCAACGTGGAAGTTCCCACTGCAAAGATTCCCCATTGACGTCGCGCCACGTGCTTCCCATGGCCGCCTCTCGCGGTTGCAGGTCGGAGAATATTTTAAGTTTTGCCTCGCTATTACGCGGCGGAATCGCAACATTTCGATGAAAGGTGTGTTTTCTGTCATTTGTGATAAGGTGAACAATATCAAAAGCAGAAGATGCCAATTCTTTCAACGTTAAAATCTTTGCACAGCTCCTTCAAGTATGATGTTTCGACTTGTGTGTTTCTGAACACTTTCTCTGAACCCAGGGGTTCTCTACAGAGTGCCCCGCGCGTTCCTCAATCGTTCCTACCCTTTGGCAAAGCGGTTTACCTGATTGGGTGCACATGTTGTTAGCATTGCCAAGTCGTGCGACTTGTCTGAACTGCTGCAGGTCGAGCAATCCTTTTAAAGCGGTAGCTTTATAGGGCCTACCATCCTCAGGAGCCGCACAGGCACGAAATGTCTAGATCAGTCAGTCCGTAACCGCCAAACCATCTTGAAAAAAAAATGAAAGCCATTTACAACTCTCTGTAACGCCGAATTAGAGCGCAGCTCTTGAGGAGGAGGGAAGGGTACTGAGGGGAGGGTATACTCCTCCTCCGTCCTCCTCATCCTGTCGGCTATTCCTCTGTCCGAGCGGCGTCGCAGTCGCTTCATGAGGGTCACGTGACCTCACCGGGGTCATGTGACGTCACCGGGGTCACGTGACGATGATGTCATTAGTGACGTTATCGTGATGTCAGTCATCGTCGCTGACAGTGATGAACGTCACTGAGGACGTCATCAGTGACGATGACGATGCGGATGTTGATGACGTCATCAGTGACATCACTGATGACGTCATCACTGGCGATTGCGATGCCGATGACATCATCAGTGACATCACTGATGACGTCATCAGTGGCGATGACGATACGGAGGCCCATGACGTCATCAGTGACGTCACGCGTCCCATAATGCACCGCACAGTTACGGCGACGGCGACGCCACTCATGCCGGAGATGGGCACCTAAGAGCTGCGCTCTAAAAACTGCAACTGGTGCCAGGAAGTGAAGTCCGATTACCGGCGTGGAAGCAGAGTGTGCTACTGACCAGGCTACAGACCCCAGCATGCAGGAACGGGAGGAGCAGAAGCAGGTGGTGTGAGCCTGTAGAGTGGAGAAAGGTGGAAAGGGCAAGGAAGAGAAGTATAATAGGGTGGTGTAGAGAGATTGAATAGAACCAGGAGTGGAAAGGGCTTGAAAGCGTGCTTTTCCTCTCATGGTGACCCAGAAAGTTTAGTGCAAAGGCTTTATATTTGTGTGGTGCTGAAAGGAAGTGCTTGCAGCATCACAGAAAATGGTGGGATGTAATCTGTTTCTATACAAAGCCCTGTCCTAGGCACCACCTGAACTAAGAGCACCCACCCACCCCAGGCACTGAACGACTAAGGGTCATCGTGTCCTATACTTTGTTTCAGCTTCCGTCCGAGCGCAGCCAAAGGCTGAGGGACGGTTTGCAACTTCGTGAGGAGCATTCCTACGCACCACAAAGTAGTCTGCAAAAGTATATATTTTTCTAAATAACTTTTGTGCGTAAACATTGCACATTATTTGAGATGTGTACTGCTGAGAATGATTTGCAACTAAAGGAACTAAATATCTGATGTTTATGTTTTTATTAATATATGTAAATGCATGTGGTTCGGTGAAAACACAGGCATCCGCTGGCAACACTGCTGCAGCGCTCGGTTTTTCTGTGATTTTGTTCTCGTAATGGCCGAATCATGTGCTTCACTGCTTTCCTCACCAAGTCGCTTCAAAACGTCCTTTCGCAAAAACACGTTTGTGCGTCAGGCACGAGAGGTCGTGATGAATGTCTACTTTCAAATTCAACAGGAGACTCCGGCCGCGTCGTACCGCGAATGCGTTGTAAACAAGAAAAGCGTCCGAGCCACTACAATTCACTGATACACGGCGAAATCAGGGCACCCCTTTACCTGCCGATCACATTGAACGCCGAGAAGCTGGTGGAAAGGACTGCGCCTCGAGCCCTGGTATATCCAAACAATACAAGGAAACATCGACGGCGGGGTCATCAGGGACCTTGAAACGTGTACTTGCATCTCGAAACTATGCAGAAATGCCGAACAGCTCGGACAGACACCAGCGGCCAGCCTACGTACTGACATCCCCTGTGACTAAATTTCAGAACATGAAAGGGCACTTTTTAAGCCTGTAGCAGACGATACCGTTGATACACCCGTAGCAGATGAAATACTCGGCGAGCACGGGCGGCGCGGACGGCCAGCGGCGCAGCGGAGTGATACAAAAGTGCATGCGAGATCGTGTGACCTATTGCCGGCGTGTGATTGGCTCCGGCCACACGTAGCTTTGGCTGCGCTTGGACGGAAGCTGAAACGAAGCATAGGCACCGCCCATTCTGTAAAGCTGCCGCACGCGTTCGACAGAACGACCAAACATGCAGCCAATTTTTTCTTATCATGACGAGTCTCAAGTTACTGGCAGCTTATGAAACACAGGGTGCAGCGACTCTGGGCACCTTATAACCGCTTCATGGCCGATGAGTTGCAGCATTAGCCAATGAGAATGCCAAATAACGAATCGCGAAACACGAAGCCTGAACATAATCAATCTCACCCTGCTTTTCTTAACTGTCAGTTGTCAATGAAGCTTTTCACCTGTTTCATTTCCCACGCAGATGACAAGCAGTTGCACCAGATGGAAGATCTGAGCGCCCGCAAGCGTCTTTCCGTCATCGCACATGTTTGCTTTTGTCGCTTTCAGGTGTTGTCCGGGATCACGTTGACCAAGTTCGGGGGCGTGGTCGTGTTGGCGTTCTCCACGTCGCAGCTGTTCCGGATATTCTACTTCCGGATGTACCTGTCCATCGTGCTAATTGGCGCGGCACACGGGCTCGTCTTCCTGCCAGTTCTGCTCAGCTATGCCGGTGAGAATTTTCTAGGACTCGTGCGTGTTACCGAAAAGGGTTGTGTGTTGCTCGGGAAGAATTTTGTGCACTGTTTATCAACACGTTCAATCTGTGGTCCCTCGAATTGAACACGAGCCTCGGCCAAAGGTCGGCGCAGCAATCATGCCAGATTTCTGTCCCACGTTGGCCTTCTTTAGGTGGCGTCAAACGTTCAGCAGTACAGCTTTGTTATTTAGAAGGTGTTGATATGTCCCTGGAGTTCAGGAATTTAAAAGGAAATACTGCAGCGAGCTCTAAACTACGATGTGTATAAATTTGCACGGGACTTTACAAGTGCTTTCTCCAGATAGTTCCTGACAGGCTGCATTCACTTGCTAGTCCATAGAGTTCACTAGGGCCACTAAATAAGCTACACTTCAGAGTAACGACACTTACCCATCTTGGGCCTTAAAATCATGGTTGCCAGCTGTCTGGAGCTTTATCCGAAATCACAGGAAATGCTTTTCCGTCCTCCACAAATGTTTAAACAATTTGTGACAGAGCAAAGCAATATTATGAGCTTCCTAACACCGAATTGAATGCTGAGGAACTCGCTCTTTTGAATGAATGACAATCGGCTGTTCTGTCTTCTCCGTGCTAAGCACCAAGATAAAGGCACCTACAACAATATCGGGGAAAAGAGTGCACGAACCATGGTGACCATGGGTAACTCATTTTTCTTCTTATTTTCCTTTGTCTTTTTAGGCCCAGCTACCAAACGTCGGAGACAAGGGACGCACTGAAAACTATCCTAGAATCTTGCCCAATACCTCAACAGACTGGGGGATGCAGCACTGTAAATACTTAGGCTGTGGAGATGACTGTGACTTGTGCGAGATTAGGGTGCTAAGGTTGTGTTGTTGAAAACGCCGAAAAAATGTTTGGGAGCCAGAAGGATAAACAAAAAATTGATGACGTGGGATTTTTTTTTCCTTTTTAATAATTAATTTTGAAGACGTGACAAAAACGAATGGCGCAAAGCCAACAGTTTAGGCGTTTCCCTGTTAACTGATCTCGTGGAGGGTTGCCTGTGCCGAGATGCGTTAGTTTTAGGCTTCGACCTGTTGGGGAAACTGGTGATTCTATGATAGCAGTAAGGTTGGGCAATCTGTTGTTTTCAAGGATGTGGATATATAATCTCACGCAAATCTTGCCTTTGCAGCAAACTTTTTGTATACGTAAATATTCAAGACGGAGTGAAGATTGCAGGGTCAGAGGCTGTCCTTAGGTGCCGACAGGTTTTTCTAAGGGAACTTGTAAAGGGTTCCAAAAATGTTTGTTAATGGTATGATCACGGTATTTTAGATATTTGTTTTTCCTACTTGATTTGTTACAAATAGATTAGTGCTATTTCTTGCCTTTGTACTGATACCAGATCTTGCCACCAAAGAGTATTTAATTGCAAAAATGTTGTTCTGTTCAAACCACAGTGCACCTACACAACTCACCTCATAGACTACAAACTACTCACTGTTGACTGTTATTTTAGATGCCCTAATAAAATCTCATTTATTAAACTGTGTGTCGCCATTTTGCTTTATGGGATGGTACCTAATGGGTCACTAAGTTCTGCAGTAGACTCCTCTCAAGGATAGAATGAATGTCTGTTTGGGACAAAGCAACAGATTCCTGGATAGGCAACGTAGGTTTCTGTGCATTGTGCACGGTCCTTAATTTACTCGTCTCGGTTCTCGCCTTCCGGTCGCCAGTTCCTTGGAGAGGTATCGAGAAGAACTGAACTCTTGTACCCAATGTGGCACGAGGTAGTGATGTGTGCTGAAAAAACTCTTCTAGCTGCAGTCCTGGTTCCTCAAAGTATTTCCAGGTATTGTAACATCTACCTGTATCACCTGCCAAACAAGTTGGGGAAAGCTGTCATACATGACAGGATATCTGGTAATAAATGGCATACACAGCATTGAAAGGTGTTTTTCAATGTGAAAGTATATGTGTGCAAAAATAATTTTGTGGAGCTATGCTCTGGCATTTTTGATGTGCGAGAAACTACATTAATTAAAGTAAACAATCACGACGTAAATATTGCCTTCCATAGCAACACTATTTTCTGGTAGATCAAAAAATAGCAAAATCACTTTCTCCTCTGGTTATCGTTACATATTCCATCTCGTGTTTTCTAGTACGATAGTGACATATCACATGAGCGAATGACGTTTTAGCGAACAGCGACATTTGAGCGAATCGACGTTTTAGCGAATAACGGGGGCGCGCGTTAAACCATCCCCCGCGCTGCGCTTACGGCGCTTCGCGGCGACAGTCTGGTGGCTCATTAAAAAAATGTGAACCATTTGGCCCACCCGAAAACGCCGCTTCGCGGCGTCCGACTATTCGCTAAAGTGTCATTCGGTGAAACGTGGGCGTTCGCTAAAACTTCATTCGATCAAGTGAGTACCTCCCGATGAAACCACGCGCTCGCGCCAGTAACCTTGTGCTACTTCCTGTACCGCATTGCTTTATTGACTCTGTTTCTACTGTACACTGACTCTGTTTACTTCAGGCATATATGCATTTCGTAACGCGTTCATCAGAAACGCCACGAATATTTTAATAATTCGGTATATCGCGCCCTCCCATGGCCACCTCTAGAAAAGTTACCTGCACTAGCGCCGCCCGCGCATGTCATGTGATGAATCCATGAATCTGCGCTAGGTCGTGTGGCGAATTCCACGTCGCTCTCCTAGACCCATGTGGCGCGTTTCCTTCAGTGTTTTCGCGGTGCCGGAGTCGCCCTCAGCTGTTTCCCTGGCGCCTTTGTGAGGCGCAATCCGAAGGTACGTCATTGTCTTCTCTACAGGAGCGAGTCGATTGTTGCTAGCGTGAGCTGTTTTGACAGGAATATCCGTAGTAAAACAAAAAACGGCGTAGTATACGACGGCCGCAGCACATGTCCGATCGTCGAGCGCAACATCTGTCACACTCTTTCTCGCTGAATGTCTCCGGGTCCGAAGGCCATTGCCGCCTGGGGAATACCCCGAGGCACGGATGACCGGTTTGCAACGAAAAACGTGCCGGTAAATAAGGATATCGCTGACGTCTAGGACGTCCTTGAAAAGCACTAGTGAACAGTCATCAGTTGGACACTTCGTCAGCCTGTTGGTGGAACCATATTGTGGACGGCGACTCCGATACAGCCCAGCACGCGCAAAGTACGTACGTACGTCGATTTTGATCAGTTGGCGTTTTAGGGGAATAGATCGTAACTGACCTTTCTTTAAAACATCTGGTTAGGTTTCTTTGCGTCGAATTGATCGCGATACGAGTGGTTGCACACGGTAGGTGCAAGGAGCTGGCGAAAATGAAACCGGTCCAAAGGGGAGCTTGTGTGCGCATCAGCGATTAAGGTTTTTGGGGGGTTAGCCCGGCGCTGACCCAGTGACCTCAATGCCTGAATATATCGAAACTGCGCCCTGCGCAGTTGACGACTTGCGGTGACTTTTACTCCGGGACTTTCAGAGCGAAGATGATGCGGACGGTCGGTAGCCTCTGTCTACTCCTGCTCATATTGCAAGGCGTCGTTGGACCTCCCGTGGACAAGCGAAAAAAGGAAGACGTCAAAGAGACGCCTAACCAGGTCGAAGAACAAGAGTTGGTGAATACGGTTCCACTTTGTTTTTTTCTGAACTGTTTCTTGTAGGTGTGAGCCGTATTTGCCACGCAGCCGTAAGTTCGTGTGAGAGGCGAGCACGCCGCATAACAAAATTAAAAAGAAAAAGTGCCGTTTTGTTTACAAAATATAGTAAATCCGGGGTTGGTGCTGATATTGGTTTTCTACCTTAGTTTGGAAGAGCAGTTATAATAGCTCCACAATTATTTGAGCCTTGGTTTTATATCTCGCAGAAGTGCAAATTAACAGATACAGAATTTCAGATGAGCACGTAAGAAGTACTCTTTTTGCGTTTGGCTCGCGGCATATCTGTACCGATTAAAATACCTTCATATATGTGTTCAGAAGAGAAAAAAAAAATATGCTGAATAAATTAAATTTTTTATAAGAAGCCCGGTCAAACAGTGGTATCTTGAAACGTTTACAGGGTCTGGAGTATGACCGCTACCTCCAAGAAGTCGTTAGAGCACTTGAAGATGATGCAGAGTTTGCTGCCAAACTGAGGAACGTCAGCATAGATGATATCAAGGTGAGATATATTTTGTTGGTTCAACATTGATTGGCGTCATAGAGCATTAAAAATGACCTTGACCTTTGTTTGCTGTTTATCACCAAGCAACATTTGTTATTGCCAAGTTGATATAACTGCACAAGCAACAATCTTAATATAAATGTTAGAGGTTTTCTGTTGATGCAGCCATTAGAGGTGGTGATGTGGGCGAGTTGGTTCATGTTTAAGCGATATATAAAACAGCGCAAGGACGGGAGAGCACTAGTCCTGTCTACTTCTTTTCTCCCGTCTTCATTGTTTTGCACGCTATTTCATACACTGCTTAAAGATGTTGCCATGTACAGCTAGCACCTACCAGGTTTATTTTGATCACAAGTTTACTACTGTGTGGTGCTGTGTACATCTAAATTATCTTGGTGCATTATGTTGCTTGTAGGTATCTTGTACCCTACCAGCATTTGGAGTTGCGCCAGGACAGTTTTCCTAGCGGGAGCAAAATTTTATGTGATTACGGTGAAAACTACTATCAACAAAGCTAGAACTAAACAGCCCTTTTTAATCCTATGCCAAACCGTGCAGCATAAATATGTTTAGTGAGAAATGTTCTTTCTGGGGTGAAAATTATAATCTTATTTGTCTTCTGCTTGTGTCATCATGTTAGGTGTTCCATCTTGATTTGGCAAAACAATTGCTCATCTATCATTCCTGTAAGCTTGAAGTTCGCATGTACATAACAAACAAACGTAGGAAGCTGCGTAGGAAGCTACAGGCGTAATTCTTCTGCCCGAGTCAGCTTTTATTTTTATCTCTTGTCGTAGTCGTGTACCCTTTCACTCTTCATCTCAGGTTAGTGTGTCAGTCATAACTTTACGAAAGGTGACGTTAGATGCGACTTGATTTGACGCAACCTTTCCAACACTTCATTGTGCTTTTGTTTTCCTTATGGGTTGCTGAGCTAGCTAGTTGTATTTTGCTTTTGCATTTGTTCTTTCCCTCCTTCTTGGTGCCTGTTTCCTTATCTAAATTTCTTGTAAGCAAATTGCTGCTGGCAGCTATGAGATGCCATGCTTTGACTATGATAGAGAGTACAACAGGCAAGGGTATTTATAGTGGATTTTTTGTTTTTAGGGGTATTTTTTTGTTGGAATTTGGGGTGTTTTTACTGGGCTTTCCCCCCAAATTTGGTGTTTTTCGGTGCCCATTTCTGGTATCAGACAAACAAAAACAAAAGTGGTATTTGTTGGGGCCTACGTTGAATAAAACAGGACAGGGGAGTGGGATTCCCCAACTTCCAAAGAACATGCAGTTTCCTCGAATACTTGGGAAACTTCCCAGTACTAATAAAAGTAGGAAAATAAAATGCAGCCTTATGCGCAGTTTAGTCCAAGTTATGTTCTGAGTCAACGCATGATAAAGCTGTAGATATCAGTTTTTTTCCTGTAAAGCTTGGGTGTTTTTTTTTTTTCATTATTATTTCAGGACAGCTCTGATTTGGGGTTTTTCAGTTTTCCCCGGTTTCAATAAAAGCGGCTGGGGGTTTAATTTGGGGGATTATCGGCATTTACCGAAAACACGGCACCCTAGCCATAAGAAGTGGGAATGCGACAGAATTGAAGGACAAAGCTTGCCGCACGTATGCACCCAATCTCTTCTTGCTCCTCTTTGGCGTCGTCTTCCTTGTTATTCGGGTTGTGGACTTTCTTTGCCTGCAACGATCGAAACACCTCGGGTGCAACGATTGAAACACTCGTTTTGGTCCTGTCCCTAATCCCCGTTGTAATCCTTAATCCCCGCAGAGCGGAGACGTGGCCCACCAGCTGGAGTTTGTGAAGCACAGCGTGCGGAACCGTTTGGACGAGCTCAAGCGGATTGAGGTGGACAGGCTACGTAGGCTGACCGTGAAAGCCATGGAGCGAAAGGAGTTTGGTACGTGGGCAGTTTTTGCTGCTTTGGAGTATCGAGGATAAGCTCCTTTCCGTGCGAACACCCGCGAACCACGGTCATAGCTAGTGCGGACTGAACACAGTGCATTACTTCGCACTATCAGACATCTGCAGACAGCGACACGAAACGCGACACCCAGCGTGGTTTTGGACAAGAGACCACCAGCTTTATCTGGAAGCAATAACACCCTGGTTACCAGAAGCGGAAGGATCTCTAAAGCACCGGCACGATATAGACAATAGATCTTAAAAGGGAACGTGTTGTGTCCAGTGACTGAAAGAAGTGAACAAAGTGAGTCACGTGACACGGAGGTTCGGGCGGGGGACACCATATTAAAAGAGCAGAACAAACGTTTGTTTCGACCTTGTCTCGTACGCTCTTGAAGGTCCACACACTGTACACGAGTCGTGTTGGTGTCAGTCGCATTAAGCATATATTAATGTTTAACAACATCAAATAAATGAACAGAAATGAAATTTAAAAAAAATCGTAAGATAAACTTGCAATTCATACACCAACCCATGTTTATAAACATACCGGAGCGCCCTTAGTGGACGCCACCGGCGCCGCGCATTCGCGATGGAGTGTGAGCAAGAAGCTTGTCGTCGCCCATAAACAAATCATTGAAATGCGATGTTGACGGCGTCGGTGTGAGTCCCCCGGTTTTTTTTTGCATTTGAATTGTTGATTCTATGTCTTCCTGGCAATGTCTGACTACTTGAGCGGCCTCAGCGAAATTACCAAGGCTCATTACACCGCACAACTTCGCATGAATAATGTGACATGTGGCGATTCATTCCGCGTGGACGCCGCAGAATGGGCTCTAAAGTCTGATTCGCATTATGAGATTTCGCTCACAATTTTCAGGCGCGACGTCGCTCGAGCTGCAAAAGCGTGAATTGTAGCTGAGATGGTCGACGCCGATACTGAAAATCGCAAGCAGAATCAGACCAAGTGAATAAGGCATAACAAGTTGGTGATGGCCACTGGTAACAATGACCAACATCTCTTTGTATTTACTGTTAACATTGAGCCTGCTTACCAACCTTCAAACTTAAGTATTTTGACGCCTGCACTTACTTCTTATCGCAAGTACCGGGCCAACATTTGGTCTACGGGCCGGTGTCGTCTAAAAGAGCTGACGACAAGCAGAAACGTTTAAAAGAGCAGACGACAGTTCGAATGATAAGGTGGCCGTTTGAACTTGAAGACCCACTGAACGTAGTCCGCAGGTGGTCTGTCCAACTTGACGGTTTTCCAGCGCTCATATTGGAGCAAAACAAATAATCTGACGACCACAAGTATCCGTGAATTTAATCCAAAGTGCTTTCCGCACAAGCAATCGTGGTCCGACGGCGTTTGGTTTTCCCTTTTCACAGCACATATCCACGTTCTCGGACGTACCAAGCACATGAAAACTGACCTTCAAACCTTTCTCAACTATTTTGGTACAGCCCCAGTCGCGGCGTTTTGGCGAGAAGGCAGGTTTTTGTCTGGTTCCTTTCAAAACAATGCAGGATGCACGTCTCGCATGGGGACTTCCGCCCACAGTCCCAGACCGAAAGTGCGCCCGACATGCCACCACCGTGCCGTGATGTAACTGAGATGAGTTTGTGTATAGCTTCGTTGCCTGTGGGCAACACCAGGCAAAGGTACAAAAGTGGCTTCCTTGCATAACCTCTATGGATCACTATAAAACGTCAATAATATCTGCGCATACGATAGCCTCAAGTAAAACGGTCACCTATCATAAGATATTAGCTGCAAGAGAAAAACACTTAACCATATTTTCTGCCATTCTGCCATTCTTGGTTGCTGCATATTTGCATGCCAAGCTTCTCACTTTTTTTCGTCAGCTATTTGCATATCTTTTTACTAAATGGCGCCGTAGGTTCAATCTTCAAAACTGTTGCCAGACTACTAGAATAAAAGAAACATGATAAAACCAAAACAATTAAACAAAAAGTTATTATGTGGTTTGTCGCCTGTAGGCAACATTCATCAATAAGGGATTCATTTGGCTTGAAGCTTGCATTCCCAATTTCGCCACAGCCATTTTTACAGATTTTGAATTGGTTATGAATGGTCTCGTGTACTGTACTTTAGGTGACAGTAGATTCACAGTATTATTGGAAGGACAACTTTTAGAAATAATATCTGGGGCCGTAGTTTTGCAATCGATTAAAGTGGTTTGTGGGCCCCATGCACCATTAGTGTAAGCGATGCGCTTGTGGGTTTTTTCACTCAATTTTTATGACAGTTTTACTGATGTGAAACTGATTCATAGTATGCCTTTTGCTGTATGGCAGACTTTACGTAACTTAAATACTCTACTCAACTTACTGTATCTTAAATACTTTCGTGAGTAACTTGGTATCTTGCAAATACTTTCGAACGTCAGTATTCAGTACTCTAACTTAAATACTTTTTTCAAGTAACTTGTACTCATTTTAAAGTTACTTTTAAGTTACTTTCTATTTATTATTCTCTTTAGAGGCGGGAAGCTTAGAAAATATTGAACGCCAGTTAGTTTGGCTAGGTTTGGTTTGGTTAGTTTGGCCCCGCCATTGCAGATACATTTCGTGCCAGGTAATACAGTGCACTTTTGTGCTTCTGCCGAAAGAGGTGACACGGAGAAACAGGTGTCGCAGCCTCAAGCCGAGCGGACGCGTGTCGTGTCTTCTAACTGGGCAAAACGTCAAAGCACATTTTCTTGCAATTTGTTTGTGGCCAAGTCCAAGAGCAACACAGATTCCGAAGCAGAAGGACATGCGGATGAAAACATAAGATGTGTACAAGGCTACAAGCCAGAGGTAGGGCGCTTGTGTCGGAGAGAAGGTGGGTTCTACAAGTGTCTGGTAGGAGTCGACCGTAAACTGGAGCTTATTTTTGTATGTTATGGAGTGAAAGCACATAAAAGAAAGCCTTCCAGCTTCAGAAATGCCTTTGCATCCGCACGCAGTCGCACACACCGCTCGTTCGTTTCACTGGGCTCTCTTCGCACACAAGATGCATAAGACGCGACTACACGGCTCCAATCCGGCGGCCCATCGCTCGCGGCGTACGCAGCATTGTCTTCGGTAGCACGAATGACCGCCAAACGGCTATTCAGCATCGGCGGACATGCGTTTAAAAGAAACAGGGGCAGACAATCGGACACGAATTTCGAAAAGCAGCTGTTCCTTCAAGGGAACAAAGCTTTTTGGTAATGGCGTTTTGATTTTCATTTTTGCAAGTGAATAAAGGTTGATTGAATGACGTTTTTAGTTTTGTTTCATTTATAGTTACTTGGGACCTCGTAGAAGCTTGAGTGGCAGCCAAAGTCTAGCTAAGAGATTTCCAGGAGATTCCATAGTAGCTAGGAGGAAGAAGTTTTGCTGACCAGTTGTGCTTGACAATGAATTGCAGGGAAAATTGTAACTTAAGAGTATCTTGAAAGTAACGAGTTACTTTTGTGGAGTATTTTGTTCTTCACTCAATTACTTTACAAACTTGAGTATTTCATACTCTACTCACTTACTATTTTTCGTGATACTCGGTAACTTAACTTAAATACTTTTAGTGAGTATCTTGTATAAGCCTGCTGTATGGGCGTTAAATTGACCTGCGCAGTTGAACCGTGATTTATAATCTCTTGTTCCTCAAGTCGTTGATTGCTTGACTGAGTAGAACTCTATTTCTTACGTGCTACTTTTATGTAGAACAAGCTTTGTGGGTTTGAATTTTGCTTTTTGCCTTTTACTTGCCAGTGTCAATAAAATAACACTTTTGCTGTATGGGCGTGGCACCAAGAGAGCTGAAATTGAATCAACGTTCTGTTTATATGCATATGAAAAAAATTTTAGATGCCAGTTTTTTTTTGTATTTGGAGCTATTGGGATTTAATGGTGACAGCATTTTTAAATGTGTAGTCTGTGAATTTAAGGTACACTGTCCTGTGCAGTGTTGGAGATGTTTGAAACATTGTTTTTTCGCAGGCTTGGATAGGGATCAGGTGAAGATGCCCCTTCATGTCGACTATCAGAATCCCCACAGCTTCGAGATTGATGACCTGAAGAAGTTGATTGTGACGGTAAGCCATGTAGACCCTTCTTTCAGCCCAAGAGGTTTTTCAATGGCCTTTCAAGTTTTCGGTGGTGCCCTGAACCACATATCATAAAACTCTAAACAAGCCCCCCCCCCCCCCCCCCCCCCCCAAAAGAATTTCACATTTCCTTGCCGTTCCAAGAAAGCACCCTTCCCCACTCGGCACCCTTATCACGCAACGTGCCCAGGCAACACTGGCCTGCCACATCCAGTCCAAAAATCCAATCCAGTCCTGCCTGATCACCACGTGCTATTTGTCATTTTGTTTTGGCGTTGTCAGGTCGGCTATGCATTCCTACGGAGTGGCAAAGAAAATCGAGGTCATCCCATGGCATTGAGAAATAGGGAAAAACATGCATCAGATGTCCCGACACTTTAAGCTCGACATGAAACAGGTACAGGAATGGGACAAGGATTTTGACACTTTGCTACATCAAAACTACAGGAAAGCCAAACTTCGACGAAAGATAAGTAATGGTGCGCCTCTGTTCAGTGGATATGTGGACAATGCGCTGTTTGAGTTTCTGTTGCACAAAAGAAGTGCAGGACGTGCTGTTACCAACCGGCTTCTTTCTGAAGAGGCTGTCAAAACTCGAAATAGCCAAGAGTATGCAGTTTTTAAACTTTGTAGCTTCCAGCCATTACATAAATAGGTGGAAGCAGCGGTTCAGCGTTGCAATATGGCGCTCCACGAACGAGAACCAGAAGACGCCCCAGGAATTTTCAGAGCCAGCAAGTACCTTTTTGGTCTGCCGCAAACTCTGTGGCGGCTTCTGGCAGGAAAATTTGTCGTCGCCGTCTTGAATTTTGGTTGCGCAACAGTTCAGCGCAACAACAACGGTTGCACTGAAAAATAAATTATGTATGTTTTGTGATAGTTCTCAAACCTTCCTTTGGGGAATTTTGGAGTCCTAAACAGTTCAGACCACCACCAAAAACTTGAAGGGCCTTTGAAGAACATTGACATCAGAAGCACCTAAACCTTCCGTAACCTTTACAGGTTACGCAAGGTTTAGATGTGGGGGTCCTCTTTAGGCTATCCCACTGGTGGGACTGTCTTGATAGATAATAAGGAGCAATTCCGTCACGCGAATTATAGTTTTTAGCAGGGTTACATATTACTATAAGTGAAAGTTAATTGTTGGTGTTAAAAAATGCCGCCTAGGTGGTGCAAGCTGCCTCCCGATTTAAAGGGGTCAGCCATATGTATCGGTCCACGTATGTGCACAGGCGACCAAAGACCTGGAGAAGCTGGACGAGAAGCGCAAGGAGGAGTTCAAGGAGTACGAGATGCAGAAGGAGCTGGAGTACCGGCACAAGCTGGAGAACATGACGGAGGAGGAGAAGAAGAAGGAGCAGCAGCACCACGAGGAGCTCAAGAGGAAGCACAAGGATCACCCAGCCGTGCACGAACCGGTGGGTGGCCACTTTGGCAGCTGGTTCCCTTAAAGGGGCCATGCCCTTAAAAAAATTGTCAATGAGTTTCAGTTGAGTTTCTAATGTATTCTTATATAATACATTAGAAAATCAATTGAAACTTATTGACCATTTTTGTAAGGGTAGGCCAGTTAGTGAGCCCGTCTGTAGCTAGCTGGTCCCTCAGGGACCATGTATCAGTCAGTAGGTCCTTCTGCAGTTTTAAAGGGACCTTGAACTGGCTAGTGAGACCTTGTACTGCTGGTACCACTTGGGAAGGTCAGAAACGTTGCTGCAGGAGTGTTTTATTTGTAACTCCCGTATGCGCTGTGTTTCTACCACCTTATGGAAGGAATCCTTAAAGGGCAACTCTGGTCCATACTTTTGATTTTGGGATTTTGACAGTTTTTAGTGCAGTCAGCGTCCCTGAATTGCACGGTGTAATTTTTTTCTCATTATTGTGCATAGTTTTAAGGATATGACGCCTCAAAGTTTTGTTTGGGGCGCGGCCAACAAAACCGAAACTAGCCGCTCGAGGTTTCGGCAACACTGGAAATTAGCCGCAATGGGAACGTGACGTCATTATCGTTCTCGTTCAATGAGTACGCAGGCCGGGCGGCGCTTAACTCTGTTGCGCTAGCCGTCTAAAGATATGAGGTACGCTGATTTTATTTTAATTCTGCATACGTGGTAGTTATCCAGCATATGTAGCAAGAGTTAGAGCGTTTACCCAAAAGCTAGCGACTGGAAAACCTGTGAACTCGTTCGGTGCCATACTCGGTGGCCGCCGCCGTGCGTGCGCTATGCCATACTCGTCGCTTGTATACCCAGAAGCTAGCGACTGAAAAACGAGTGAACTCGCTCGGTGCCGTATTCGGTGGCTGTCGCCGTGCGTACGGTCTTCCGTACTCGTCGCTAGGCCTAAATTGCCGTCGGGGCTCCGTGGATGAAGCGGCATTGCTCTACGCCGCACTGCCAGTGACATACAGTACTCGGGGCCCTCTCGCTTTCCCGCTGCGGGTCAGTCCCAGACACGAAGCTTTGGGGCTCTCCAGCGTTGGCCGCGGCACCCGAACACATATGTGCTGGGCTGTACACGTCTGTTTTTTCATTCTTTTTTCCTCGGGCGCGTAAAAGCCGAAGTCCAAAGTCCACTCGTCGAACAGCGTTCACCCACACTTTCCCCAATTTCCGGTCCATTGGAAACTTGTGAAAAAGCACCTCCGGGTTGCGCAGCGGGTTGTGCGAGCAGCCCACAGCGCTTTAAGTTGTACTCGGCATCTTTCGAGGAACAGCTGGGCAGTTTTTGGCGTACTGAGTTGCTCGCTAAAACGAGTCTTGGAGCCCTCACAAGCAAATAAACAAACGGCTATACCGAAGCTACACGGGCTACAGATAAAAGCGATGGCTAAACACGCCAATCACAAGCCGAAGTAGCGGTGGTAGCTCCTCAAAGAAGCGCACTCCGTGCTACGCGTGGACCGGAGGAAGAAAAGAGAACGATACTGAAGTCACGGCCCAATGTTGCTTTAGCGATCGGCAACCCGCTGGCCGCCCGCTAAGGAGCAGCGGCTCGCGGCGGGTCGCGTTTTTGTTATCGGCATTAGTTGAGAATGCGGCGTCCCCCGGACGTAATATTTTGGCTGGGGTGGTATTTTGTGTCATTACAGCGATACCAGTAATTTATTTCATTTTGAGTTTGGGCCAGAGTTGCCCTTTAAGATTTCAGCCAGAAAAGCTTGGAAATTGGGAGTAACAAAATTGTTTTGGTGAATGGCATTGTCCAAACATGTGCACGTCGCCGAGAGCTATGGCGCAAGGTTTGGGGTGCCAAGCAGCCCTGGCTTGTTGCACCGGTGACGGCATTTTCGGTGTGTTGCCGCGGTCTTGCAGGGGAGCAAGCCTCAGCTGGAGGAGACCTGGGAGAAACAGGACCACATGAACAAGGAGGACTTCGATCCCAACACCTTCTTTGCGATGCATGGTGAGCACTGTTGGTTTTTGTGTGATAAAATTGATTGCAAAAGTATCTACTGAACCATCGAACCTAACCTATTTAGATTAAGGGGGGACAATACTCAAAAGGGTCCACTTTTGAACATTCGGCTTAGTATGAATGAAATTTACAGTATATGCTGGCAGTTGCGAGGCAGAATGCAGCGCATAGTTTCATCTGCGTACATGAATTGTAAAAGCAATTATAGTAGTTTTTATCAGGAACACACTGACTTCGTTTAGAAAAACTATCGTTAGAAAACTAATGTAATACCCAACGTTTTTCTTCACTATATCCGCAGCGGAATGCCTGGAGTGAGCAACTGTAAAAACAATATTTCTAAAAAGTAATTCTTTATGCTAACACTGCAGTGAAAAGTTGATAAAGTTTTTGCCTTTTATGTCGTCGACAAAATCTTGACATCTTTTATAAAAGACATCTACAAAGTCAAAAAACAATTCCACAGTTGCTTTGCCCGTAAAATTTCAGTTAGGAAAAACAATGAGTGAGTCTTCCCTTTTGTCCCATTAACAAACGATAGTTTTCCTAAAGTGAAATTTATGCCAAAAAGTGGAACGGAAAAAAATGCATTCAAAGTGCTCCAACCTCTACCTTTTCTTTACCATTGGTGGACCGAAAATAATTTATAAAAGATTAACTGTCCAATGTGAACTAATGAAACTTTCTGGGAATTCTCTCAATATGTTGGTGGATGTAAATATGGCATTTTTCAACATCAACTTTTTGTTGCAGAAATTCTTTTTTCTGGGTATTGTTTCCCCTTAAAGGGCAACTCCGCTCAATTCCGAAGATTTCGGGATAATGAGCGATTTCGAATTAAAAAGCCCTAGTAAAAGGCACTACGTCGTTTGCTTCGCGAAAAATGGGATATATATTTTTAAATCTAATTTTAAACACGAGTGGAAATTAAAACCGAAACTTCGGCTCCGTCCGGCAACATTGGCCTCGGGCCGCCAAGTACATGGCCATCACGTGGTACGAGATGTCACGTGATCCTCGGCCCAACGAAGTGCGGGATGGGGGCGGGCGTGCGGCAGGCGCGAGTGTCGTCTGCACCGCACTCTTCGCCATGTTTTGGTGTCTACAGCATTCGACGACGTCTGCACAACTGCGGCATAAGTCTGCGACTCTGTGCACGTGGTGTCTATAATGTGGACGAAACTCCGAGAGGCAATAATCACGAACGGTGAGACGACGACAGTGGTTGTGACGCGGAAGACGGCGGTAACGGCGGGAGCACGGCGGGCGGTTGGTCTGCTCCCAAGAAGCGCGCTGCGCAGGCGCGTACGCCAATCACGTGGACACCGCTGAGCGCCGAGAGGCAACGTTGCTGACGTCATGCGCTACGCTCGATCGGAGAAGTAAAAACAAGCAAAAGAGGGCCATGATGATGACGTTTAGCTCAATGTTGGCTCCGCCCATGCCGTAGCCTTGACTGCGCTGTTGGTTGCGCCTGAATTCGCCCGCTCGAGTCAGCCGATTTCGGCAACTTGGCGAGTTGCAAAGTTTGCCGGACCGTTTAAGAAACATTTAGACAGAACTGCGTGGTAATATTTGACGTGTGGTCTTCCTAGGCGATACTGAAGAGGACTGCATTGTTTTTTCAAAACCAAAAATGAAGCGGAGTTGCCCTTTAAGGGGTTCTTTATTCGCCAACTTTCCGAAAAGGGGAACTCATAATAAAAGAAACCCTGTAAGGGTTTTTTCTCTTAAAGAGATTCTACCGCATTTTATTTTTATTTTATGCTTAACTGTTGGTTTCAGGCTCTGCACGGTCTTTATAGCTTTTGTGTCATTCAAACCCATAATAATCAATCAGACCATCGGTTTCGCAACGTTGCTCTTGTTAGGAGTGCCGCAATGTGGTGGACGGTTGGCATCGTTTCTCCCTTGAGAGTTTCACTACACCTGCATTCGAGTCCATCTCTCCAATAGGTGTGAATCAGTGGGATGTTAGCTCTATTCGCTCGGTCGCTGCCTCTCACTCGTTGGGCTTGGCCCAACGCCCTCGCGCGTCTGCACTTGGCGTGTTCGCTAATTCTCGTCGTCTGCCGCCGCAGATCTGAACGGGGACGGGCAACTGGATCAAGACGAGATCGAAGCCATCTTGACTCCCGAGGTATTTCATGCCTTCGTTCTTAAAGTTCCAGCAGCATGCGAATGTGACGTTTGTGGTGTTAGTTGAGACGTCGCGTTTGAAATCGTCGTAGGTGAAGAAAGTCTACGACCCCAACAATGAGGAAGACGATCCCAGGGAGAGGCAAGAGGAGATTCAACGCATGCGAGAGCACGTCGTTCATGAGGTGAGCTCCGTCTTTTTATTTTGTTGCATTCTTGCGTCATATTGTTGACGAATGTCCACAAGCATTGCTCGAGTCTTTGTGTGCTTGGGTCTAATTTTTTTCGCCGTAAATTTTATTTTCGTCAGTTTGTCATTTGCATATCAGGACAATATTGGGTGACCATTTTTGACACCCGATACAAACTTTGTATAGTACTTGAATGTCTAGTGCCTTTTTGTAACGCTAGATTTATACATTTGGCCAGTGCTGTACAGCATTTGAAGACTGTCTGGTCGTTCACCCGGTGTTGACAGAGCTCGTCTCGTGTTCTCAACAGGGTGACAAGAACAAGGACGGCATGATCAGCCACGAGGAGTTCATGGACATGACGCAGAGGAAGGACTTCGAGAGGGACGATGGCTGGAAGGTGGTGGGCGTACCGTGTTTATTCAATCGTCGAGCGACTGTTATATTCTTAGTGGTTTGAAGATTGAAGCTGGTACAGTTTCATTTCTATATTATAAATATTTTTTTTAGCTAAATCTGCAATGTAACCACATTTTTCATATTCGTTTCTACCCCCCTCAAAGATAACTTCTTTTTTACTTGATTTTGCAAACTTTTAACGGATGTTGCTCTAAGTGCACGCACATACTGCCTGTCTTTGTGAGAAGAAAAGGAGTTTCAAGAGTTTCAGCTTGATCCATCATAGCAGCCCCTGACTCAACGTCGGACATGTCGAAACAATTTTTTGCGTCGCAGAATAAATGATGCCTCTCGCATCTGCTCGTGTTTTGGGCAGTTTTCAGAAATTAGAAATTCGCCCGTGGAGGAATGGACTTCTCTACCTTTTATACTCGTACAGATCTTTTTTTGGCATATTTGAAGAGAGGGAGAGAGCATGCTCACAGCTTTACTCCAAAATCAAAATTCGAGAGGGCGCATGGGCTGCCTTACCAAGAATAGTTTCAGAGTACAGTGTGGCTACCATCTAGGACATCTAATTTCTTCATTTTGATTTTCTTTTTCGTGTGGATAGAACACTACGACGCCGTCTTTTCATCATTGTTACCTCACGCTGGTTCGTGCCACCCATGTGTCGTGCACGCTGGCAACACCGTTTTCCATCCTCCACAGGGCTTGGACGAGCAGCAGATCTACTCCGAGGACGAACTGAGGGCATACGAGGAACACCAGCGTCAACTCCAGATGCAGCAGATGCACCACATGCAGCAGCAGGGCTACGGCCCCGACGGGTACCATCCCAACCAGCTGCAGCCGCCCCAGCACCACGGCGGTCCCGCGCCACCCCCGCAGCAGTACCACGGGCAGGCACCCCAGTACCACCCTCAGCAGGGCGGTCATCCTCAGTACCAGCCACATCCGCAGCAGGGCGTGCAGTACCAAGGTCAGTGAAGTGTAGAACACATGTAACAGGAATGTCTATTAAGACGGAATGTGTGTTGGGGCTATGTTTCATGAGAAAAGCAACGCATTGCACTAGTTCGAACCTTACTGCTTGGATGGCCTCAAGGCGAGTGTGTCACTGGACATTGTGGCAACACAATTTTACACCACTCTGATGTCACTGTGGCACTCGATGTCACGATGTGAAGGTCTCGCAAAATAACGTTCTTGTTCGAAGGCCAAGCGAATGTAGAATAAAGCAATGCCCTTTTTCCGCACAGGTGTTCCACACCCACCTTCAATGGGACAAGGAGGCCATCCAGACATTCAGCAGCAGCAGTTGCACCACCAACAGCAGCAGTTCCATGATGCCCAGCAGCAACAGCTTCACCACCAGGAGCAGATGCAGCAGGCCCATGCTCAGCTTCAGCAACAGCACCTTGCTGCGCAGCAGCAGCAGCCACAGCATAGTGCGCAGCAGCCGCCGCAGCATATCGCGCAACAGTCGCAGCAGCTTCACGCTCAGCAGCAGCACGTTGCCGCACAAGGGGTACCTGTAGCCAATGCGGGAGTAGTTCATGGTCACCAGCCTCAACAGGTTCATCAGCCCGTCGTGGTTCCTGCGGCTGTCGCCGCTCCGGTGCCGACTTCAAGTCACCAGCAGCCGCTGCATCAGCCCTCCCACATTCCGCAGCCGCACGTCGCAGCTGCAAGTCACGTAAGTTTGCCGACCTCTATGTACAATCCGCGCTTCGTGACATCGACCAGCAGGCTTGTTCATGCACACGATGGGAGAACATGCTAGCCCCATCTGTCGGTGAGCCATTTGATCTCTCAAATGCCGTAAAACCTTCAGTCTAGTTAATGTGGGGGTTTTAAATAGTTTTCGAGGCTACCAATAGATGAAGCCGGTATTCTCTCGTCGTAGGCGTCAGAGTAGCTGGAACGCACTCTCGAGCCTCGAGACCTCTCGTAGTCAAAATGATTGTATGTGAGAACTTGGCTCGGCACGGCTTTCACTTGAGTGCGTCCTCCAATAGCCGACCACATGTTCGCTCGGAACGACGCCTCCCGCGAGTTTACCACAGATTCGGGCAATTCTCCTTCCAGGATCTGAACCAGCCGCCTGTGCCTCAAGCGCAGGGCAACGCAATCCACCCCGAAAGCGTCTCCGTCGACGGCCATCACTGAGCCGGCGTCGGCGGTAGGAACCGCGGCAGGCTCTTCTTCCGATGGACTCGACGCTCGTTTTCATCCGCAACCGGGATTTTCTCGGAGAAAACGGACAACCCCGGACCTCCCCAGTGATTCTTTTCGTCGACTCTGTGGCGGTGTTGAGTTGGCACGGCGAGGTATATCGTTGTACAGGGACAGTTTGGCGGTGCTACTGTGACCGTGACTCCGCTTCTAACAACCGTTGTGGTAAGTTGCCGCCGTAAAAATGTGCTCCAACAAAACAAAGCAACCTTTGTTGTTTTTTTGTTTGTTTTTTCTCGACGGGTTGCTTATCTTTTTACGGCGTTCCCCCTTCGGTCGTGTAGAGCGGAGCAACCGAGAAGTGCAAATCTCGGGGCTCTTGAATAAAATTTACGTAGGCGCTGTCTCGATTGTGCGGGTGCCTAAATTTTTATTTATAGGCTTTTAAATGTGACTCAGTGGTGGTTGTTTTTGGCCAAGGTACCACAGCTTTGTGCGCGACTCATTAGGAACAAATACGAGGGATAAATTAAGGTTTCGATCTCCCTAATGTTTCGTGGGGACTGGACGGAGGAATGTGGTAGTATTTTAGTTATCGAAGGCTTTCGGTATGAAATTGGATCGGGTATGCCTTTTGAAGTAGTATTTGTCTTAAGAAAGATGATGGAAGTCTGCATTTTTTTTTTTACAAGTGGAGCAAACTGTACTCTTGGGATGTGACCTTTGTTGTGGAATCCAACCATGTTGATTTTTTTAATTTTATGAAAATGACATTTTGCCTGTCTCGAATAAATATTCTCTGAATATTTTACACACTTGAATCTGTCTTCCCAGTGACCTAGTCATTTAAAATGTATATGTATTTGTTTATTAATTTATTTTGCAAATAACTGGTGCATGTATGCAAGGCCTACATCATAGTTGACATAATGGCATTTGCATTGCATGAGTGCACAAGCAATGCTACAGTACAAAGTAGTAAAGTTTCATTGCTTTGCACCAGTGCAAAGCAGTGAAACAGCAAACTGCCACTCAAATCAAAACCAAGGTTTTGAATATTTACACACCTCTACATTTAGGGAGGTGCCTCTTAGTAGGTCAGAGTTTATAGAAAATGGCCACCAGTTGCTGATAATCCATAATTTATTCAAATATGTTAACGCTGCATAGATAAATGTCTCACTTCAAATAAATTACGAAAATCAGTTTTGCATACCATGACATTGTAATTTGTCGCAAATGTGCATACAAGTCGTACATTCATCTTGTGAAAATATTGAAGGAAAGAAAGCCTATGAATACAAAGTGGGGCTATTAGGGATATCATATTGACCGTGGCCCTCTTGCATAAGAAAATACACCACCCCAACCCCCCCCCTCCGGAGCTCTCCACATCGTGCCTCACTCCCTCTCGCCTACTTTTGAGGAGGGTCCCCTTTGGAAAGGTGTTTTGCAGGCCAGAAACCGAAGTACAGCCAAACCCGTTTATATCGAACTCGCAAAAAAACGTCTACCGGTTCGATATAGCGGGTAATTCGATATTAATAAATTTGGCTCTCAAAAATCCACTTTCAGCTGACATATTACACAATGAAATAGTCTTGCATCTTCTGCTGCTTTGTCTTCATTGCATCCGCAATAACAATCTTTTTTCTATGCTATCGACGGACTCCAAAATGCTGAGGCCGCTGCCTTCTATATTCGCGCATTAGCGCCAAACTATGCCGAGGGCACGGGACACGTCCGAGCAGGAGCACCTCCTGCAGAGCGCCGTTTTGCTCTGCAAGTTGGCTTTCCCCTAAGGCAGGCGAATGCGTTGGGGGAAAGCCAACTATAGTCCGTTGCAACTCGAGAAGATAGGGCGAGAGTAAGACATGTCGGAAAGGAGGAATCACATGGAATGCTGGAGAAGAGAGGGGGAAACCTCCTCTCTTTAGTGTTCCGTCTGCTTCCTCCTCCCCAGCCGGTCGTACCCTCGCCCTACCTTCTCGAGTCCGAAAAAAAAAAAATAATAATCTTTTTTGCGGACGGAGCGGGGAGAGAGCATGAAACGCCCTCTCCCCCTGCAAAAGATTTTTTTTTTTTTTTTTTTTTCGGGCGGACGACGCGGCCGCTCGGAAAGAAAAAAAAAAGCTAGCGTACTCTGCAAGCTGGCTATCCCCCAATGCGGCCGCTCGCGTTGGGGGAAAGACAGCTTGGCAGAGCAAAACGATGCTTTTGGCAGTTCGATATGTCGGTAGTGGCTGCTATGTTTGTTTCAGGGATGGGCAGTATTTCAAATACAAGTATTTGGAATACGTATTTCAAATACTTTGTGTATTTTGCATTTGTATTTAATTACAAATTGGGTAATGTATTTGAGGTGTGTATTTAAATACTAAAACGTGGGTATTTCAATTACAATTGTAATTAAATACAATTTTGTGGGCGAAAATACATCCCTCAAATTTATTGTCACTGTCCAGAGCAGTAAGAAAACTACGCTCTGCACCGAATGCAGTGTCTCTCAATCAAGCACAAGCGTTTAGTGACTTTGTGATTACGGTGCTAGTCCAGGGCAAGAATAGTGACGAAATCGACGTTCACAGGCAGACTGGCTAAATAAGTGCCTGTGACAACTTGTGATGCTTTCCAGCCTGATTTCCCTCTATATTTTTGCCTGGAACATTCTAAATTGGCGGGTCGTCCAGATTTTCGTAACTGATGCGAGTTGCAAAAATAAAAAAATTCTCTAGCTAGTGCTGCGCGTCTTGGTCGTCTCAGTTCTTTGTTGGTTTATACCAAAATGTAATCGGCAAAAAAAAGCTGCTTGAAGCTCTGTACTTTTTTCACCTATTACGTCCAAGCTGATTACATTTTTTTTGTGATTGTATTTTTATTACGTTACTAGAGCCTCTCACACTAACTCCCGAGTGTGCGATGCAAAATTAAAATGAGATACCCAGAAACCCGTTGCAGGTGCCCTGAAGTCGCTGAAGCAAATTTTGAGGAATGTATTTGGAAAAGTATTTGGAGAAGACCAAATACATTTGGTTGTATTTGTATCTTGTATTTAAATGCTTTTTTGGAATTGTAATTATATTTGTAATTAAATACATTTTTGACGCTGTATTTTGTATTTGTATTTCGATGCATATTTGCATGTATTTTGCCCATCCCTGGTTTGTTTGATGTAAGCATAGTTTTTGCTATATATTATCACTAACATTACTATGCACAAAAATTGTATGATATAAGGGATAATTTGATGTAAACGGGTTCAATATAGTCTGGTTTGACTGCACACCTACACTTGATTGGACAAAACGAAACAGGAACAAAGTAAAAATTACCAAGTCGCTTCTTTATTTTCAGTAAATTGTATGTTAACGCTGACTAAAAATGTTTTTCACAATGGTACAAAAAATGTTTTTCTCAATATATATCCCAAGGGGACCTTCCACTGTCAAGCAAGCCGGAAAAATCGGCGCTTGCACGGAACTTTCACAGAATGTGCACCGGGCAGATCAGTTTTACTGAGTGAAATTTCAATGCATAGTTGTCTTCGAGTAAGAAAACCAGAGCAAAAAATTGGCCAAAGTCAAGGTTGGGTGCCTTCGCAGACGACCGAGTCAGTGACGCCATTTACAGCTAGCAGACGACAAAGTGTGTCGTCTGCTCGCGGCACCTATTGGGAGATGGTGCCACAAGTATAAATCCTGTCTCTAACTCGATCGTCTGTGAATGCACCCAACCTTGACCTTGGCAAGTTTTTGGTCAATTTTTACAGGAAGAGAACTATGCCTTAAAATTTCTCATGGTAAAAACTGACCTGCTCAGTGCACATTGGGTGGAAGTTTAAGCTTTTTATGCGCCAGCGCCGATTTTTCTGGCTCGTTTTACAGCGAAAAGTTCGCTTGGGACACCCTATAGATCTACAGTGCAATCCACTTATAATGATACCACATATAACAATGTACTGCTTATAAAGATTAGTTTCTAGAGTTGAAACGCCCAGTTTCTAGTTTACATACGATAATCGGTTGTAACTATTGCATTTTCTACATACAACGATAATCGGTTGTAACTATTGCATTTTCAAGTCTTTCTGTTATTGATGCAAGTGGATTGCACTGTAAGGCAAATTTTGGTTTTTATTTATAAGTTTTGATAGAGGCAAGTTTTTCCTTCAACATTTTCATTGAAGAAATGCACTATTGACTGCACCTTTGTGGTGTGTGCGTCCTAGCATAGAAAAATTATTTTTCCGATTTATTTGAAGAGGGCGAGATTTTACTTCTACATCCCAAGGACAAACTGTCAACACCTTTTCATCATTAGGATGGTTGCTGTGAAAACTGGCCGCCTTCCGAACTTCGAGGAGCTCAACGCATAACTGTGTTTTTGTTATGCCTAATTTTCAAGGGCAAAGCAAATTTTCTAAGACCGAATGTAATATTCAAAAGGAAGGCTAGCTAATGTACGATCTGGCCTGTTGAAGGGGCGATGCAACAATTTTTGTACTTTGCGCGAATACCGCTTAAAACAGATCCCTGACATTAATGAGCTATGAAACATGCATTCGTTTTTCACCCTACGCAATAGAAGTTCCAGAAAAAGATTGAAGAAAAACAAGCACCGTTCACCCCCTCAACTTGCAGCCAGAACAAGCAGCCACGTGACCTGGAGCCGATTATATGCCGTTAATGTTGATCATAGCCACGCGCTGGGGTTGGCAAAGCAAAGAACACGCGCTGAGTTCCAGACATTGTTATGGCTCGGCTATTGTCGTCGTTGCAGCGATTGGACACGGGCCACCACCCCAATGTATGTCGAGGCATCGATTGTCATGAGCCCAGATTGAATGCGTACGCAGTCTTAGCGTCCACTGTGTGAGGAGCATTTGAATCCGCAAAGCTCGATGACGCATTCCCGGGGATCGTACTGTTGCCATTGTCCTCACAGCTCCGTCATCAAATTTTGTGAAGGAGCAAAGGCGGCTTTGGAAGAAGAGACTGAAAGAAAAGCTTTGCTTTCATCCTTTGAATTCCACCGTGACAGAGACGCTTCTTGGTCAGTGGTGTTGCGTTCGAGTATTCTTGGGTCCCACTAGTGCCAGGAAGCTGGTGTAAAGTAAGAAATATTCCTACCGAATGCCGTTGCACAGCCCCTTTAAATGAAACAGGGAAAACCCTAAACTCTTTGAAGTGAAAGGCTAATGCGCTTAATGGCATAGCAGTGGGTAACGGTAGATCTGCTGCATTTTCTTCTTTTGTACTAGTTAGGGAGTTCAATCGAAATATTCAGGGAAAACCTGGAATTTGGGGAGTTTGAGAGAGGCAACGACTGCATGCTGGTATTATGCTTATCCAGATTGAAACAGGCAGGGGTGGAAAGTGAACTCAGGATCTCTCGGTTCTGCAGCACGAGCTTTTGCTCCATGTGCTTCGATCTGTGATGGGCTAACACACTTGGCCACCAATACCCCAAGGTGTCCAGCACTGTGTCAGTTGAGCCCTCTAAACTCACTTGCTGTGCCAGAAACCATGGGCTTATTGCCACAACTGCCCAGAAGTGATGCTGATGAGGTAGAAGAGCACAACGTTCACTGTCATAACTCTGTGGCATTTTTCTATATGCTTTAATAGGGAGGCCAGAAAACCACTTTGGGTGGTGTCTAGTCTTATCCCCTGTTGTACTTTGCATGCTCCTGAGCCTTCTTTATTTGAAGACTGAGTTTGCAATGGTTCTACGTTACCCCTGTCCTTTGAGGCTTCAAGGTTCACAGAAAGACTACGAGAATTGTCCAAAGCCACCAGTAATATTTTTAAACACTTTATTGCACGAAAATATGTAGCCATTGGTGACTGGGGGGATGGATCAACCAGTCCAGGGCACCACAAGGTTGAAACTTAAAATAGACACACAAATTCTTATTTTGATATTGTATATCTGCTATATACCATGCAGGACTAGAGCTGCCCCAAAGTCGACGCGACGCATATCGTCGTCTTTTATTTCATCGTTGCAACAGCCATCATTTATGATACAGTATTGTGTGGTGAATATGAACCCCTTTAATAATAATATAAAATATAATTTTATATTATATATAAAATGTAATAAAAAGATTTTTGGAAACAGAATGGGTACGCACATGTATTTTTTTTGGGGGGGGGGGGGAGGGAAGGGGAGGGAAAGCTAGTAATTTATATCGGGGGTGGCCAGGCTAACCTGGCCTAAGAGCCGCAAACAAAACCACGAAACTTCCAAGAGCCGCATGTGTGTGTGTGTGTGTGTGGGGGGGGGGGGGGGGGGGGCAAATTTTTGTTTAGAGCAATACACAAAACTCAAACTATTTCAGTCCTAGTCAAAAGCAGTCCAACTGTATGCAAGGTAGCAGCAGCACAAGACTACCAAACCGCAACCTGTCTTGATTTGAAATGCGTTCTATTTCTTTTTTTGGGGAAGTGCTCGTGTGACCGAGAGGGAGGCAGGGTAGTGAGGGAGCCGCGAGCAGCACTTTAACACGCGAAGAGACGCAGCTTGGCCACCCCTGATTTATATTAACGAGACATCTATGACCCTGACGAGGATAGAAGCACCAAAGTATTTTCCGCTTGTAAGGAAGCCCACATTAAAGAGACATGACTGACCCCTAGCTGATAAGGATAAAAGCACCGAAGTGTTTTCGGCTGGCAAGGAATGCATCGTGGCAATGCTTGAAACTGGCCACATCACTCGTGGGCAGCTCTCTGGACCTCCCTCAGTGTCCCGGTTTGGCGCGCCTTTGCTGTGGCCACTGAAACAGCTTCGATGAGCGCCGAACGAAATCCACTCCTCTCGAGTTGGCAGATGCCTTCGGCCGTGGTGCCGGCGGGCGAGCACACGTCGTCTTTCAGGGCCCCAGGATGCCTTCCCGTTGCAAGTACCATCTTTGCGGCTCCCTGCAACAAGTCGAAAGGGATTGGGCACAACATATGCCTTGCTGTCGTGCAATAGCACTTCATAGCACGCAGAAGGCAAAACGTGTGTGCTGGGGGCACAGTACTTGGGTCCTTAAAGGGCAGCTCCGCTCAATTCCGAATAGTTTGGGATAATGAGTGATTTCACATTAAAAAACACTAATAAAAGGCACTATGTCATTTGCTCTGCGAAAAGATGAGATATATATTGTTAAATCTTACTTTAAACATGAGCTGAAATCGAAATTTCAGGGTGCTGTTTGTGCAGTCTGGCAACATTTACCTCGCACCGCCAAAAACATGGCTAACACGTGGTACGAGATGTCACGTGATCCTCTGCGCAACGATGGGCGGGATTGGGGCGGGCCGGCAGGCCGCCGCTGGGATAGGCGTGTGCCAGGCGCAGTGTCGTCTGCGCCGCATTCTTCACCACGTTTGGTGTCTACAACATCCGATGACGTCTGCACAACTGCGGCGTCAATCTGCGCACATAGTGCGAACGAAACTTCGAGAGACAATAATCACAAACGGTGCGACGATGACGGCAGTTTTGACGTAAAAGATGGCAGTAACGCCAAGACGGCGTTACTGCCATCAAGAAGCGCCCTGCGCAGGTGCATTATCCCAATCATCTGGACACTGCTGAGCGCTGAAACGAAACGTTGCTCACGATCACCCATTACGCCTGCCCGGAGAAGTAAAAACAAAATGAGGTAATGGTGATGACGTTTAGCTCAATATTGGCTACGCCATAGCTTTGACTGCGCTGTGGGTTTTGCCTCTATTCGCCCGCTAGAGTCGGACAATTTCGGCAACTTCGTGCGTAGTAAAGTTTGAAGTACCGTTTAAGGAACATTTAGACAAAAATACATTGTAATATTTGATGTGTGGTCTTCTAGGTGATATTGAAGAGGACTGAATTGTTTTTTTTTCAAAATCAAAAATTAAGCGGAGTTGCCCTTTATAGGGCACTGACAGGGTATTTATGCTGTTTTTGCTGACCAAGGTTTTTATTTGCACATTACATACGAGAGCCCAACTGCCCAAAAAACAGTTTGCGGCTAGACATTCATTTTCTTTCCGACCGAAAATAGCCGATCGAGAACTGGCCGGTTTGAGTCGCGCTCACTCTTCTCCGTGGCCATGTGCCATTTTCTATGGTTTAGACGCAACCACCAAATATAATCAGTCTTAGGTTATTGAAGGCACACACAATATTATAAAAAGAAAACAAATGTGGTACCCATTTTTCGTGGCTTCTATAAAGCTGCAAATGCATTGTTTGGGGAAAAAAAAAAAGTATTGCAGCCCCGTGACTTCCTGCCACCTCTCTCTCCTATATTTCTTCTTCCTCCCCAGCCCAGTTTCGGCTTTGGTTTCGAGCAGCTGCGTTTTAGAGCGCAGCTCTTAAGCGCCCAATTCCGGCTTCAGCGTCTTCGCCGTCGACGTAACCACGTGATGACGATGACGTCATCGTCCCTGATGACGTCATCAGTGACGATGACAATGATGATGAGGATGACATCATCAGTGACGATGATGGTGTCATCCTCATCGTCACTGATGACGTCATCAGTGACAATGCCGCTAAATCCCCCGCTAAATTTAGCGGAAAAATTTTCCCGCTAAATATAGCAGAAAAAACTTCCCCGCTAAATCTAGCGGAAAAAATTTCCCCGCTAAATTTAGCGGAAAAAATTTCCCCGCTAAGTCTAGCAAATAAAATTTCCCTGCTAGATTTAGTGGAAATAATTTCCCCACTTAATTTAGTGGAAAAAATTTCCCCACTAAATGTAGCGGAAAAAATTTCCCCACTAAATTTAGCGGAAATAATTTCCCCGCTTAATTCAGCGGAAACAATTTCCCCGCTAAATTTAGCAAAAATAATTTCCCCACTTAATTTAGCGGAAAAAATTTCCCCGCTAAATTTGTGGGAAAATTCCCCGCTAAAGTTAAGGGAAAACATTGCCCCACTAAAGTACCGCCAAATTTACACGCGATGCTCTCACCAAAGATGTGCATTTTTTGTGACTTGCGCTAAGCACATGTCAATCCACATTCATGTTAGAGTGGGAGACTTTCCACCTTCTCTCCTCAGTACCCTTCCCTCCTCCTCCTCAAGAGCTGCACTCTAATTCGGCGTTACAGGGGATTGTAAATGTCTTTCATTTTTTTATTTAATTAAAAATATATGTGATGCTGAAAAAATACTGATTGGGTAGTCTTCTGACACCGTAATAAATTGCCTGGCAAAACATAAAAAATAAATTTTGACGGTGTCAGTGTCCCTTTAACCTGTATGAAATTACAAACAGCCGAGTTGCCGCTGCGCAGTTCTTGCACAATGTGGTAATTTTCTGTACACCAAGGTTGAATTTAAAAGGTGTGTAGTTTGGCATTAGCTTTTGAGTGTAGAGTAAATACACTTCATCTTATCATTTTGATAATGTGCAGAATGAGCAATGAATTTGGTTATGTCACATGACATGCTTATTCGAACAAGCCAAATTCACTAACTCGTATTTAGACAAGATTGCTCAGTCACCGATAGCTATAACCGTTCCGTGAAAAATTTTTAATTGCACTGTGTAATTCATCTAAGAACAGTGAAGCATGCTGTGCAGCAAATGACTTCGAAGCGGCAACATTGAATGAGTCAGTCGGAGATGACGTAATTTTTACCGGGAAATGGCAGGTAGCAGACTGGCACGCTTAAATTGGAAGTATTAAAAAAGATGACAGTGTGGACTCACCAGCACTGTTTGTGCAGCCAGTCGATAAGACAGGTCTCTGGGTATGCCCTGCCTCACAGCTCCGTCAGCTAGTGACTCAATCGCCAGGTACACCTGTCCAAGATCACAGAAAATCAACTTGCTCTTCCACTAAAGCAGACATTTCTTAATGGTTGCGCAATAGCAATATGTACACAAACGACAAGCAATCCTTGAAAAGTGTGGTCTTACACCCTTGAAAATATAATGAACCAATGCCGATACAATTGAACTGGGTAACAATCGGTGACCTTGCTTAATAAAAAAAAGTGTAATTTCTTTTATTTATTAGCTGTATCTAGGAATTACATGCTTATAAAAGAAATAGAATGGACATTTCAAGAGTTTACTGTAATATACTGAGCAAGTGCCACTCAAAATTTTGAGATACTCTTAACAAAACTGGGGTATGGGCAATTGTTAGGGCCAAGAGCAAAAACTTGGGCACATGATAGGGTGGGCTTCACCGCTTTGCATCAGAGCATATTGGAAAAGCTGGCTGACCAGGAAGAGCACCTCGGTTGTGGGCTTAGATTTCGGGTGGGTGCCTGATATTGATATACCCCTTGCTTAGTTTTGAAATATTTCAAAAGCAGTGGGTCGCCGGCTTAACGTGACATGGGCACATGTTCAATATTTTGTGCTATCAACTTTGGCTAGTATGCCACAGTGAACTAACTGTCGGTCAAAGATAAAACAAGTAGTACTGCTGATGGCTCTCATCATTAGTTATGAGATAAGACCATTTTTTTCTTGTTGGCAGCTTCTTGGAACTGGATAAACATGAGAGAACCATCCATATTGTACAGTGCTCACCGAACTTGTACGGAATAGTACACGAACTATGTCTTTTCTCGACTAATTGGAGCATGCTGGTAAGTTGCAGGGATAAAAGAAAAGCATCCAGTCATCATCCTTTTTGTGGCTTTCTCTCCCTTTATCCCTGTGTATTTTCTCATGGGAACGCCATCACTTTTTCCCCAAAAGTTTGGCTACTGAGTCATAGAACATAACAAAAACTTGAGTGCGTATGCGGCTTACTGTTTTCAGGTATGATACATAGTTGTACTCCACAACACACAATGTTCCCTATTTGTTCTCACATAAAGGGTATATCCAGAAAGAAATATAACTATTCTTAGAAGTGCCTTTTCTATTTTGTATTTATCTATTTACATGTGTTTTTATTCTACCCTAGGAGAATAGCTTCCTTTCTAAGGAGGTAAATTGAAAAGCCGGCAGGCCCAAGGTTCTGCCGATTACAAAAAATAAACATGGGCGGGAGACATGTCTTTTCTCTGTTTCATGTGACATGGAGATACAGTTCATTGCTTCAGGGGTGGTTTCATACTTGAAACAGAATACGTCTCTTCAAGGACGAGGATACACCCTTGAAGTGATGTACCTTTGTGACTGGAGTCAATGATCACAGGTTCAATAAAATGTCAAGGCGGTGTTCCCGTTTATTATTGGCCACATTTTTAGCACAGATCATCAGTTACTATGAGAACGGTAGAAATGAAAGGTGTAGCAGACAAAATAAAATTTGTTGATATAAGTTCTCCTCTCTGTAGGAAATCAAAGGTCTGCAATCCTTCTTGTTTTAAAAGAAAAAGACTTCCTAGATCAAAAGTTTGTACTAGTGTTCGAGTGTGTACTAGTGTTCGGCGCTTGATGAAATGGCTTTTGAGGAAATGTCGTTCAATGAAACGGCTTTGATGAAACAATATTTGATAAGACAGCGTTCGATGGAATGTTTCGAACACTCTTGGCCATATTTTTCCGCTCACGTAAGCTGGTCCACTGCCGCTGAGTCCAGTGACGGCGTCCATCATGGCTTCAGGAACTTCCTCGCAAAGCCCCACACTTGTGAGCAGACGACGGACCTCCTCGCCGTCTGACTGCGTGGCTGTTGAGCCTCGGGCGAAGACGCTGGCACCCTCGCGGACGAGGCAGGGCGTGTTGGGCATGACCCTGATCACCCGTGACCTCTTGGGAAGTTTCTGAACATAGAAGATCAAACAATCGTTGGCACAATTTCTGTGTTGAAACTTATATTTATGTTGCACACCGCATTGACAAAGAAGGAGCTGGAGCCCTGAACAACGAAATGCACACAAGGATGAGAACCAAGGCCTTGCATGAACAACGCCTGACAGTTGTAATGGAAATTTATTCAACTACCAGTCACCAGTTCTTGCAGCACTGAACTTGCTGCAGAGCCTGTACATTTTATGCGCTCTTATCTGAAACCGTAAACATCAACATGTCTGTGAAAATGTTATTGAATCACTTTCAACCATGCAATGAAACATGTTTAAGTTTTATCAATGTTGAGCAACTGTAGAAAGCAATAATTATGCAACAACGTTAAAGAGGGAAAGGAATTAGGAGTTAAAGAGTCGGTACAACTTTTCAAAGGAATACCTGTGACCTTTGAGAAGTTTCTGAAGATAATCAAGACCAAGCATTCCTTGGCACAAGCTCTGGATTTTAAGTGCCTGTGCATTTTGTGGGCTTTCACTGTCCACATCTACAACTGTAAGCAGTGTGTCTACGAAAACGTACTAATGGCCTCTAATCATGTAATGAAATATGTTTAATCTTCATCAGTGTTGAGTAGCAAGAGGAAACAATTGTTATGTAATGACTTAAACAGATTGACTTAAAAATTAATATTCAAAGGAATACATGGCACGGCACTTGCAGCTTCACCAAACTATTCGGGTCCATATCACAAGAGTGAATGACATTTTAGCGAACGGCGACATTTGAACGAATGGTCGTTTTAGCGAATAACGGGGGCGCGCGTTAACCCATCCGTCGCGCTCCGCTTTACGCCGCTTCGCGGCGACAGTCTGCGGCAACTCATTACAAAAATATGAACTCACTTGGCCCACCCGAAAACGCCGCTTCGCGGCGTCCGACTATTCGCTAAAGTGTCGTTCGATGAAACGTGGGCGTTCGCTAAAACGTCGTTCGATCAAGTGAGTGCCTCCCGTAACAATGGTTAATTTTTAACTTTAGAATTCACTAAAATGACAATGTCGTCTTTTATGAGTTAAATAAATCTGAAGTGAAGAGGTCGGCATCTACACGGCAGCTGTACCTAATAAAGCAAATTTTCTTACAATTTCATTAGTGACGACACTCTTAGATGTGGCCTCCATGTTCATTGTTAACCATAAGTTTCAGCAAATCTTTTGCTTTTATGGTGTGCCCAAGAAATTTTTATGTCCATTTTGCCACACTCAAGGACAGATTATAGCAGCTCCATACAACATACTCAACTTGTGAATATCAAATGAAGGTGGCCTAAAGAGAATGAAGTAACTCATTATGACACTATAGTTTCTTTCATATTCAGCATCAATATATTTCACATAGAAAACAATTTACCCCTTCGATTTCACCGATGGTCACTCCCATGGCGAGAGAGACAACCAGGTGTCGGCTTTGAACTCCCGTGGAGACTTCTTGCAGAACGCTCGGAACCACTCCGGGCTTCAAGGCCAAGATGACAATGTCTGAACCATCTACCAAGGCTTTGTTCTCGTGAGTTGTCTGGCATCCCAGGCCCTGCAAAGGTGCGAAAATGTATCCTCGATAGTTCTATGCAGATCACTATATTATACCTAGTATTAATACTGATTGGTAAATGTAAAAGCCAATAGACATGCATATGTTTCTATGCGAGAGGCTTCTGACAGAAGGATGCTCGGTCAATGTCTCTCTCATACATCACGCTGCTGTAAAGACCATACCTCGGCAAACCTCACTCATGAGGGCCCTCGCTCACCCTCATCTTCACAGGTGAGGTGAGGGTGAGTGAGTTTCTGAACCAGGAAAATTCATGAGTGTGAAGGTGATGTGAGGGCCGTGAGGGCTGTGAGGGGATGTGAGGGCGGTGAGGGCCGTGAGGGCGGTGAGGGCCATGAGGGCGGTGAGGGCGGTAAGGGGTATGAGGGCCAGGAGTGCGTGAGGGGCGTGAGGGCGGTGAGTGGCGTGAGGGCCATGAGTGCGTGAGTGCTGTGAGGGCGGTGAGTGCGTGTGAGGGCCACGAGTGTGTGAGTGGCATGAGAGGCGTGAGGGCGGTGAGTGCGTGAGGCCCCCTTCAGATCGAGCATCTTTCTCAGCAATTTTGGTGTTAATGGCGGGTTGTTCTCTAGCTTTCCCTAGATCGACACGAATTGCTGAGATCGGGTCCGGCTCGAAATAAGCAAGCAACTCGGAGCAATTCGAATACGTTTGAAGCGGCTGCATCCAATCAGGGATGCAAAATTTTCACGTGATACCTCGTGCCGGTGATGATGACACCGAAAGACGTGGTTCTGGTTTGAAATCGATCGTTTTTTGGAAATAAACTGTTTCAGAAAGGTGCATTAGTATTCTTAACGAGATTTAAATGCATATAAAAACATGTTTATAACGCGTAATTGTGTCTAAATAGTGCAAGAAAAATAAAATTTTATGATGACGATGGCAAATTGCAGCAATTGGTTGCTGCGTGTGATCGCGGGTGGCCCGTGTTGCTAGTGTTGCGACGTAAAGTTTCTGGGCGAAATTGCCCCATCTGAAGCTGGCCTGAGTGGCGTGAGGGCCATCAGTGCGTGAGGGGTGTGAGGGCCGGGCCGCAAGGGCGGTGAGGGGCGTGAGGGCGGTGAGGGGCGTGAGGGCGGTGAGTGGCGTGAGGGTGGTGAGTGGCGTGAGGGCGGTGAGTGGCATGAGGGCGGTGAGGGCCGTGAGGGCGGCGAGTGGCGTGAGGGCTATGAGTGCAAGAGGGCCGTGAGGGCAATGAGTGGCGTGAGGGCTATGAGGGCCGTGAGTGGCGTGAGGGCGGTGAGTGGCATAAGGGCTATGAGTGCATGAGGGCCATGAGGGCGGTGAGTGGCGTGAGGGCGGTGAGTGTGGCGTGAGGGCTGAGGGCCGTGAGGGCGGTGAGGGCCGCGAGGGCGGTAAGTGGTGTGAGGGCGATGAGTGGCGTGAGGGCGGTGAGTGGCGTGAGGGCCGTGAGGGCGGTGAGTGGCGTGAGGGCGGTGAGTGGCGTGAGGGCGGTGAGTGGCGTGAGGGCGGTGAGCGGCGTGAGGGCGGTGAGCGGCGTGAGGGCGGTGAGCGGCGTGAGGGCGGTGAGCGGCGGGTAAGTGGCGTGAGGGCGGTGAGTGGCGTGAGGGCGGTGAGTGGCGTGAGGGCGGTGAGTGGCGTGAGGGCGGTGAGTGGCGTGAGGGCAGCGAGGGCCGTGAGGGCAGCGAGTGGCGCGAGGGCGGCGAGTGGCGTGAGGGCGGCGAGTGGCGTGAGGGCGGCGAGTGGCGTGAGGGCGGTGAGTGGCGTGAGGGCGGTGAGTGGCGTGAGGGCGGCGAGGGCGGTGAGTGGCGTGAGGGCGGCGAGGGCGGCGAGTGGCGTGAGGGCGGTGAGTGGCGTGAGGGCGGTGAGCGGCGTCAGGGCCGTGAGGGCGGCGAGTGGCGTGAGGGTTGTGAGGGCAATGAGGGCGGTGAGTGGCGTGAGGGCGGTGAGGGCCGTGAGGGCGGCGAGTGGCGTGAGGGCTATGAGTGCATGAGGGCCGTGAGGGCAATGAGGGCGGTGAGTGGCGTGAGGGCTATGAGGGCCATGAGGGCGGTAAGGGCCGTGAGTGGCGCGAGGGCGGTGAGTGGCGTGAGGGCTATGAGTGCATGAGGGCGGTGAGGGCCGTGAGGGCGGTGAGTGGCGTGAGGGCGGTGAGTGGCGTGAGGGCGGTAAGTGGCGTGAGTGGCGTGAGGGCGGTGAGTGAGGGCCGTGAGTGGCGTGAGGGCGGTGAGTGGCGTGAGGGCGGTGAGTGGCGTGAGGGCGGTGAGTGGCGTGAGGGCGGTGAGTGGCGTGAGGGCTATGAGTGCATGAGGGCCGTGAGGGCCGCGAGTGGCGTGAGGGCGGTGAGTGGCGTGAGGGCGGTGAGTGGCGTGAGGGCTATGAATGCATGAGGGCCGTGAGGGCGGTGAGTGGCGTGGGGGCCATGAGTCAGTGAGGGGCGTGAATGCCGTGAGGTTCAGTGAGGGTGAGTGAAGGGCTGAAGGTGAGTGCGACTGTGAGGACGAGGTTGTGTGAGGGGCCGAAGGCGAGTGTAGCTGTGAGGGTGAGTGAGGGGCTTAGGCGAGTGTGACCTAAAATGCCGACTGCAGCTTTGCAATTCACTAAGCACTACACTTTTTTTTTCTGAGCATGGAGTTGAATAAGCTTTATGAATCGACAGAATCGTGCAATAAAACAATGTTTGTGAATTTAGAAAATTTCTCCAAAAGCTGATCAAACGTACTGAGGTAAATTTCACTTGATCTTACCTTGATTTCATCTAGAAGATGCTTGTCTGCTACAGGACAGCTGGCCATAATTTTACTGGCATTAAAGACACCTTAAAAAAGAAAGAAAAGACAGGTAAAATACTAACACCTTGCGACCTGGTCCGAGATGCTACGAGATGCCTCGAGTTAGAAACGAAGCAGAAAGAAATTGCAGCACGGTGGCCATAAGACTTGTACAGGAACAAAAGGCAAGGGGTCGTAATAGACGTTTATTTTAACACCCAAGGTGGGGAAGTGCAACCGCACGATACCATTTACCGGGAAACGTCGAGTACAAATACCAGTACATGACACCGTGATTACTCACTTCAACTTGTAATGTACAATTCATGGTGTAGTAAATATCTCGTGGTCAAAAAGATCAAAGTGGCCAGTTGTTCAATATGTGGGCGTTGTGCTACTGTAAACATTTGCAGGACACCACTTCCCGATTTAAGGCTGCATGATACAGGACGAACGGAGTAGTTTCCTTTGGCCAGGACAACAGGCACGACAGGAGTGAGCAAACACCACCAGAAACTCGACACAAAAGCAGGCTGAATGTGACGGCGCTGGTGACTATTGTCAAAAAGCAAAACAAAGATTGGATTGGTGTAAAACGGCGATTTCACCACCCTCACTGAAGGGAAGCTTCACAAGCTGTTCTAAAGTCACAGTGCTTACCCAAGATCATGAGAATTACTAATTCGGGGGATGTGTACTCGCTAAAGTTGCATTTGTTGACAGCTTTTGTGCTCTGATTCCATAGTTATCCCCTTTTTTCCCCACACACATTTAATGAACTTTCCTGGCACAATGTTAGAAATTTTCAAAGCAGCAACTTCTGCAATCTGCGAGTTTTGATAAAACATCAATGCTCACTGGGCAAGCCAGGGCACTTGCGTGACAAGCCATTATAGTTGAATCACACAACACCGACAACAGCTGCGGTGTTCAGTTGCCAGGGAGAAAATTATATTCAGTTTCAATACCAAATTTGTGATGCAACAAGTGTGTGATGGTGGAGGGGCACACTTTACGAGCAGACCACGACCATGGAACACAGAGCAATGTGGGAGCATTGACAGAATGTCAATTGGACATATTGGTGTTGCAATCCACCCAGAACAATTACAACTGTGACAAATTAGCACTGTAGGAACTTCTGTTAGCCAGCGCACTTGACCGAGACAAGCGAGACCATATCAAATGTGACGGTCGAAAGACAATAGTGACAAATGCTAGCTCTGTATACGCTGCTCCAGTGTTTACAAATCCACAGCCCAGCACACATATGTTTGCTGCTTTGTAAAGCAAGCACATTGTATATATACGGAAACACTTAAAATGACGCCGGCCAGTGGTTCTTTATTGGAGCGGTATATAGACCACCCACTTTCTATAGTCCTGGGATGCATAAATGCATTTACGTTCAAGCAATGAACAGATTTTAATGGGCTCTTTGCCTTTCCATTATCGAAGCACCTCACCACTAGGCTTTAAATGCAGTGCACCTCGTAACATGAAAACATTAAGTTTTTAATATATTACAAAACACGCATTCCTGCACTTGGCATTGCTTCGAGATGTAAACTCCCAGAATTTCAATATTTCTGAAGGCTCTGATTAATGCTGAACCATTTTAGACTATCCTGAAAACTGCTAAAATAAAAGCCAAGACAACAATTACAATATAACTTATGTGGGCAAAGTCAGAACGTAAAGGCCATGGTAATAGCAATTCTCTGCCGATATCATTCCACCTGCAGTGTTAACTTAATTCCATTGACCTAAAAAGGTGATTCGATTGATGACTCAGGCAAAAAATGTTTACACATAGCCTCCGCTATATGCAACTCTACACAACTCCAGAGGAGGTGACTCCACCCAGTGGAACAAATGTGAAGGAGAAATGCAGGGAGCTAATGCTTATCACAATTGCGTAGCCAAACTGGTGCAGCCTAGCAGCCAAAATGTGAAACGGAAGGGGATCAAATACATGCTGTTGGAGTCGCAAATACAAGAAGAGCCTGGCACTTGGTCTCGGGAACAATGGATTGTTTGGCAGCCATCAAGGGGAACGAAGTAGCAAACTGCAGACGAGAATATTCCCGATATTAACAGCAGCAGCGATTATTCTCTACAACAGAATTTTCCGCAGCTAAATGTGTTTGGAAACATAGCTCAAAAAGTGGCCGCTGCCACGTATGCACTGCTAACATTGGGAGATTCTCAGTAGCCAATCAGAATCAAGCTCGCGATTCAGTGACACAACTACAACACACACAAAGAGCAAGCCTGGTAATTCCCAGTATCTGGCCCACCAGCTCTGTAGCCTACCCATTGTGTGTGGCTCAAACCTTACAACAAAGTGAATACAAGAGCAGATGACGCATTTGCGGCACAATACACAACAGCAGAACAACCTGCGGACCACGCATGAAGAACTGTCTTATTTTTTCCCGGGTAACAGCTCTCATATAAGAGCTTCCGGCTGCACCTGCAGAAGTGTGTTGGCGTACTGAAACTCCTGACTGTTCTCGTACTCGCACATGTCCAACGCCACCTGACAGCTCTCCCGCACCAGCGTCTCGGCGTCCTCCACGTACTTCTGCAGCAGCTCGAAGCACTCTTCTGTGGCGATGGAGCCGAGCGCCTCAGCGCACTCGTGTCGGACCATCGCCATCTCGTCCGTGTCTTGTAAAACTTCTTTTAAATACGGCACCGAAATCTCTTCCTGGGCTTGACCCAAGACATACGCGATCTCGTGACGAAACAGGGCGCTGCTCGGGCACTTGAGCCCTTCCGCCAGCGCGGTGATGGCTTCGGGCGAACCGCAGTTCCTCAGCGAGAACATGGCACGATACCGCTCGAACAGCGGCTTCGAGGTGTCCAGAAGCAGTTTTTTGTCGTCTTCGACTGGGCTTTCCTTCAGAAACGGAGGGGCAGGGTCGATCGAGCTGTACGGACTCTCCGCGAACTTGTCCTGCTTGCTTTCTTCGCTCTGGAGCCACGCTATCTTGGCAAGCGCGAGCTGACAGGTCTCGGCGACGACGGCGTGCGAGTCGTGTGCGAATTCCTCGAGGACCGCGACGCTTTCAGAGCAGCCGATGGCACCCAAAGCTTCCGCCGCTTCGTGGCGAACGATGGGTTCTTGCTTTAGGTCTTTTAATATTCTTACTAGGGTCGGAATCGCAGCCGGATCTTTCATTTGTCCCAGGCAGTAGGCCAGCTCATGCTTGAGCAGCGCCGACGGATCGACGAAGCAGCGGGCGATGTTTTCGATGGCGCAGGTGCCTCCCAGGTTTCGCAGGGTGAACAGAGCTCTGAAGCGTTCTTTTAAAGGTCTGGACGGATCATTCAAAACCTTACCGACGGCCTGAACAGCCATTTCTTCCACGTGCTTCATCTTACGGCCACTGCCACTGAGATCATTCAATAATCAAAAGAAAAAAAAAAGAAAGAAAAAAATGGCGGTGTTTGTGTCAATGCCGATTGCTCCGATCTCTGACCAACCTAGTCACACGTGAACAGTTTCGTTTTCGGACGAGCTCAGTGGCGATATCAAATTGTGAAAATAGTCTCTCTTCTTTATCGTTGCTTTATCTTTGAGTGTGTGCACTCATGTAGATGAAGGAGCACTGTTCGAGATTTATCCAGATCATATCTTTGTGTCCAGCGCACTATCAGTGCTGCGTTGTCTAGCCCCGAAAGCCCTATATTATCTATTCAGAGATTCTAAGTTAAAAAGATGCTGACAGTCGGGGGAAATATTAGTACCATCATTTCGATGAGTTCCAAGGCTCTGATCACTCAATACGTTTTTACGTTTCTTTTTCTTTCTTGTGTTATGTATGCATGCGTGTGTGTGAGTGTGTGGAAGGGAGATGTAGCATGCCATCCTCACAATGTCTTGCATCATCGTCACAATTATTTTATTATGCTCTACTATATATTTATTTTTCAAATATTCCCCTGACTCCAGTCCAGAGTAGCCGATTAGGACAAACCTGTCCGTGTTTCTGTCGTCAAGATCAATTAATAAATAAATAAACCAATAAATCTATAGTTATACGTTGAATGGATAATTCAAGTGTACTGAAATGTCAGGTCACTCTCGATGATCATAACTTGTTAACCTAAAAAAAAAAAAAAAAGACTGCTAGAGAAATTAAATTAGGCGCATGAACATGCTGGCTTCAGAGCAGCGATAGCAATTTGCTCTTTTGCCTAGTACATTGCACGACTATTCAGTAAAAAGAAAACTGAAAGATCCACAACGCACCTGATTCGATGAACCCTCTGGCCATGGCCTGCGCAATGCGGCCGGCACCAAGAAAACCAACAATCATTTTCTTGCCGTTGTGTTAATTAGTTTCGCGACTGATTTTTGTCAGACTGGCAGACCAGCATTTAGCGGACGACCAGCTTTTCGGCAGAAACGAAACTGCCCCCAGCGACAGGCGCGCCACACATCAGCTGCGGATGCACACGTGCACACCGCAATGGCGGAATCTCCGAAGCTTCGGGTGAGCGGCGTCATCTTTCAAACAAATACGACGTCCACAGAACAGTCCTGCGCGGATACCGCGAACCTCGAATATCAGGAAGCATGTAACGAGAAGCCTCTATTATTCCAGGTTTTCCGCGCGGTTGCACCACGCCCCGCAACGCGACGTTATCTGGGGAAACACAAACATCCCATCATCTGTTTTGTGCAAGTGTACCCGAAAAAATGCTATTTTCAGTTCACTGCAAAAACAAGCTGTGCATCGCCGAGCGCTCAGCACATGCCAACAAGCAGCGCCAGCGGTCCTGTATCAGATACCAAAGGACCAAAGTTTCACTGCTTGTTACGTGGTTAAAAAGTTTTAAGCGATTTTCAGAAATTTTCAATGGAAAAATTACGACCGACGGGAGTGGCCCATTTTGCCATTAAAATTTTCAGATAATTACTTTGAATAAATTAACAGTTAATTCTGAAACCTTGGCATCTGATCTGGACCATAGCGCTACATTTAGACCCAAAAACTAAGCGCCCAAATTGCGTAGAAAAAAAAAAGGACTTTTACTATGGTTTTTGCGATTTTGTTTAAAAAAAGCAAACATTATTTTCCAGGTTCTGTGTCTGCATGGTTATAGGTGAGTTAAATTTTACGCCTGGCAATTAAAGTGGAGGACAATAACACGTTGTTTCGGCAGACAGGATGGCCAGTCATTCAAGAGCAAACTTGGTGGTTTTCGAAAGGTCACAAAGTCTGTGTTAGATCCTGGTATGTGACATCTTCCTTTTAAATTCCCGTGTGATCCCAATGACACCAGGAACCTATGCATGACCGAGCTCCCTTCTCTGCCAAGTTTTTATAGACGCACCTCATGTGATACCGGAGTCGAGCAATGCTGGAGGTAGCATTGCGGAGCCAAATGTCCCCGGTGAGAAGTTAACTATTTAGTGTGTTGCAGTTTAAGAATAAGAGGACAAGCCTCTCCCACAGAGCTCTTTGCTCACCATGATTGGTGATCTCCACCTTTCCAGCTTTCACTCTGCTAAAGTGGAAGGCTTTTTGGGAGGAGCAATTGTCGTGCTATTCATGCAGCAAACTATAATCTTTCATAAGTACACGTATAAAATTAGTCAAACCTACTAATGCCTGCTTTGTTGCTCACAAATTAGGTGGCCGTGGATGGTGGTTCTCCAGCTCACAGAAGTCTTTTAATGCCCAAGAGCATACAGATGTATGTGTAGGATTCAGCGATTCTGTCAAGGCTGTCGAGAAGGCTTGTTGTTCCCTGGTATGTAAAGAATATATAAATATATATATTTAGTTATATACACTACTACTAAATGCTATGTTGCATGCCAAGTTTAAAATTGTTTCATTGTTTTTTCCACAAGGGGCCATTTGATGGTATCCTGGGCTTCAGTCAAGGTGCAGCAATGGCTGCCTTGGTTTTGTGTCTGCAGTCTCTGGGGAGTAAGAGAATATTCTGTCGGCTACCTCGAAATTGCCATTAGTTTATTTTACTGGCGCTGAAGGACCTGACAGCCTGATGCTTGCTTCGCAGAATCAACGACCAACTTCAATTTTGGTGTTCTCATTGCCGGCTTCAAGAGCCGGTCCACGCTACACGATGTTCTCTACATGGATGGATTGGTGAAAGTCCCAACCCTCCACATAATTGGAGACACCGACGCCGTCATACCAAAGCGTTAGTGATGTTTGCCACACATATGACAGGTCGACTTTGCTTTCTGATTCAGTGAGAAATTTGTGCTGCAGTTCTGGCAGTGGTGCGGGTGCTAACTAAGGATACCGCAATTCTGCAGATGTTCGAGTTCGCTTTTTTCTAACTTGCAGTTGCAAGTTTGACAGGAGTTAGAATATTATGCACATGCACATGAATTAAACATAATTTTAGATGCAGCCTTTTAAGAAATTAACTAACTTAATAAAAGCTTATGTGTTTGACTTTTTTTCTGTAGATATTGATAATTATTTTCCAAAACTAAAACAAACATATTTTTAAATATTTTCCCAAACTTTTGTCATTTGTTTTTTACATCGAATTTGGACAATACTGTTTAAGAAGTTGTGCTTCGTCCAATTTTTTCGAAAGGTTCGTCGAACCAGTCTAGGTTCGACAAAAGTTTGCAACATCCCTGGTGCCAACTTCCTGATAAGCCGTTTAACTTTTTAATAGTAGTATACAGCATTAAAAAAAAATTATTCCATATTGTAGTAATGAACTTGCACATTGTAAAAAGCTGGAACTGCACATGAAGCTGACTCTGGCTCAAATCATGAGATGTCTAGGTTTTAACCCATAATGTTCCCTGTGCATTCGCAACTTGATAACGTGCCATTCAAAATTCTTTGCAAAATTCTTGCAACTTTTATTTAAGCTACATTACGACCAGACACCTTTTGTCTCCTCATCTCGGACCATTTCGTCGTCTGCTAGCGTCTTTTTCGAGCAGGGTACTTGACCTCTACGGTGCTTTATTCGCCCGACTAGCAGACTTAATGTGGTCTGCGAGGTTGTCAGATGGTGGGGAAGGCTTTTCCAGTCAACACGACAGATTTGGCACCACGTTTATTTCAGTAGCATTACGACCTAAAACCTTTCACATCTCATCATCTCTCCTAGCATCCTCCCTGGATATTGTCGTTGATCTCTGTGATACTATATTTAAGTGACACCATACTCTGTTCTACCTTACAACAGACCGCAAACAACGCCAAGAGTCGCCTAAGCCAATCCAATACTGTCTAGGCGTCAGGTGACCTTCGTGAGGGACCAACAACGTGTGGGGCTCGTAGTCATGCGATGCGTTCATGGTGTTGGATTGGTTGGGATGGCTCGTAGCGTCCATCGCAAGGTCAAACGAAGTGTAGCAGACGTAATATGATCCACAAGGTTGCCAGTCAACACAGACAGTCTCGGTGTCTTTGGATGGTTTGTTTACGTGCTGCCACTTCCGCTTTCAGCGCAGGCCATGGAGATTGTGCCCTTCTTCGAGTCGCCCCAGGTGGTGTGCCACCCTGGCGGCCACTTCATTCCGACGGGGGGTTCTTGCAAGACTGACTACCTGGCTTTCCTCAGGGAGATGTTGCAGGTGTGCGGCCAATGTCAGTTCATGGAAAACAACGAAGAGCCTCTAGAATAATAAACTTTTTAAATTTTTGGTCTTGTTCCGTATTTCGACATGCCTCACAAATACGGTAGAACCTCGTTAATATGTTCCCAGTTTTTACAATTTCCCGGCTTTAAAGTTCAAAACCGCCGGTCCTGCCAAGCTCCCTGCCCTTGGGGGCCTTCTCATTTTTTACACTTTCCCGAACTCTACATTTTTTTCCCCGCAGCCTGTTCAGAAACGCATGAACAAGGTTCTACAGTATAAACACCTGTTTTTCCCTACTGAGCATTTTAGCAAAAGTGCAAAAAAGCTAATTAAAAGTATCAAAAGTAGTGTAATTAGCTGCAGCTTTAGCAATTAAATACTTCCCAAGTTAGAATGACACATCAGTAACTGTAACAAAGTAGCCAATTGGGCCAGTTGGAAAGCATTATACACGGGGATAAACAGCTCGGAGAACGCGGACGAAGAAAAGCCACCGCAGGTGCCCTGTCATGTTGTGACTTTTCTGTGTCTGCATTTACAGAGTTGTTTATCCTTATGTACTATCAAGTGCGAATGAAATGAGAAAAACAAAGTGCGTGGCCTACGATACATGCTGTGCTACCTGCAGGCAGCTACAAAACTGCTAAAACTATGGCGGGTAAAGGGGGCTGCATAGGTGTGCGCCTGCTTTGACGTGCACACCCTCGTAGCCTCTCTCTCCGCTCCACAGCTGTTCCTAGTTGCCTCTAGGTTGTGCAGCATGTATCGAAGGCCATGCGCTCCACTGTTGGCATTTCAATCTTACCGGATAGTACAGGTGCTTTAATTGCAACTTACGGGAAAATGTGCACGACAGCACACTTTCACGAATTTTGTGAACTGTGGGTTTTGGGAATATTCCACGTGTGCAGAATCTTTTGCAACTGAAAGTGGTGGGCTTTGTGTTTAATACCGATTCTCATTCGCACAAAAAATATCTTGCAATGTTTTTCAAATTACGATACTATTTGTGAAAAAAACATGGGTAGTTTAGAGTGACCCGTAAATTGATTTCATTTACTTCTCGAAGTTGCAATGACCAATAGAGAAATTCTTGTTGATTGAGTCTCAATATGACTGCGAAGTCTCGTTGCTGCCAAAAACCCTGCAGTGAGCAAATGAGCCAAGTCAAGATACAAATGTGCCAATAACCTCTTTCTGTGTTGGAAATTGGTTACTTCGAAAAAAAAAAAAAAATAACTATCAGTAACAAATACATTTGACCATAAGTGTCCATAATAACTGGAACTTGATTGCTTTCTAAGAGCAACTTCCAGCGTTTGTTAGTGAAAATGAATAATTATGTTCCGGATTTGTCCAATTTCTGGGATTCCAGGATTCAAGAGGACAGCGGGCATTTATGTCTTCCGAGGAACCTCGCCTGACCTCTCTGGCGCACGTCGCTGCGGAAAATTGGAGGACCATGTCAGCGGGTCAGCAATCCCCAAATGCGATCCATATTGTTGTATGTCGAACGAAGAACCTTTCGAAGTATATTTCCATTCTAAACAGCAGGTTCACATACGTAAGTGGAACCTCTAGTACAGCGAGGTTAACACAAAGCATGTCCTCTATATGTCAGGATCACAAACGCCTGTACCAGTATTGCGGGTTTGTTTCTTTGCGGTAGGGTTGTGGTAAGCCTAGACAAGCCAAAGGTGCGGTCGCCCGCTACGTTAACGCTCCTCGATATCTCATTTGTCTTTTTGCGTTTTCACTGTGCTGCAATTTCGTTGGCTGCAGAGCGATGGTACAACGCTCGCCACATCCCGATTAAAAGGACCACGAAATTAATTTTAAGTTGGGATAAATTATTTTAGATAGGGAATTTACTAATAGCACATAGTTTAGTGGGTCAAAAGAGAACTAATACGTGAGGGTAGAGAGCCAAGAGCCTGCTTTTAAAGGTGCAGAAATTTTAAAATGTAGTGAACTATTTTTTGTTGCCTCCTTTCCTTGGAAAGCTCTCTGCCTTTTCACCGCGACGCATCCGCAATGCTCGAGCGCATTGACCGAACCCAGCTCGCGCATTGTACACGACCACCGCGGTGCTCGGATGTACGAGCTTGGACGTCGACAGAAGCTTGGCAAGTTGGTTCTGGTGAAATACTACGTCGCGACTGCGCGATTTCTTATTTTGATCTTGAGTTGAGGAGGAAAGCTAAGGAGGAAATAGTTGACAAATAATTTCATGGTCCCTTTACGTTCTCAGTGAATACAATTCAAACTCGTACGAAGAACAGGCATCCCAGAAGCCTAGGAGCAGTAGACAATGATGGGGCTCTTGGTGAAAACAGTTTTTCTCATACATTTTCTTCGGCACAAAGAGACTTGGTAGCGTAGTCTATAGACGCGACAACACCGTCACGAAAGAAGACGCCGTCACCAAGAGAGGAACAAGAGGGAGTACATACTTTAATACCTCTATTTACCGTCATCGGAAAACAAGACATCTGTAACAGCGCGAAGTCAACAGAACCACACGTTCCGAGACGATCCCGTCAAATAAATAGCCGAGTGGTTTGTCCCGACGCTACAAATGATCTCCGCCTCGCCAAATAAACAGTTGCCGGGTTCCGTAACTCGGTCACCGTCCCCACTTCCAAGATGTCTAGCCACTCAGCAGCCGATGTTGGCTCAGGCACGACGAGGAGTCGGGACGACTCCTAGACACGGGAACAAAGACTGAGAGCTCGTTTCGTCTGCATAGTACAAATGAGGTTGCAACGAGAGACGATATTGCAACTCGCTGTTGCAAATGCGGGAAGGACTGGGCGATTCTGAGACTCCGAGTAACAATCGGCAAAGAGGGCATAATCCAAATCTCCTAAATAATGAAGCGATAGCGCCGAATTTTCGGCGTCTGTTAAAGAAGGCGAATGCGAGACGCAGATTGGGCGCGACTGCCGCTTCGGCGTTTGGCTAAGACTCTTGTTCTCACCGGCCGAACACGAGTCTTGGCAGAACGCCGACGTGGCAGTCGTGTTCAATCTACGCCCTGTGTTGGCCTTTTTTAGGGGTCGCCAGGAATTTGGCATTATGGCTTCGTTATCGGGCGTTGGTACGGTCGACCTCGGGGCAATGCGAGAACGCAATACGACAGTCTACATAATCACAGCCGGCAAAGCCCTACAGGTACGGCAACACGCCGTCCTCGTAAGCGTGCCACAAACGCTTGCACTGGGAAGACGGTAACTCGGAAAATTCGCCCCCACCAAAAAAACAAACAAAAAAAAAACGGATTGTTTCCGCCATACATTTGGTGCAGCCAGCTCGTCGCCTTTTCATATTTGGTACCGTATCACTTCTCGAAAGCGCGCGGCTTCTGTGCCGTGCAGTTCCATGCACCATGTGAGCGATGCATGGCAGTCAACAAAATAAACAAACGCGCTTCTTTGCGACACGTCCCTCTCGTCGTTGCCGGGCAACACGAGCTGAGCGGACGTGTCGACACATTTTAGTTTGTTTTGTCTTCGATGGCACATACTCCGCATTTTGTTCTTTGCCAGCTTCCTGTTACAAACAAAAGCAAATAGAAGAGAGCTGGGCAGTAGAGCATCGATGGTTGCTACCATTTGTTCACCTTCACAACGGTCCATTCCTACCCGTTGACTGAAGAAAGTTGTCGCCTTTCCGATCCAGGCACTAGCTCAATAGCGTCGTGCGGAAGCAAGTTAACTCTGAAGGAATTCTAGCCACTCCAGTCGAATTTCTCACTCGCCTGTTGTGCAACCAAAGCCATACCTCTAATATGTTATATTTCCGAAAATATTCCTGCACAAGACTAGGTTGCTCAGAGCCAAAACCACAGAGTTACTGACGACGATGTCACATTAATAGTACGGAATCAAGCTTGACACGTTTCGAATGTGAATCTTCACACAAGACACGTCTGTTGCTAGAGTTCTTGCGCATGTTCAATTTATTACTGCGGAGACTCGGTAATCATTTCAGAGTTCGAGTAATCAGAATGATGTCTTCACAGGTCATCCAGCACCTTTCAATCTTGCATTCTGTAGTTGTAGCCTTACGACCTTTTGCTGAAAAGCTTTATGTTGCAATACACAACTTGCTAGATTTCAGAAGACTGTTTTTTTAGGCGAAGTAGCCTTCCTATAAGAAAAAAAGGAAAACGGATCATGGTGTTTATCTAGCAAAATAGAATCCTAAACAAACAACGAACGTACATATCGACTCCAGGATATAAGTGCCACGCGGATTAGCTATTGAATAAAATAAAATCGAGGGTGCCGTCGGCTAAAATGTGTGCAGAACAAAAGCTACGTTGTTCGTCATGAACCCCAGAGCTGCTTCCGAACCTAGTCTAAGTGTGACAACTGTGATGGGCAGAGACCATGTAAAACAAAGAAAACAAGCTTGTTTACTTCATATGGTAAAAAGCACACAGCAAACCTAGCCCATGTTTTCGTTATGGATTCCCCACATTCGTCACATAGATTCTTCGTATCCTCGGTGCGGTAGTGCTGCGCAAACTTGTTCTAGATGACCGTTGTTGCACTTTTGACACCTAATCCCACGAACCCAAAAGAACTTCCATAAAAAAAAATTACAAGAAAAAAATTGTTGTTGCAAGGGCACCTAAAAAAAGAAACGGAGGTGGCCAAGTACTCGGTCATTATCGTCCAGACGATTGTTCGCCAACGGGTGCGAAAAGCGAACAACTGCACATAGAGCTTCGCTAGCGTTCCTGCAGGTTTCCTCGCAATAAAACTACGGCAGAACTTCTGCAATCACCAGTCATGGAATGCTTCGACCTATAAAATCAATAATCCCGTAAAACAAAAAAAAAAAATGCTGTCTCATGGTTAGCATGCGCACATACAAACACTATACATATTCTACAGCCTCCTCCAATAATAAGGCAGGTGAGGTCTCCCAGTTCCTTCCGTTCTATTTTTCTTTTTCTCTTTTTGGTTTCACTCAATCCGGCAAGGGCAGACCAGACTGCCCGGCCGCAACCCCCCAAACCTGCACCCCCCAGAAACTTCACACCGAAAGACATTCGTTTATCACAGAAAGATTAAAAATACCATGTAAAAAATAACGGCTTGCCCACGAGCGCTATATTAAAAACAACGGAAGAACAAAACAAAAAAAAAAGGGAAGGGGATCATGAAGCAACTCTAAAAAATATGGTGCAACCACTTTCGGGAAACAAAGTAACATTAGAATAATAAAAAAAAAAAATTGTGGGGGATGGTTAGGCTTGACTGTCCTTTCAGTTCTTAGTGTTTTAACCGGAAAACTGCGACGCCTGGCGGACAGATCTCCGTAATAATGCACCGGAAACTATGCGCAAGTGCGTGCGGCTTTGAATGCTTCAGAGTCTGAAGCACATAACTTTATGGGCACTTTGTTCGCACGAAAGCTCTCGCCACCAAAGACTCTTTCGAAGCCGCACGCGCACTTGCAGCGCAGTGCGCCGTTGCGGCAAGTTGTCGCCAAGTTTAGTCCCGAGTCTCGATGCACATCCCAGTCGACCTCTTGACGCCGGCTTCTCACGACTTCTCATGGACACACGGGTCCTGGTGCACGCACGTCGCAGCGTCGTCGCGCGGCGCAGAACGCGACACGTTTGCAAGTGTCTTGATCGCCAGAACCGGAGAGATCACCGGTAATGTGCGGGGCAAGAACGGTGGCTCCCACGAGGTCGGTCACTTCCAGCGCTCCAGTATTTCTGTAAACTGTATCCTGATCCAGGCGGAGAGCTCCTGCCACTGCTTGACTGCCGAGCAGATCACAAGGATGAGCAGACCGGTTGTCACGATGCGCACCCTGGAATGCGGAGCAAAAGCCGAAAGGTTTAAGCACGTCTCTCAAAACTAGAGGGGAAAAAAAAGAAAAGAACAACTTTTGAGCATTGCATTCTTACAAACTTTTCAACCTTGAGGACTGCCAATATCTCTACAGTATGTGAAGTAACGCTTCACATACTGTAGAGGCCATCAAAAATTTGTTTCTCATCGTATTGTGCCGCAATCTACTAAAGAGGTGCAAGCAGGTGGAAAAAGTTCACAGTGAAAAAATCAAAAAATGAACTTGGCTCGTTCAAAAAAAAAAAACGAAACAAACCTGCTTTGGGCAATGTACAACGGCACTTTGCGGACGATGCACGGATAGTGAGATGTGCTGCCGACAGATGGCGTAGGCCGCATCGAGGAGCGCCGGCCGATTTGGGTTATGATAGCAAACAATCTCCCAAAAGAACCCGGATCACAACCAGTGCAACAACTGCCAGTGCTCCCTCGACGCACATCGTCGGGGAAGTGCCAGCGTAAATCGCCAAACACAGGTTTCTGCTTCTTTTTGTTTTGAACGAGATCAGTTTATTCCTTGATTTTTTTTACTGTAAACTTCCAACACCTGGTAAGGCACCACTGTAGTAAATTGCAGTGGGATACGTTGAGAAACAAATTTTTGCGGGCCGTCTAAAGTGCCCTAAAAGCGTTAGTTTACGTTCTGTAAACGACGACAACAACAACACACACCCTAGGGAGCATTTGAGACAGTAGTTATGCACTAGTAAGTGACTCAAACATGCTAAGGTAGTGCTCAAACTGGAAAACTGCTTCACTCTGGGGCATGGGCAGGTCGAGGAAATGTGGGGGGGGTTCTTGGGGGAACCCATTTTGAGGACCCGCATTCTAGATCACGGATTCTTGAACTAATTTCCTTGTGCTCTCAAATTTCTTTGGCTGTCCCGGCCCATAACTAAAGTATTCTTCTGGATTGAGCACTATTTTATAATATCAAAGCTGTTCACCGCTGTAGCAAATACTCCCCAGTACCGCATACAGTACTTTTTACAGGGCCTGTAGGCTTCTGCATTGCTTCGAAGCATCGAGACCAAAAGGGTTTGCTTGACTTGACCGAGACAGACAGGCGTTCCTCAAAATCAAAAAGTGTGACGACCCCTGTTCTAGACCGACAAAGGGCACCCTAGAGCTCCCAGCAAAATGCAGATTCAAGATTGAACATGAAGATAACCTGGGGATCTCGGATGTGCAACCGGTTCCTAATCGCGAGGCGTCGAGCTCTCGTAGATTACAGAGCCGGTATTTTGCCTCGGTGTTATCGAGACGGTTGTGAAAGTTAACGTGTGGCTTTCACTCATCAACGTTGAATGTGGTTAAAAATGAAACTGAAGCAGTTCTGCATTTAAGAAAAAGACACTTTTTATTTAGCCTCCAGGATTACGAATATCTCAAAATTATATTTTAGACTGATGTGCCAAGTTGCCACAACGGTGCTTTCAAAACAGCGCTGAAACCCATCCTTTCGTCGTGTTCGGTGCGAAGAGGGAACCGTGGCGCATTATACAGAGATTTCAACATTTCTGTGCCTTCATCAAGCATTACCCGTGCAGTCAAAAGCACTGCAAGCATTCTTTCCAAGCGGCACGCACAAGGCAGCTGGAACCTCCGGGTGCGACGTCAAAGCCAGTAGTTGATTTTTCGTTTTTTTCTCACGCCTATCAATACGTTTGGGTCAAATGCTCGTGATATTCAAATTCACCGGACAAAAATACGCCGTAACTTGTTTTATTCAAGAACCTCTTCAACTTTCCTTCCAGTGCATAGATTGGAAGTTCTTTCTCGAGGAAGACACATTGAACCACTAGCGTGCTAGCCACTTGGTTTGCATGCAGCGAATTCGTGCAACTGAAGCACAATTTCAAAGCAATATACATGCAGACATACTGTCAATAACATTTCTTGCAGAAGGTTAAGCCAAATTTGGGAGTTTTACGTGCCAAACCAAGAAAGGGAATCTGGCATGCCCCCAGTAGAGGACTGGGGATTCATTTAGACCACTCGGGGGATCTTTCAAAATGCAACCAAAATCTCGGTTACACGTCGAAAGATTCTCTCCGCAATGAATCTCTGTCAGACTGTGGGCACCCTAACCGGGATTTGAACCCGCCACTTGGGGATTCGTAGGCCGGCGCTTTGCCTTGAAGCCATCGATGCAGGTCCCACAAAAGGTTACTTGGCAGAAGTACAAGTGTGTTTACAGCTGTGCTTCCTGATGACAAAGCATTTGGCTCACAATCTCGAGGTTGAGTTCAAATCCTGCCGGGGGACTGAAGAGTTCTGGCTCTCTATGAGCGTAACACTTTTCGGTGTGGGTTTTTCGTTACAGCCAAATGTTACAGAACTCCACGAAAATTGACTGATCAAACCGATTCTGTGAAAAAATCCTTAGAAGTTTGTCAACACACAAACAGGTGTATAGCAGCATGGGTCCCATCATGACGACAAGCTGTAAGTGGTTATAAATTCTGTCGTGCAACAAAATGGATACAATATATACACGCACAAGCTGCTAAATGGTAGAAACATATTGCAGCTGGCCGAACGGGGACCAATTCTGCGTTCATAGAGACAGCAAGGAATTGCTAAAAAGCCGACCGCATAGATGGCTCGCACCGGTGTCGCGTCGGTGGCCGTCGTAGTGGCCTTGCTGATGAGCACGTGCCTTCACGTTAGCACCACCGAATTTGTTTTCCTCGGCAAGAACAAGCAGACCGACCACCGGCGCCAATGCGACGGTCACATGCAAGCCCGTCGCATTCGCGCAAGGTCACGATACCTGGACTGCAGGAAGGGCATGACGATGTTGGCCACGGTGGAGATGAGCAGGAGCACGAGCTGGAGCAGCATGAGGAGCACGTTGACCAGCTTGAGGCCCAGGGCCCGGGCCTGCGAGTTGTCCAGGGCGTCCAGGCTCACCAGTTGTTGCAGGTGCTGGTGCTGCTGGTGCTCCATGCGGCTGATCTGGGACACACGAGGCACACGGGCTTGGTCGCACCGACGAGGACCGGGGAGCGCGGAACGTGCTGGGTGCAACCCACGTGTCACGGTGCAATGTGGCGATACGGCCGCGTGACATCCCATGGAATGTTGGGATGTCACCTGGCGCAGTTATGTGAAATTCCATGCCACTTGCTCCAAACTGTGCTTATCCTCCTACATCCTGCTGCATTTTGCCAAAATTTGAGGAGTCTGCACCAACATTGTGCCAAAAGTCAGTATTACTTAAAAAGCCCTTGAAAATAATTTTTTTTTTTTTTTTTTTAACATTTTGGTTGGAACACGCATGTCAAGGAATATATTTTACGCGTTCATAGAACATCGTCATAAACGTAATTTAGTCGGTAGGGCGTGTGGAGGAGAGGTGGATCAGCTTGGCGATCACACTGAGGTGGAGAGAGTGTATGACCATTTCGTTGAAGTGGAAAGAGTGTATGACCATTCCGTTACGTCATGTACTTTTTACACAGAATTTTAGATAAACCTTGTGCCGTCAATATTGCTAAAAAAATGTTTGTCTTGGTACTTTTTTTTTTAGACACCAGACTGTTTAAAAAAAACTTTCTGTTTTTTCACTCTGGTGAAGAAGGAAGACCAGCGAAGCTGTACTATGGTGGGACGACCTCAAGGACGACGCCTAAAGGACGACGTCTAGGACGACCTCAAGGTCAACGTTTAGGACGACTTTTGGGACGACCTCGAGGACAATGTCTAGGACGACCTTGAGGACAATGTCTAGGACGACCTCAAGGATGACTTCTAGGACAACCTAAGGTCGACGTCTAAGACGACTTCAAGTACAACTTCTAGGATGACCTTGAGGACGACTTCTAGGACGATGCCTAGAGAAATTCAGCCTTTCCACTCTGGTGAAAACCAGAGTGGAAAGGTTGCCGCCATCTATGAGCAGAGGTGGACCAGGCAACCGGCAAGCTGGTTGTCTGGTTGCCGCCATCGCTCATAGATGGCAGTAGCTGTCCAGAGTTTTGTGTCGACATTTATTTGGTGACTGACACGAAACTGGAGAAACTAGCCCTGAACGGCTCCGCTGTAAAATCTTTTTTTTTCTTTTCAGGGTCCTTTAAAACACTAGAAATATAATAGGTCAGGCCCCATTACACGGCCAGATTGTTACAGTAAGCTCGTGCGAATGCTCAGAACTTTCGATTATACCGCCAAATACGGTACTATTTAATTTCATCTCTATCAAACAATGACAGTACGCGCTTGGAAGTTTCGTAATATTTCTCGTGTGTGGTCCGTTCTCGCAAGTTAGCTAACTTCGTTCAGAGGGCTTCTCACCACACACTGGCGTACTGCAATGAGGCAACGACCGCAAAATGAACATAGCGATTTTGCGTATCTTTTTCGTCGCAGCGCACCCGCATACTAAGGGGAAAGCACCCTCCCAGAGAAAAACGCGAGATGCAATTTTAATATTATTTATGTGGAATGTACTATTTGCTTTACCCTCGATTCTGTACCGAAAATAACTATGGACTGCAGTTTAGGCTGTCCTTCATCAATTAGCATCTTGTTGCTGTGTTTGGTACTTCTTTGCACAAGTAGGCAGTTTGTTCTTTGCTCGAGGGAATCAAACCTGTCGGGCAACTGATGCTAACAACAAAAGTGGGAAGTCAATATAGACATTGTCTTTCAGTTCGACAGGTCAACGCACAAATGTTAACACATATGAAGTGGTATGAACGAAAATGAAAAACAACTCTGACCAATCGCATCACGGGTAACACAAGACGTCGTAACGTCGAGTGATGTCGTGACGTCCCATGGGCCCCATGAGTACTAAAATGAAACGCTAAAATCCAACGACGAAGTATGATGCTCGACCATAACGGTTTTTTTGTTGAAACCGAGCGTATAAAAACATTCTGCAATAAAACGCAGTTGTGCCGCATGTACGTTTCGGCGGCGGGAAGTTAGACAGCCCCGATGGGCGTCTGCTACACCCGCCGTAAACGAGGAATTTAGCCGGTGCAGTACTAGTCTGCCTAGATTTCAGAGTGTTTCCGAGTGCTCAATCAAGATTGTGCGGTTTATAGGCTCCACTTGCAGTGCGAGCTACTATCAGGTGACGAAAGCGTTAATCGCCTGCAAGCGTCTTCGCCTTTCTAGGAACTTTCCTCCTCCCCACGCGACAACGTGGCGCATGTACCCTCGCAACTGATCTGCCCGGGAGACGTCTGCCATTAAGCTGCTCCCTCTCTCAACTCTAGGCCCTCTATGCACTACTGTCGCCTGCCTGGGGTCTCCAACGTGCATCAATCGGTTGTGACGCATGACTGCATGCCATTACAACATCTGTCGGAATAGACCCTTTGCAAAAATCCCAAAAGCCCGTGCGCGCCGCGCAACGAATAATGGGAGTCCTCGTTATGCCCCTCCTCCCGCTACCATGTGGCATACACAAGCAGGCGCAGGTTACCACGGCAACAACTTTCAGCCGAGTCGGGCGAGCAACGAGCCAACAGCTCGTCGCTTTTTATTGGTTTTGTCGTCTGCTGCACCTTTGTACCGGCTCTGTCGTCTGCCGCACCTTTGTACCGGCTCTGTCTGCTGCACCTGCACCTGGTCGAAACCTGCCACGGTTGCGGTGCAAAACAAGTGGATTCGGTGACACTTCAATACGTGAAGGTAAGTTACGACGAATAACGTATTCAAATAAGTTCACCTGTCGCGATGCCTTTACGCTGCCACAGACACGGTATACCACCAACGAGGTACGACAAGGTGGATGGGCGGGATGGCGGATGGCTGCAACGGCTGCTGGCGGTAACTGCGGTGCACGAGCGCAGTCGCGGAGGCGCAACGAGAAAGCGCGTGATCTGTACCAAGGGTTCCCAAAATTCCCTGCCGTCGTGGCACTGCACGTTTTGCAAAGGGTCTATTGAAACGGTCAGGGCCGGGGATTGAGTCCGGGATCCCCAGGTCCTGTGGCATGAGCTTTTGCTCCTTGTGCACCGAGCTGCAGTGTGTCACTCTCGGCGCCAACTCACCCTGGTCTGGCAGCTCTCGAGCAGTTCCTGCACGTCGCGCAGGCGCTCCTCGCTCTGGTACTGCACCTTTTCCTCCATGTCGGCAATGCCCTGCTTCAGGTTCTCAATCTCGTTCTGGTGCAGCTCGATCAGGTCGTTCATCTGCTCTTCTAGCCTCTGTGGCGCGTCAAAAAGGAAATGGCATATGGTCAGCTTTCAAGCCTAATATAAGAGGGCTTCACCAAATTTTTGGTTTTGGTTTAGAGACACTGACACCTCCTAAAAATTTTTAAATTTTTTGCCAGGCAATTTATTACGGTGTCTGAAGACTACCCAGTCAATTTTTTGCTACAGCGTCGCATATATTTTTAATAAAAAAAGAGAACGCAACTGCTTGAAACCGAAACCGAAGCCGCACTGAGGAGGAAGGAGAAATGTAGAGGAGAAGATATCGCATGGCTACACTCTATCCCCATTTTCTTTTTTTCCTTCGTTTTTTTTTATTGTGCGAAGCAGAAGCAAAACTCTCGTGTCGCACAAAAACGCAAGTGCCAAGCACTTGGTGCTTGACGTTTGCACGTTTTTCAATCTCTTACCAATTTGTGCTCGTAAGACGAGCAATGTCTTCAGCCAGGAGAAGGGGGCGACGTCTTCGTGCGAATTAACTTGGTGGTCGGGCGTGTCGTACGGAATAAATCGTAATTGTTTTGATCGGTAAAAGATTTCTCTTTCAAAGCTAGACAGATTTTCCGGTAATGCGAGCAACAGTTATGAAGTAGAGGTCGCACGCCAGTCGTCCGCCACCATCGCTTAGTCCGCTTCGTTCAGCCGTCCAGCCAGCGACTCCGCCGATACGACGCCATGTTGAGAATTACGCATAGAATGCACAGAGTGCTTTCGGTTCTCTGTGCAACTTATTTCTTTTATCAATCAACGTATTTGCAGCTTTTTACAAGCCACAAAAAATGGATATATTTTTTTTATATTTAATACTGACTGTGTGCCTTCGATGACCCACGACTTTGATTACATTTGGGGGTTGTGTTTAAACCATTGAAAACGGCACGTGGCCACGGAGAAGAAAGTGAGTGCGACTCAAACCGGCCAGTTCTCAATTGGCGGTTTTTGGGCGGAAAGAAAACAAATTCGAGCAACAAATTGTGTTCTGGGTAGTTGGGCTCTCGTATGTCACAAACAAATAAAAACCTTGGCAAGCATAAACAACCTGTCGGTGTACCTCTAAGCTTCCTTTACAAAGCACTCTTCCAGCAGCCCATAAGCCCGCAAACCCTCTTAGAATATACTGCACACATATAAAAAATTCTTGCACATCATGTAAAATTTTTCAACACCTACAGTTTTTTATGGGTTAATTTATATGCAGCAATCTTTGTCCAGCTCTACAATGCTGTATGCCTCGAGAGTACAAAAAATGCTAAACTAATTAATAAATACACTCCAGACCTGGCACTTGTAGTGTACAATTGTGGGCGGGAGCAGCATTTTTATATTGAGTCACACAGCATCCTTTCATGGTCGTACTACCGTACTATTCCGAGCAAGAGCCCACTAAAAATTGTTAGATAATTGCGTAAAACTGGGGGATGGGTGCTCCTTAGCTCGACAATACGTAAAGGTATGTCCTTTGTGCATTTGCCGAATGTAACAAAATTGAGGGGTGGGCGCTTATTGTGGAATGGGTCGATGTGAGGTATTTTACGCGAGCGTGTTTTTGATGCGATACATTTCTTCAAATGCCGAGCCTCTCCAAATATTATCAAGCTCATCAATGAATGAGTCGCAAGGAAGGCAAAAAGAACGCACCTCATACCGGTAACGCTCCTCCTGTAAAGCTTGACTGAAGTACGAGCACTCGTGGTGCATTTGATTCTGGAAGGATGTCATAAAAACATAATAATAAGACTTTCAAATACATGAACATCACCATCTAATGAGATAAAAAGAGTGTATATACTAGCCAGAAAGGCACCCATCATTTCTAGATCATGAACAAGTTGTCTTTAAAACCTGGAGTTAAGACCTTCAACTACGTGGGGTCGGTCCAGGATTTTGACAATAAAAAGCAATAAAATCACAGAAATCTAGCAAACATTTTTAGGTGACTTTAATGAGCTTGCCAGGTTTAGAAGTAGCTGGAATGTTACTTTTGGCTCAACCCTTCCCAATTAACATGTATACACTATATGTCACCTTCATAAAACAGTGTTATAATTGCTATACTATCGAGACCGGTTATAACGAAGTCGGTTATAACGAAATAGCGGTTACAGCGAAGCGATCACGATTTCCTATTCGCTTTTGCACTTCGTTATAACCGAAGTCGGTTATAACGAAATACCGGCTGTAACGAAGTGATTTCAGAATCCCGTTGACTTCGTTATAACCGGTCTCAACAGTAGTAAGTTACAGCTCCAGAAGGTAGGGCGAGGGAAAGGAAGACTGGGGAGAAAGAAGCAGATGGAACGCTGGAGACGAGGGGGAAACCTCCTCCTCTCTCCAGGCTTCCGTCTGCTTCCTCCTCCCCGTCCTTCCTTTCCCTCGCCTTACCCTCTTGAGTTGCAATGGACTATAGTAGCCGCACGAGCATGTGTTACATGCTGTGTAGTAATTGCAAGCAAGATGCAAAACCAAGGTTTCTCACTAAAAACTCGTGGGTGCAGGAAAAAAAAATAAAACGGGACATGCATGGTTTAAGTACATGTTGTTTTTTGCTTTTGTTTTGTGTATGACCTTCAGAGCTTTTACTGTATCGCGACACAGTGAAATAACAATACTAAAGTTTAGTAGAGCTAAAGCCACCATATAGTCAGGAATCCTCTAAGGTTAAAATTCTTGCTAATATGAAACAAAGTAGGGTATGGTATGCCCTGAAGAGCTAGAAAACACCTGCAAAAAAATTACTGACTTTAGGCCAGTTACTATAGACTGTTCCACTAGGAAGAGCGAAGACAGAAAAAATGCCCTCCCCCTCTCAACCCGCGCATCATCTGCTCCGCCGAGTGGGATGTACCTAACATCCAGCTGGCGTGCAAACTCGGTTTAAAATTGCGTCATTCTGGAAATTTCAAGCGCAGATGCGTGGATTTTGGTATGCAAGCTATCGTGTAATACTATGCTCGATAAAAAGACTAACCGGGTTCAACTGTGCTGTTACCTGCGTGCAAATAAAAAAAAAGGGAAAACTGTGTCAGATTGGCCTGTCTCTCGGGCGAAAAGTAAATCCAGTTGCTGTACCGTTTTTACTATACAAAGTTTGTACTGGTGTAGGCCTTTAGTGACCATGACTGGAAGTCTGAAATAATAAATAAAAACATGCTCTCCTGCCGCAAAACACGCAATAGTTGAGGGTAGTACTGCCGGCCGACTCCACTGCTATTGAAGTAACGAAACAAAGTTACGCTAGTTGATCATCTACCGAAATAAAAGAACAGAGCGCTATAGGCTGATTTTGCAGTAGCCATAAATGTTCTAAGAACGGGAACCACCTCACAACGACAGCCACGAGCGAGAGTTCGATGTTCAATACAAACCGCCGGTGCTGCCCAAAGGTGGACAATGGCAACCTCACGGTTTGTCGTCTGCTAGCAGAGTCGGGTGTGTGCCCTCTCTTTCGTTTTACCCCGCCAAACCCGCTAAATTTCCCGGATGAATGGAGAGGGCGCTGCGGTCAAACAAAATGGCGCCGCAAGAGAGCGCTAGGTGGAATGGTCTATAATCAAAAACTATGCGAGGCAACCTTTAATGTTTGTCGAAATTAGATTTAAGGCTCTCTAAGATCTATGTTTAGAGTGCTTCTGTGACAAAAAATTGTTGTAGCAACAAGACAATTTGGATTAACAGTAGCTGGGATCTCCATTTCAACCGTTTTCCCAGCTGTACACTGCCATACTTGACACCGTCATTTGAAAAGAATGCTGGAAGGGAGAGAAATGAGGGACAAATCAGTTGAAAAGGGATGATTACATGCACATTAGCTCAAGATGCTCTGCTATTCAACGTAAGATGCTATCTACAGACCATACACACACAAACACAAACAAAAAAAAAAAAAAAAAAGAGTTGATGTGAGACAACCAGGAAGAAGAAGGTATATGAAAGTACCGAAGTTTCCAGCTTGCAATGCGATCCAAAAATGAACACCTGCATCGAAAAAGTGCACTTCAGTCTTTGCAATCGAAGCTCTCAGAAAGGACAATGGATTATTCCGGCCCGCGGAGGTGTTTGTCGACAGATAATGCAAAGAAGCGCATCATCCAAAGCCACTATTGTAAGGTTGCCCATTTCTAATAAAGTAAAGAAGAAGTATCTACCTAAGTAGTATGCATTATTATTCTAACCATAAAGAGCAGAAGGTATCGTACAACTATATTCCGGAAAAATGCAGAAAAATATGATCCTACCAAGGTAAACAATATTTGGAATTGCACATTATGAGACAGTACGAGGTCTCAACATTAGGAGAAGCAAACGCTTGGGCACAACCCGACATGACGGCCGCACCGAAAGATATCCCCCACATGGCACCTTCGAAAGCCATCTCTATAAGAAAATGAATGACACAAGTCATCGGAAGGTCACAACGAAGTACTGCCACTTGCGACAGCATTATCAGATGTTGCATTTGTTACGCTGGAATGTCACGACACAAGATCACCGTAGAACGGTGCAGTTCTCTCTTATAAACCATTTTCAATAAAACGAACAGCTCGATTCCCACTGGCAAAAATGAAGGATAACACCAAAAAACTAGAAACTAGAAGAGGGACGCTATTGCCAAATATGCTGATGTTACATACACATAAATCAGTACCACCAATAAACATTGTCGCAAACGGGAGGGACAAAGGAGACATACCGTAATATCCCGCGAGATGCCCCACCCCCGAAAGATAACTTACCCCTACTTTTGGCATGATTTGATATTTGTTAAAAAAAACCCAAAAGATAGCCCACTTCTAATAATTGCAGGGCCCTGGCCAATGGCAAAAATTAAGTTACTTAGCCACGACGGCAGTCGAAGGACAGTCGTTTTGGTTCGTCACCCCTCCCTGCAATCACAAGTTTTGCAGGTCACAGTATCTAAAACTAGCACCTTTCAACTTTTTCTTATCGCAAACCGAAAGTTACCCCCTCCTCATTTTCACCCGATTTTCTTTCGATTTTAGGTGGGCTATCTTTCGGGACGTTATGGTGGACTTGAAAATTGCAGAAAACTAGTTGCTGTCAGCAATATCTCTCGTTTCGCACATCACTGGGGCCTCCACGTACCATTAAAATGTCTCGTGTTTTATGTAATGAAACTGCTTCGAATAAAAAATGAGATGTTTACAACTCCTTGTAATGCCGAATTAGAGTGCAGCTGTTGAGGAAGAGGAGGGGAGTGTATGAAGAGGAGGGTATGCCCCTCCTCCTCCTCTCTCTCCCCCTCCTCCATCCTTTTCCTCCCATTCTCCTCCCCCTCCCTCCCTCACTCCTACCCCGTGACCCTAGTGACCCTCAGGACGTCATTCGTGAAGGCCTCATGAAGGTCGTGACCTTCATAAGTGACTTTCGTGACGTCACTCGTGGCCCTAGTGACTCTCGTGATGTCACATGTGACGTCAGTATGGGAAACGTCCCATAATGCAACGCGTGGTTACAAGTGATGTTATTTGTGACGTCCCTTGTGACCCCCGTGACGTTACTCGTGACGTCACGTGTGATGTCAATATAGGAAACATCCCATAATGCAATGCGCAATAACACCAACGGTAATGCCGCTCAAGCCGGGAACGGGCAGCTAAGACCTGCGCTCTAAAATGAATTGTCTCTTCTCCTCGATCATTAGGCCAATAACATTGCTCGGCCTCGTCTTCTGTCGACATCTTCAGCTCCGACACCGCCCTTCCAAAGCACGCTTGTTTTCTCACACGACTGGCTTGAGAAATTGTCTCGCGTTCTCGTCTTTCACTGACTAGCACGCCGCCTCCGAAGTTTCTATTATTCTTGGCAGCGTCGAGCGAACAAATAAACGCCGATATAAATGATCAAAATGCCAAGGTGACAAGTTGCGCGCCACTCAGTCAATCGCGTGAGCCCCCGAAAACACCCTTCAGAAACTGATGTGACATGACAGTTACGGGGACGCTCCTCCGAGAGCAAGTTTACAACGTCCTCGTCTGTGGTCTCTCGATTCTCGCCCAGTGACGTAATTTGTTGTCACTTCTGAACCAGTTGGTGTAAAGGATGGCTCACACACACTTGCATTTCAGCATGACTGAGCAAATTGTGCTGCCTCGCGACTGCTTAGGACGAGAGAAGACGCCAGCAGGTAGCCCAGGAACTGTGTATAAATAGACTAAAGGTTTTACATTATATGCAAGATCAAATGTGCATGCTGTCCACAAGAAACGGTCGCTCGTGACTAGGGTTCTGTGTTGTACGAATCCGTAGAACTCCAGAAAAAACGTGCCGGTCAAACTTTCGTTGATTCGGATTTATCTGACAAACTCCAAATTTCCAGGTCACAATGTCTAAAAAAGGTAATCTACGAATGGGTTTTGGTACAGGGTCAGTCAGTGATCCCGAGTAGAAGCTATTCCAGTTTCCTTTCAAATCTGCAACCATTGACAAAAGGGGGTATACTGTTTCCTTCCATGTACGTTTCGTTCGGGACAATGGGTCATTGTACTTACGGGCCATGACAAAAGACACCGTTTCGGTTTTCAGTTTGGACCCTACTACTTGAGCGTCTTAGAGGGAGGTTGGGGTTCTGTTCTGTAAGACTGAAAGCTACTAACTCATACGTTTCGTTGCACAACAGAAATCATTTTGGCACTGCATTTTGTGCAGCGGGCGGAGTGGCGGAACAGGATGGGAAAGACACGAGCGTCCAGCAACTACATCCGGGAGTTCACCGATTCTAAGGTACCGACGTCTATCAAAGCGATAGTTTTATAAAAGTTTTATCGTGGGACAGTTAACCAACGGCAAGGGGACCAACACCGAATCCAACTGGAGAAATATCATTTGATATGAGAAATTCTTACAAACTTTTTATGCCCGGATGTTTTTCTTTTTGTTTTGAATATCAAACAATCAGGAACACAACAAAAATTAAACTCGGAATTTCAAAATATTGAAAATCTAGCAAACATGAGCTCCGAAAAAAGTCAGAACGTGGGGCAAAAAATGAACTTGGCGGAAAAATATAAAAACTTTCCAATATTAACAAAAAAATACCAAAAACATGGAATTCTACTTATAACGTTGCCAAAGGTTTTTCAAGCCCGTGGTGAAAGAATGATGCGCAAAACCATGAGAAAATGTAGACAAGTGTTCCAGGGAGACCCGACAGGTGGCGGCAGCGTGTTAGCTCGTCGTAAGCACTCGGTCACGTTCGTACACGAATGCGCGACATAGCCTTGGGACACCGAAAACTCTGGTCAAAGACGCCCTAAGGCACTGTAACGACACTCAGACAGAGGACCAGCGAAACAAAGCCACAGCAGACGCACGTCCCCACCTTGAGAGCCTCGATCTCCTCGGCCAGCCGCTGGCATTCATCCTTCCTCTCGTTCAGCTCCACAAGGAGCGGCTCGATGTCGGCGTCGGAGGCCAGCGCCCCTCCCCCTGCGACGGCCCCCGCCACCACCAGGGAGGGCCCTAGCCCCGAAGAGGATGACGCGGCGCCCAGGAGGAGGGGCTCCGCCGAGGACCCGCCCATCGCGGCACTGCCACCAGCCAATCCTGCGCCGCCTCCGCCGCCCAGGGGCGGGTGTCTGGGGCTGGCGGTGGGGCCGACCCCGCCGGCGCCCGTCGTGCTCCCCTGGTGCGACGCCATCTGGCTCGACTCGGAGGTAAGGCTCGAACTGTCGTCGTCCGACGGGTACTTGTTGCTGCATTCGAGGGGAAGAGGAGAGGTGCAAGAACGACAGAAGTCGTTGGATGGGAGATCGAAATACAGTCTAAGCTCGTTATAATAGACCTTGATTTTGACCAAAATTTTGGCCTGTTGTAAGAGGAGTATGTTGTATGTAGATATGAAGTTGAGTCAATGATACGTAGAGGAAAACCAACCGAACTTCACAAATCGGTATATTATATCCAAATGTCTGTTGTAAGGTCGGTTAAAATGAGCTTAGACTGTATAGGGGTGCTTGGTCCAACTATTTGTCCATGGTGCAGAGTGTTTACTGTTTACCCAACACGAGCCCTGCTCATTTAATTATTTATGTCATTGACCTCGCTAAAGTGCGGAGAGCAGACGAGACTTCCGTTCAATTGGCGCTTCACCAATTGAACACGAGCCTTAGCCGGACAATGGCGCAGCGTTCGGCTACGTCAGCCAAACACTGCTTCAGAAACACAAACAAATCATTCACGATAATTACATTATTGTTGTCCCCATGCATGTAGTTGTCAACTTAGCCGATCCTTCCCAGTACTTCAACGGAAAGAGCTGTCCACAAACACACCGAGCGCACATGTCAAATTTTCCAGTCGGACACGACGCTTCCAGATGCTTTCAAAAGCAATTTTCACACACAACTTACTCGGTCGAAGAGTGGGCGACGGATGCCAGCCCCGAGAGGCCCCCCTTGATGTTGCCAACGACGCCACTGCCGAAAAGAGGCGAAGCAGCGGTGAAAGTCGTGCTTTGCCATGATTCTAAGTGCTCAGCCCACCCCAAACCAAACCGAGCACTAACAATCAAGGCGATATAGGCTAGGCTGGAAAAGCGTCTGTCCCAACATTTACAGGCAATACTTTAGCTGGGTTACTGCACCTCAAAAGCAAGAAGGGTTTCACCATATTTTCCTTAATTAATACATTCATTAAATACCTCGTTTGTTACACCACAAAAGCAGTGACAGCTTCACCGCATTTCTTTACCAGGATTATTAAAGAAAAAATTAATCTTAGTTCTCATGGAGGATCTGTCCAAATCGGCAATCCTTTGCCACTTTCTGCAGTCCAGGGTGACATCGTAAAATTCACTGTTTTTAACCAGAAGGGAAAGTGTTGCACTATTGAAAAAGGGGCAGTGGCATTCAGCAACAAAACAACGCCTGCTTCATTAATGCACATGAAAACCTTGCAAAGGTTCAATAAAACCCCATTGATAACAGTGACCCCATTGATAGCAAATGTCTTGGATCTTGTTCTAACAACTCATCCTGATATTGTTTCCCCGATAATACACCTCGCAGGACTTAGTGATCATTCCATATTGCATTTTGATGTTAAAGCAGCAGTGCCTAAGCCATCAACTCTCACAAAGCAAATTCGTAATTATGCTAAAGCTGACTTCATCAAAATTAATCATGACCTCGAAGCTTTCTTTGACGTGTTTTTAGCAGGTTTCTCGAGCCGGTCAGTAGAAGAAAATTGGCAACTTTACAAGACCAAAGTACACATGCTTATCAATCAGCATATTCCACTCAGAACGGCCTTTGAAAACTCACAGTCACCCTGGTTTACTAGGGCCCTAAAACGCCTCTCCAATAAGAAAAAGCGTTTATTTCGCGCTGCAAAATTCAGCACATGTGAACGTCGCTGGTCGAGCTATCGCACTGCTGCTGAAGTTTATAAAAAAACAATTGAAGACACCAAATTAGATTTTTTCGCACGCAGCTTACCAGCGATGTTGATAAATAACCCTAAACAATTTTGGAACATTATGAACAAAAAATCCCATTCTTCAATCACACTAATGTCTTCAAGTGGTGAAAGTATGCCTAGCGAAGTCTCCGCGAATGTATTTAATCGCGTTTTCATTGATTCTTTTTCAAGTGATAGACGCCTTGATACTCCGCTGCTGGTTAGCACTGATCACCTGCCGATGGATCCGATTCCTCTTGATTATGTTGGAGTGATTTCAATTATAAAAAATCTCAGATTGTCCTCCTCAACAGGAGTGGATGGTATCAATTCAAAATTCCTCAAGAATACTAAATTTTACTCATCCATAATATTAACTATGTTGTTCGAACAGTCAATCAAAGATGCCATTCTTCGTCTCGACTGGAAGATAGGGAAGGTGGTACCTATGCTCAAAGCTGGTAACAAGCATTCTGCTCATAATTACCGCCCAATCTTAATAACCAGCATACCTTGCAAACTACTTGAGCATGTCATCTTCTCCCACATCGTCAACTTTTTAGAGTCTAACAATTTTTTAAGCCCTTCCCAGCATGGATTTAGAAAGACATTTTCATGTGAAACTCAGCTTCTCTATTTCACCCATGACCTCCATTGCATTTTAGATTGAGGATCCCAGGCAGACTGCATTTTCCTAGACTTTGCAAAAGCGTTCGATAAAGTGTCTCATAAACTTCTTACTCTGAAACTTTCCAAGCTTAATTTAGATCCTAACATACTTGCATGGATTCAATCTTTTCTGTCTGATCGCTCGCAATTTGTTACTGTCAATAATAGCAACTCATCTCTTGTATCTGTTACTTCCGGGGTTCCTCAGGGATCTGTTCCAGGGCCATTGCTATTTTTAATTTATATTAACGATCTCCCGATTAACATCTCCTCGTCTATGTGTCTGTTTGCTGACGACTGTGTCCTTTATCGTGAAATAATAGATAATCATGACACCAGTGTTCTACAGTCCGACATTAACACTATCATCGAGTGGTGTGATTTGTGGTCAATGAGCCTTAACGCTAACAAATGTAAGTCTATGCGTGTATCTCGACAATCTTCTGACAATCCTAACTATTTTCTTCATCATGTTTATATGGAGCCGGTGTTGTCTTATAAATACCTAGGCGTGCACATAACATCTGACTTTTCATGGAAGAATCATATTCAGTATGTTTCCTCTAACGCTAACCGCATGTTAGGTTATGTTAAACGAAATTTTTCATTAGCTCCAGTTGCACTAAAGTTGACCCTTTATAAAACATTAATTCGTCCAAGGTTGGAATATGCAGCCTCTGTCTGGGATCCTGGACAAGTCACCCTCATCACTGCATTGGAAGCGATTCAAAACAGATCAGCTCGCTTCATCCTTTCGAACTACCACAACACTGCTAGCGTGACTGCCATGAAAGCTACTCTATCATTGCCGCCTTTAGCCTTGCGTCGCAGCATTTCTCGCCTTTCTTTATTCCATAAGATTTATTTTCACAATTCTATCCTGCGCGACAAATTAATATCCCGTCCTTTTTACGTTTCTTCTCGCAACGATCACAATCACAAGGTTGGTATTCCAATTTCTAACACAACAACATTTCATTCATCGTTCGTCCCTCGTACATCACGAGAATGGAACCACCTTTCCGGGACAATTGCCACCATCACGGACTCTGACCTTTTCAAAACTGCAATTACTAATCTTTTATTTGTTGACTGTGTTTAACTTATTTCTAGGCTTGTTTTCCTTTTCTGTATTTTTCTTTGCTCACCCCCTCTGTAATGCCTCTGGCCTTGAGGGAAAAATAAATAAATAAATTAAATAAATAAAAACCTACCAGATGAGACTTATGAGCTGGGCGTGATAATTAGCTGCAATTAAAGCACTTTTAATGGTCTTTGTAACCACAGAAACAAACCCTCATCAAATAAACCGCTAGGTAGAGATAAAGAGCACCTAAATCAAGGTAGAGCTGGTTGGTGGGCATTCTATGTCTTGAACAAACATAAAATGGGCACTTTGATACATTTTTCTTGGGCTCAAAATGTTAGATGTTAACTGTGCACGCAAAATGGCTTTGTTCACTAATGACCAATACCTGCGACAGAAATATTGTGACAATAACTGGCAGCTCAGTATGGACACAATTTGAGAAAGAGAGCCTCATAATTTGGTTATTTTTGCACAAAATTTGAGATAGCAAAGTGTCCTCCCACAGTCTTGTACGCATCATAAGCTTTTGTGTGCCTTCTTGCTCTTTAGGTTAAAGTCAATAGGATTGTCCGACATTGGTAAATACTCCAAGCTCTCCCTTTTTACCCAAATGAAAGACTTATTTTATACTTTCTTATAATGTGCAACTGAAATTTTATTCCACTGAATAATTTAAAAAAAAAAAAAATCTTTGTGATGTCAGAACTGTCATAAAATGATACTATGTGGATTTCTATTTTGTTCTATATTTTTATGAACATAAAGTGTTAGAATGATGGATGTGCCTTTTCTTGTTTGTGTTGTAATGATATGTACCAACGGAAAGGCAACTAGCTGTTGATCATCACTAAAGAAAGAAAGAAACAAAGTTACAAACAAGCAAACAAAGAGTTATCAAAACAAGAGGAGGAAGTAGATCATAACGCTCGTTGCGATCAACGCTGACTAGGTGGCGCAAGCCGCCGCCCGATTTCAATACCTGATTCCCTGGCCTACGTTCTGGAGGACGTCCCTGGGCTGCCAGGAGGATGAGGCCCCGTGGGTCTCGAGGTCGCGCTTGCGCTTAATGTAGTTCTCCAGCTTCTTCTGGAGCTGGGCGATGGTCTGGGCCGACTTCTGGTTCTTCTTCTCAAAGACGTTCTTGATGCGCTGCATCTGCTGCCGGTCGGCATTGGCGGCCAGCTTGAGGTATTCGTTCACATTGTCTGTGGAGAGGAAATGAGGCGCACAACTAAGCCACTGCTGATTCACTACGCTAAGCACACTAATACTGCTAATGGTCTATGATTGCTTTTTTTACATCGTTGATCTTGCTGTTCTTTGGCAGATGTTATTTTGTGAGAATTTTTAATTTTCTGGCAACCCATTTCTTGTGCATTGACCTATAGGTAGGGTTCCATGTTTTCAGGTAAATCCGATGAAATCAGAAAAATCACTCCCCGGTAAATTTTCTGTCAATTCAGATTTATCCGAAAAACTCAGAATTTCAAGGTTCCTTCAGAACAAGGGTCACGGTACCCGGACTTTATTTATTTCGCTTTGTTTCTGAACTTCTAAAAATTGAGAAGAGAGTAAAATGAAGTCTAAATTTCAGAGAATTGAAAATCTAACAGATACACTCCGATAAACCCCAAATTTTCTGTGAAAAAGAAATTCTGAAAAACACCCTTCGAATTTCAGAAGAAATAAACTCGGAAACTAAAAATAAATACATATGGATTTATCCTCCCAGTAGGCATATTTACCTCACTTAAAACAAGTTTCAAAATATCTAAAATAAATCTTTTTTTTTTTTTGCTTATTTTAATGTTTTTAGGGTCACTCGATTACATGGAGAGTAGGAGTAATAACAGAGTGTTGTAACAAAATGGAGGAGCAAAAATGCTCTTAAAGGGTGAAAGCGGGTCAAAAAAAGAAAGGCAGTAAAGAGCAGCCTTTAAAATACGATCAGTGGCTACGGTGGCAGTGGAACCAAATAGGCAGTTTTAGTCCAAAAAATTACAGGAAGACACTCAAGGCTGCTTACATGTAGGAAGGTGAAAGCGTTATAGTCCAGCGGCAAAAATGCTTTCGAGTAATGTTTTACACATATTAAAGTTTAGAACGACGTATAGGACGATGTCCTAGAGGTCGACGCCAAGTATGGCATCTGAGATGACCTCTAGGGTGACGTCGAAAATGACCTCTCGGACGTCTAGGACGACCTTAAAGACGACGTCAAGAAGGACGTCTGGGACAACTTCTAGGACGACGTCGAGAACAGCGCCTAGAGGACGATATCGAGAACACCACCTAGGACGACCTCAAGGACAATGCCGAGGACAGCGTCGTCCTTGAGCATACGATTAAGCAGCATGTGCTTGATGACATATTTTTACGGCCATCTTTCGGGCACAACGACGCTGCTTTTTCGCACAATGAAATGCTTTGGGAACAATTTAATGGTATGAGGTTCATCTAAGTCGATTAAAATCTTGCAAGAAAAGGACAACATCAGAAGACACAGAATTCTCTTTTCATCACCCTGAGCCTGCCACATACACCCCGAGGCAAATGACTTCATGACATCGACAGGACATCTCACGTCTCAAGAACACCACCAATCCGGCCAATAGCTCTACGACTCCAGCTTCTTCCGGTTGTTAGATGGCATGAGGCACTCTAGTCACAACTGGAAGGTCAAGTTCTGCTAGGACAATACAGGAAACAAACGAACCTGCAAAAAGGTTGGCAAAGCATGCCAGTCGCAACTAAGGTCAGCTGATCCTGGAAAAGTTGTGCCATTGCTTTCCCTGCCTGCTAGTCAGACACAAGCAGATACTAACACACCAGAAGGCCCAACCTCGCAGGGTGACTGGCTGATCGGTCTCAGTTGCCATGGCAATCACTGTTTTAATCCATTCAAATCTTCAAAAGGGACATTCTGAACCAATGGCACCAGAATTGCTATGGAGCATCAATGTACTGAGAGCATTCCTCGCCAATATAAATACCTCTGGCACTGTGCATGCTATCAACTTATCAATTACGCTTATATCCAAAAGATTTCTTACAATGGTATCGTTTCTCTTGCACACTTCAAGACAGAAAAATTCTTTTTCAATGACGCCAAGAACCGACGCCGCAGGCAGTGGTGGTGCAAAGATGTGCGCTTGTTTCGCCGGTGTGTGGATAACAAAACCTCGGTATTTCAGAAACGTCTTTGTAAAGCAACCTGTCACCGGGAATAAGGATTGGCTCACCAAGAATGGGGACGTCCAAGGAGATACTGCTTATTCCATGAACCAAATTGGCGACCGTACGGGGAGTTTGGCACTAGTTTTACAGGATCCGGTGATGTTAGTCACAACGAGAAACCAAAGAACCAATGGATAAAGAGCTCGCAGAGAGAAACCTCCTCCCCGTGGCCTCACCGTCCCGTGTCGTTTGCTCAGCCTTGATGAGCTCCCGGGTGCGGGCTATCTTCTGGCTGACGTGCTCGATGGCCGCCCTCGTCTTCTGCAGGTCCGGCGTGTGAGCCAGTAGGTGGTCCGTCTCGTCAGACGGAGCCACGCTGGTGCCATCGTTGTTGCCGTTGGCCAGTAAGGAGCTGCTCCCGCCCAGCACTCCCGAAGCAGACACCGTGCCCCCAGGGGTGATGGCGGCCATGGGTGCCTCCTGAGGAACACCGGAGGCCGTAGGGCCAAGTCCTTTACTGTTGCCTGGAAACCGAGGCCTATGCACACGGTCCTTAGATAGACTACTTACTGGTTTGGAAACTTTGGCAGTTTCTGCCCCAGTAAAATTTGATGCTACAAGTGGCACTGATCCATTTAGGAGTAAAACAATTTTTGCACAACTTAGAAGTTGATCCTTTTTCGAGGGAAGATGTAGCACCCTTCACGTGGCATTTCATTCATTCTAAAATAATTTGACCACTATGTGTCAAGTATGAATGGTATTTCCAATCGTCTATTTTTTCGACGTGATTGCGGGGTTTTATAAAAGAGCAGACGCATTTAACGAATTTCTTCACAATGGCTCCTTTGAACTCACGCCCATCAACCTTTCTGAGCAATCTGATTGGTTAATTCCTAACACATCATCAGTGCACCTCCGGTGCTTCAATTTGTCCCTAGGGAAAACTTACCCATACTGCAACAAAAAGATTCCAGACCAGAAAATCTAAGGACCGTGCTAAGGGTTTCCAGACAACATCTGCAATCCTGTAGACCTGGGTCTTTCACTGTCGTCTGCCACGTCCAAGTGATAGCATGGCAGACTCTTGTCAGACAAGAGTGAAAGAGGCTGCCGAGTGCAAGAGCAAAATTCTGCCAAACACATGAAAATAAGAGAAGAAAGTGCTGCAGCCTAGGGAAAAGGCTGGTGCACCAAGAGCCAAAACCAGAGGACAAAATGGAAGTGATGCTGGACACAGGGAGCCAGATGACAGACAACAATAATTGTGTATGTCTTTATGACACACAATCAGCTGCTCAGGCTGTTCAAACTTGTTTTCTTCGTGTAAACAGTAGAAGCAAGTTAAATCTTTTGGCAAAACGAAAAGCACAGTTAAGAGCAGCTCCAGAGGTATGACTTCTTTTCAACCAATCCTGGTTGCACTCTTCACATGAACAAAGCCATTACATGGAGGCATCTTCCTTACCAGACGTTGATAGTCTTTCTTTACTGCTTTGCTGCATCGCAGAAAAATGAAAAGTGCACTTGGGGAAAAGTTAATATGACTACGGTCTTTCCCAGGTTAGCTGTTATTAATTCCGAGAGTAAGTACCACAGGTCACTGATCCTTTACTCAAACTTAAACATTCTCCTAGCGTGCACAAAGTATGTGAAGACTTGAAGACTGAAACAGTAAAGCTCATCATAGAAGGCTTTTGATTTGTTTCACTGATAGATAGCCTATGCCATTGATTCATCGCTAAATCTTCCTTCCTAATGCTGATATGATAAAATGGCAACAAAATTTAATGGGCATTAAGTCTGTTTTTCCTGTCTATCAAAAGAGCATCAGATAATCAATCAGATGTCATTCATGTTATGAGAGTGCAAATTCCCATTGTCGCTTCCCTCATGCATTTGCTTATAGAAATATAACAGCCTGAAATTAAGTGTTTTGTGTACAAGTTAAAAGAACCTTCGCTCTGAAAATCTGAGATACTGCTCATTATAATCCAAGAGCTGGCTTTTGTTTAAGCAACTGAAGGCGACACAAGCAAGCAACGAGGCACTAGAAAACAGGGAAATCATACTACACATCGAGGGAAGTTAAGGGTCACAGCAAACAAGGACGTTAAGAACAAAATAAACGAGGCAGCAGAGGAACTGTCGTTATTTTTCCACTTCAACACACTTTCTCCCTACCATCTCTCCGATGCCGTGAGTGATTCGGGGAAGAAGACTTCACTGCCTGCTGAATGCTCAACACCCTTGACGGTAGCAGTTAGAGCTGCCCAACCGCTAGAAGAAAGAATGCTGAGTTGGTCGTTGCGCCATACCGCACAGGTGTCACATGCACCAATAATGAAAATGACGTTACAGTGACATTTGGCAATGCTTATCACACAAAACATATTTGCTTCCTGTGTCATGGTCAGCAAGAAATTTTACATAAGAATACAAAAAGTGGGGCGGTGGTAGAAAGGTGCCGTCTACCATATCTGAAGATAAAGTGTTTTTCTGTATTATGAATTGTTTTTTTATGGTGCAAACTCAACATACGTGAAATTACAATCGTGTGGCCTTTTCCTCTGTTGAAATATGACAAAGCATAGCGACATTGTGTCACAATATTTGGTTAAGTTTTCGTTTAGAAAAATGTCCATGCATGATCATAATTTTAGGTCTTCTGGGGTGCTTAGGGCACAGAGGTTGAGTTTGCACCATAAAAATATGATATCAAAATCCACTTTTGTACCTCTTTATATTCCAGCCAGCTAAAAACAAACAAAATCTAGAAAATTTACTAGATATGACATATATGCCTATAAACCCAAGATGATCTGGATTTGTCTCTCAGCAGTTAAAACTGATTTCTAGGGTTGAAACTATGCTCTGATGACAATTTCATAACCTATGGCAAAAATATGTAAAATACAAGATGTCCTATGCAGCTATTGTGAGGTAAGCTAGAACTTGACAGTTTCAATCAAGTAAGAAGCATAAAAATGAAATGATGGCCAGAAAACCTTACGTAGAGCAGATACACTAAGGCTTCGAACCTATATTAATTAAATGGCCAGTAAAATTTGGTTTTGCAACTTACTGCACTGTGATTTACTACCGAGAAAAAAAGAAGAACCTGTTTCGGGCAATCCATGGCGGAATTTGCAGATGGTGCCATAATGGTATTCGCCTACTCGTAAGTGCTGCCAACAGATGGCATAACGTGAAGTATGAGAGGATGCAGCGCCTTGTTCGTTCATCTTCATACAAGAAATGAAGGGATCTGGGGGATTTAAACACCTCTTTTCATATTTAGCTTAATAATAAAAAAAATATGGCACTTTGAAAATTGTACATCACAAAGACATGCACCGCGATGAGCAAGCGTGGTCAAAACTTTTGGAAGATTGTCTGCTAAGCTCAATGCTGCAGAGTCCTCGACGCTTACAACATCTTCTGACATTGTTTCCCTTTTGAACGAGGTAAGTTCATCCCTTGTTATTTTCACTCCAAGCTCCCATCTCCTGTAGTACCTCTGTAGTAAATCGCAGCATCATACTTCGAGGAACTGATGTTGTGCGGACCAACTGAAGGAGCGTACATGCTGTACAGTTCTGCCATACACTGATAATAACAGACAATATCTATGTTGAAACATGACACCTTAACATGAAGCAAGGGACATCGAACAATACAGCGTCCACGGCAAAAGAAAACATTTCTGATCCCTGGTTGTATCAGCACTGCGGCAAACCCAAAGCAGATGGGGTTGCAGAAATACAACAGGAGCATCAGAAACAGAACGAAAGCTCACCGCATTGCCGCTGTCTGGGTCACCAAACGTGTCCTCGCCATCAAGAGATCCGCCGGAGGAATTGTGGACTCGTAGAGAAGGGGTCGTGCTTCCATGGGCTTGCAGGGACGGGAGAGAGAGCGCGGACGTGGCACTTGCCTCGGCAGACGACGGCGTTAGGGCTCGGTTGGACAGGTGTGGGCTCTTTTTGCGCTTCATGGCAGGACCGTTGTGCCTAGGGTGGGCGATGAGGAGTGGCTGAATAACTAAGGTACTTTTTTAGTTGTTTACGCCTCGTCTCACTCTGTGAAATATGCAGTGAATGCAACAGGCATGACCTCGTAAAAGCACTTCCACTGTACGAGCATGTGAATTACAGAAGCATCTATTGAAACTGTATGCTTGTGCCTTTGATGGCTGCTTGCATGAAAGGGAGTGTAGAGGCAGCCCCTCGGTACTGTCACAATCACAAAATGTGTGCCAAATTGACAGTTTCAATTAATGCTTCATTATAATTCCTTTTTTTTTTTTTTTCCTTTGAAGAGGTGGGGGGGGGGGAGTTGATTCTGAAAGCACCCTCTGCCTACAACACAGCATAAATTTATTGCAGCCCACCTTGCACTGTGTATATGCGATAAGAGGTCAGTTCGTTTATAATTTCTAAAGGCGTAATGCTATTTTATCTGTCCACATAGTCCCCAGGTATAAAATGCAATAATACCGTATCTGTGATGTAACAGGGCCTCCAGCATCACCCACGCATGCCCGTACAAGATTAGCATGAAAATCAACTTCTTGCATTACCAGCCAAATTATAATGCAATTAAATGCAAAGGGGCAAGCGAGCTGGACAATAATGATGAAAATAATCCCTGGAGAAGGGGAACAAGAGGGACAAGGGACAAACATAAATCTCCAAACACAGCTAGGTGACTGGTGAGCGACCGAAAAAATCCGCCTGGTCCGGGTATCGAACCCCTTACAAGTGGAGCGCTCTACCAACTGAGCTAACCAGGGGTTAGATGTCAGTAGAGCAAACGGGTTTTATCAGCTGCCACCAGTCTAACACCAACAAGGGTGAAGCTTGCAATTTAATGTTATAATTATAATGCAATTAAATGCAAAGGGGCAAGCGAGCTGGACAATAATGATGAAAATAATCCCTGGAGAAGGGGAACAAGAGGGACAAGGGACAAACATAAATCTCCAAACACAGCTAGGTGACTGGTGAGTGACCGAAAATACTGTTTCTAGCCAATACGGCTAAAAACAGTATTCCCAGTTTGAATAATAAAAGATTAAAAAAAAAAAAAAAAAAGATGGACACGCTGGTGTAGTAGCTCCATAACAAACATGAGAAAAAAAAAATATTAAAAAAGGCAACAGCACATAGCTTTCTAATATACTGCGCTAAAATGCTTTGTGGCATCGGCCTTTTTTTTTTTTTCTGGTATTAGGTTTTTTTTATGGACTTTCGGTTTCGTTCATGATCCTAAAGGTTGTTCCCAATTTCCATCTCGAATATATTGTTATGCATACCTGTATGTATCATAAGAGCTCTGACTGCTCAGCTACATATTGTCTACAAGAAACAGCCTAGGTACACCTGGAATAGATGTAGCCTGTCCTGCATGTCCCTTTTAAACCTTGTTTTCTTAAGCATACATAAGCAGTTTGAACAGCAGCAATAATGATGGTCTTTTAAGAGTCTTTTAGGCACCATACAAGTGCAAAGAGGAAACGGGCTCCTTCCGTAGATATGATCACAACATTATTCAAACATTGCAATCACTAAAACGTGTGGATCAGACTCAGGTAGGTGCAAGGGCCACTCAATAATTCACTCATGATGACATAACCTGAGACATGAAGGGAAAAGAATATAAACATTAGAGGAAATAGACAACACTATCTATTAACCTCAGATTTTCTCTCTCTCAAGTTATGTCAACTTTTCACTAGTTTGCCCACAAGCTCACCCTTCTCTTGATTTACTCACACCTTAGTAATTAAAAACAATTCTTGGGTAGAATAATGTTTCCATTTATTTTTATTTAAATAACTTTTTAACTGAACAGTTCCATTCCACCTTAACTTTGAGGGGTGAATCCCTGGAAAAATAAAAGTACACTTCACATTGTTCATGCTAATCAGTAACTATAATGTTCAGATCTTCGTCAAAAGGAAAATCTTTTTCTAACAAAATTTTACAATTTTCTTCGCAGAACATGGATGCTAAAAGTCGGACCAAGACCCACTTCTGTTCAAGGTTACGAGAATTATTTTAAAAGAGGGGGGGGGGGGGGGGGGGGCTTATGGGTTATGCAGAACTCAAGACAATACTTTACAGTTAAAGGGGCCCTGCAATCATATTTAGGCGTCTACCTTTTTTGCGGTTTCCACGTCTCTTGGGGTTCGGGCAAGCCAGCGGGCACGGAGAGAGTAACTAAATATCACTGTATCATATTTCAACCGGACGACGCGGAAACCCCCTCCACCGACGGGGCGACCCGCGGTACCGAAAGCACGCGAAATGTGACGTTTTTGGTCCTGGGCTTACTACTGGTCAGAGCCGCTAAAAGCTTCTTTTTAGTCGAAATACAAAATATAAGTGGCGGAACCGTTTAAATTATATATAAAAATAGTTTTTGTTCAGTATTTTAGATCAGAAAAGAAACAAATGCCGTTTATAAAGTACGGAAACAAGAAATGATGCGTCGATATTCCCACCACCAAGCAGTGGAAAAGGCGGCGGATACTAGAAAGGAGTAGTGGGATCAGGCGCCGACACGGAAAGGTCCCGGATGTATGCGGCGGCACTGCGGTCGTTTACGGACTGGAGGATCCGACCGGCTCCGAGCGTTCCGAAGACCTTCAGCGAGCAGCTTTGTCTTGCGGTTTGGCCGTTTCGCGATATGGCAGCGCGAAGTGGCTCCCATTCTGAACTGATCTTTACCCCGTGTTTGCTGTCGTTTGTGGCCAACGAAGTGTTGTGTCGAATTAGTATTAAATCGCGCAGCAAATGCAATGAGAGCCGCTCCGGCTGCCCGCTGTATACCAGTGTTGCGGAATGGGCACCCCCATTCCATTCCAATTCCATTCCGGGGAATTGGAGTTTTCGATAATTCAATTCCTTTCAATTCCTTTCAATTCCTAGGAATGGAGACACTGGGCCCATTCCCACTCCTGGAATGGCTGAATCGTTCCATTCCATTCCTTTAATTCCTAAACGTAAAAATTGGCACTTGACAACTACATTGTGTTGCCGGCATAAGCAGCATAAAGCTGACATTATCAAATACAGAGACAATGGCCAAAAAAAAAAAAAAAGCCATATTCCTAAAAAAAAACACTGATTTTACTAAGCGGACCGCTGGTGGCACAAAGTGTTTACTTACAATGTACTGCAAACATTGAGAAAGCCCCTTGATATGTTCATGCTTGTTTAAGACATCGGTCTCGCGACCACGTGGCTCGCAACTAACAGCAAAACTTAAATCCACTCATTTTCTTTTCTTAACTCTTTTTGCATTTGACTTTTAGGACATACGCGGCCAGCGTGTTTGTTTGATAAGACCATAAAAATAGCCAGTTAGTGCGTGGAGCAGGAATCAGCTATATTACTGTATTCTTCAAATACAGCAACAGGGCTAGTACACTGCTGGAAGCGACTCCATGCACAGCGGCAAGAACACATCCTCTGACGAAATGCAACCTCTGCGGCGCAGCACGAGGGACTGTATAGATATAGACCATGTCACGAAACCTGTTTTAAAACGCATAAGTTCACGCTTGCTTTACAAATCTCGATAATTCTTATCATATTCAATTCAATTTTTGGCTGGTTCGCCTGCACTTTTCCACCCTTCGCATAGTCATTCTCTTGTTTCCTCTTCAGATGGCAAATAAAGTTCGATGATATACGCCGACTGCACCATGTATAGTTTCATTGCATAACTTTCAGCGTGCAGATTGTTTATTTTCTTCGCGACTCGAAAAATGTCTTCCACGATGCCATGACTCGATCTGTATATATCTTGTCTTCTCGTACGAATTGTGATGTTCCTCTTTGCGCTGATCGAGTGTCCGTTTCAGGCAGAAGACTGTACCAACCGATTCATTCTTCTACCTTGGTGTCGGTTGTTCGCGTGGTGGCGACGGATCGGGCAGTCAGCGTTGACAAAGCTCTTCACATCAAGATACAATTAACGGGGTAATACCGCACCGTTCGAATTGACATTCCCCGTGTTTCGTGAACAACACCGTCCAACTGACTTCTCACCGCCTAAACAGGGTCCAGGCCAAGGACCACGAATGCAGACCGGACAGCCGAGATGCGCGGAAGCCAAAACCTTAGTGGCAGCTAGCACCCAGCTCTCCTTCTCAGTTGCCCTCACAGCAACGATCGCGCCTCATCTGGCGCGGGACGGTCTTTCTGCAGGTCTAGTCAGTTCAATCACGCGACAAGAGCGGTGACGACAATCTACTTCACCTTACGATGGACCTCAACAGACAGCACGAGAGTCATCGAAACCAATCCAGTGCCTTCTGAGTGTCGCGTGACCCTGCAGTCCCGCTCACGGTGCTGGATTGCCTAGGGTGACTCGTAGCGTCCGCAGCAGTCCATCGCAAGGTGACACGAAGTATGCAGAGACTAAAGTCAAAGGAAATGAGCGGGAATCCGCTAGCTTGTTTGGAACCCCAACCCACTAAAGCATATAACACAAAAAACAAGCATCGGAACAAGGACCAAGTAAAAGGGGGACTTACACTACAAATGCAGTGTAAAAAAAAACAAGCCTCGGAGCAAAGCGCAAGAGGCGAAGAGGGAAGTGCATCTCGCTTTGTTTTAATGCCGAAGCAAACCCACATTTCGCACTTCAAAGGAGTGCGCACAAATGAACGTGGAAGGCAGCAGGGTTGGCTGCCTGCTAAACTACTCTCCTCGAGCTATAAGAAAACCAGTGTGTCGAACCGAAAAAAACACGGGTTCGGTTACGGTTCAGGTTCAGGTAAATTTATTTTGTTCCGGTTCGATTAATTCGATCCGCGAACCGGTTCGCGAACCGGTTCGGGGCGCTGAACCGGTTCGCGAACCGGTTAGGAAATTATAAATGACAAATTGTAACATCGAAATAAATTACAAATAAAATGTCTGAAATCAGCACATACGAAACGGGATACATCGTAGTGTAAGGCTCAGGGATTTCTACCAGGAATGGTTTCTTTATGTGCACTCAAAGGTTACCTCACCGACGTTTACGCATTCGGACTTCATCTAATTGGGTCCGACGCAGTAGCTGTAAAATCTGCGACCTCCTTACAAACCCACTTACAAGTAGAACTCGCTAACTATCCCACCACCTCGGCGTGTAAGCAATTGAAGGAACAGTGGGGAGAAAATACAGCTTTCTTTATTTGAACTAGCCTTCGGTAACTCAAATTAGACCCTGAAAGAAGTTTTCATTAAACAAAATACGGAATATGAAAAACACTTCACCGAACGCAATGCCAGAAGGACGTAATAGGATAAATATTAAAATAGAAGAGTTCGCTGTCTCACAAATATGTTAGCTTCTAAGTGCCTATACGAAACCGGATGCATTATTATCAAACTCCACAGCCTTTTCTTTTCTCATTCCGATGGAAGCAAGCTTCAAGAACTCGCGCGTTCTAGAAACGTGTTATGAAATGAGCACACAGCAGCATTTAGGATTTACGAGATTGTAGGAAAATGAAATCCCGTGACGCGATTTTTTATTTTTTATTTTTTTTTTTGCACAGCCTTCCAATTTTCTTTCTTCCGTGCAAGCCGCGACCAGCGCAATACTGGTTCCTATGTCAAGATTCATGGATGCAGCGTTTGTCAAGCTTCATGGATGCAGCGTTTACAATCCTAAGACTGAGTGGAGAAGAAAAATATGTAAGCGAGGTGTGTGTCAGTTGACGGCACTTAAAAAACAAATGGCATTGATAGCACATTCATTGTCAACAGCGCGTGGCCGAACCGTTTTGACATGAGCTGGTAACCGTTATTTTTTTTCCGGCTCAGTTCCGGTTCGGGTTCATCGCGATAACAATATAACGGTTCGGGTTCAGGTTCAGTTCCGGAAAAAATACCGGTTTGGTTCCGGTTTTTGGTTCGGTTCGGTTCTGGTTCGACACCCTGAAGAAAACAATACCTGATCATCTTTCGGCGGCGCCCGAGTGAACGAGTTATCAGAGCTCTGCGAGTTATGAGTCGCTTCCGCTCCCAGATCTTACTCTGTGCGCGCGCGTGCATTCTACAAACCGTCCCAACAACAACAAAAAAAACGTGACAAGAAGTACAATGTGGAGTTGTGCATGGCGGTTTCTTTCTTTGCCACCCCCTTTTCTTTTGCTTGATGCTTGGTTTCTTGTTTTGCTCTCGTGTAACACCATCGAAGCCCGATGCCTGCGCGTCCGTGAAAGACGCCACGTTACCCCCTTTCCCCCTTTGCTCTTTGATTTGACGCGTGTTTTTTATATTGCTTTTTTTTTTTCTTTTTTCGTATAAGTCTCCCGCTCATTTTATTTCTAAATAACTGACTTGCTGACTGGCTCGGTTTAGCTGACTGTAAACACACAGAAAAAATAATAATAATAAAAAAAAGAAGAACCGTGCCCCATTTCATTCCCATTCCATTCCGGGCAAAAGGCACCTAATTCCATTCCCATTCCGTTCCCCTCAACGTTTGGCCATTCCATTCCCATTCCATTCCGGGGTCGTGAAAATGCGGAATGATTCCGGAATCATTCCAACTCCGGTGTGGCAACTCCGCAACACTGCTTTATACAACCTATCCAGAACATGCTTTTCTGGCGCCCTCTCGCGCCGTCGACACGAAGTGCGGCAGCCGTGAGCGTTCGCTGTGCTCACTATCCCTCCTCTAGTTCACGGCCATTCAAGCAACCAAGAACGTCATAAAGGGAGGTTATTTTTTGCTTGTTTTTGTAATTTTAATTTGCCTCTAACTTAAAATAAAGCGAAATTCGAGAAAAGAAAAGTTTCATTAAGTTACTACGGTCAGTGCGCTCAGGTTCGGTGCAAATTAAAAGCCAGTAAAAAAGTGCTTGCAGGGCCCCTTTAACCTAGGAGAAGAGTTTATTCCCCAAAAATTTGGGATTAAAATTAATTTTATTTCTAAAAATTGTAAGCCCCCAGAATCAATAAAGAAAGGGCATGTTGATGCCAAAGCTGATTGTTTTAAAATAAACTTGAATCTCATTTTTTTACTTTTAGAACTAGCCTTTTGATACAGATAACTATGATTGATAAAGGCCCCTTCACCCTCTTGCAACCGAGTACGACCGAGAGAGTTTGAGACTTGTTAAAACCTCTTAAAATTTCTTAGGACGAGGGAACACACTGGCACTCTGGCACCATCTATGCGGTGACCCTGGAACTGCATTTCACAAGAGCGAAGGTTTTGTGGTATTTCCGAGGTCAAATATGCGTAATACCTATAAGAAAGGCTCGTTTATAACGTTGACAAAAGTTGTTCAAGCCAAGAAAGAAAGGATAATGCTCGAGAGAAATAGAAAATATGCCAGACCGCCAAGTTTACACTGCTACCCAATAGATGGCGCCAGTGTATCCTCTCGTAAGAGGTTTTAAGGAACCCAGGGGTGCTATGTTGCGCTTTTTGGACTCCCAGGAGACTAGGGAGAAGGAAGTGACGTCAACGACACAGCAAACGCAGATTGGGTGTTGATTTCATTTTCTTCTGTCAACATCCAATATGCGCTTGCTGTGTCGTTGACGTCACTTCCTTCTCCCTAGTCTCCTGGGAGTCCAAAAAGCGCAACATAGCACCCCAGTTTTAAGAGGTCGCAAGAGTGAACAGGCCTTAAGTAGTCTTCTGTCACCTGTTCCCCACTTATATTTGTGATACCAAATGCAAACACAACTGCCTGTTACACATAGCACTACAATCTATAGTAGGTCTATATCGTCTAATGGCATGACCTTCAGTCATAGGTAAATCACGACTTGCGTGAAATGAACCCTTTAAAGCTAGCTACATTTATGTCAGCTGAACAATAAGGGTCTCTACTATGTTTGCCAACTGAGTTTGAACAATAAACTATATTAAACAATAAGTGCCCCAGTCATAAACTGTTGATTCCTCTGAAAAACTAATCCTTTTGTGCATATTCAGTACTGCTTGTCATTGAGTTTCATGATGACAAAAGGAATAACTGACACGACCTCGCTTTCCACATCAAGGGTGGCAACTGAGTGATTTTGTCATATCTCAAAAAGAAAACAATGACAGATGGGCAAAGAAAACATTTTGTCTATCGTATTCACCTTTTCTTTTCTTCTTTTAACTCAGTTCTAGTATAGAAATCTTTCACACTACAGTTACCAGCTCTGTTTCCAGCACCAGACATATTATACAACTTGCTTTAAAATCTGCCAAATATTCCCCAATACCTGTGGCGTAAGCTGGTGCCTTTTAATCCCTGTGTATTGCGATTGCGAGTATCCATTCGCAGCTGCACCGACAGACTAGCTTCAAAATACTCTTTGCGGCCGAGAGAACAAGAAACACTGACACAATCACGTTTGGAGGCGGTACGAAAAAACGACATCACGACCACTGCTTCAACGATTCCGCGAACGCAGCTGGAGCCCCAGAAATTTCAGAAGACGAAGCATCAAGTTCATGGGGAATCCTCTTTCTCTCTCACCCTTTTACACGGTTTACATCGGCACATTTTTGGAAACGAACAACGTGATGGGTGTGTTTCTGGGTGCATCGCAGACACCCATAGTAAACACACGCCGAAGGAAAAAACAAAGTAAAACGGCAGAAACGGTGCACTACGCGGTTTTTGCCCGGCTCCAGTGACGTATCTCTTTAACACGCTTATCCAGAAGAGAAAAAATAGCAAGAATTCGGTATGACTCACAACGAAAGATGCGTGTGCCAGAGATATCCGAGGTACAAGGGTATTCGAAAAAAATAAAAATAAAATCCTCATAGCTCCGAGCGGAACCTCCGCCCGGCAGCGGTACTTGAGCGCAGCTCGGTGAGATTTTTTAGGCTAGTGGCATCCACGCTCGACGGGGAGGAAGTTTACAGAAGAAACGAGCTCTTACCTCGGAAATATACGTGATCGAACATGGAAAGGTTATTTACTGCACTTGTAGTGTATTTTTGTTGACAAACTTACGCAGCCATTACGCGCTAGGTAGGTATGTAGATAGATACATCGTAACCTTTTTCGACAAACTTTTTGAATTAGGCGATGACCAGAGCTGGAGATGACTTGCGTCCTCTAGCCATATTAATATATATGTTGTGCTGTTTTTGTGAGTAAGGTTTAAATTTTCAAATATGAATTCAAAATAATAGGTATATAAATTCAATTAAATTAAAATGTTGCTTTTATTAGTGTGTATTGATAACGTAACGTAGAAACGGGTTTGAAAAAGGACCAAAAAAAAGTCGCAAACGTCGTCGTCATATGGTGATCGTCATCAGCGTCAAGTTTCGTTTCACTTGTTGGCGACAATTTGACGCTTGTGAGCTGCTCGACTGAATGAACTGCAATACGGAGCTGTGTTGTGCTTCGAGGACCAGCCTGATCTTATTCGCAAGTTTCCCCGGAACCCCGTGTTGTGTCCGGCAACTTTCATCTTCGCGTGTGTGCTTAGCAGGCGCTTTCAAACATCGGTTGGCCGAGACCGTACCACTGCCTGCGACGCTCGAGTTCATTTTCGGTTTTCTCGCTGATCTTGCATTCCACGACTCCCTTCTCATAATCCGCGCACTCAGAAAGGTTCTACAGTTTCGCGGTTGTGTTCTTTGTGACCCTTCCTTTTTTCAGAGGTTGCTTTATGGTTGCAGTTACCTTTCCACTTACTTGAGCGGCGGGGTCCGTATCTGCACCTCTGAATGAAAAGTCTCGTCTAAAAGCTGGTTCCGCAAACGCGATTTATCTACTTAAGTTTTTGTGTATATTCTTGAGGTGTCTGTTGAGTGTGTTTCAGTATGTCTAGCCCTTACCTTTCCATTTTGAATCCTTGGATAACGCTTGAAATGGGATTGCCCGTTGTTGGCATTACACGTAAATTGTTCACATTAAAACCAGCTTGCTTGGAATATTTTGTTGTCTAATGAAGAAAATTATCTTCACTGTGTTCAGTAGAAACAAAAACAAAAAAAGAAACGCCCTTGTGCCGTTCTTTCTGTTACCTTTTAAACAAATTTATTATATGAGATTTTGTCACACACACCAAGCATTTCTGCTCAAGTTTACGCTGGTTTTAGGTTGGACACCCACGAGCCAGTGTTTATATGTCATAGTCTACACAATGATTGTGGTTCTTATGCCAACGTTTCAACTTGTTGAGTACAAAGCGAGCGTGTTTATCACAATATCCACCATAAGGAAGGTAACAAGGTTGCCTTCCTTATGATGAAATTCAACTTGCTTTGCGATTTTGTAATAATTTAAAAAATAAGGCGCCTTATGCACTTGCCATGGCAAGTGCATAAGGCACCTTATTTTTAAAATTATAGATCTGTGGCTGCTGTGCACATACATGCTTAACACCTATTATTTGAAATCTCATATTAGCAACACGGTATTAATGTTGACACGAGAGGGCGCCCATTGAGACGTTGCTCATTGAAGTCTCGGTCTGAGCCTTATTCAGCTATAAATTGCTATAAATTAGGCATTATTTCGTTTCAGTATAAAAAATGCGATAATGGAATGTTTAAAATTTTTTCGTTTTCCTCAGAACGTAAAAGGTCATTCATTATGTAGAGGTGAAAAGACCACCACATGTTGCTCTTTTCACCCGGTTGATCTTCGGCGACAATTGACATTTTCTATTTTTCCAGGTTCCATTTGCTGGAAAAACTCCCGGACAGTAGACTGAAGTTGTGAAGCCTCAAGGTCAAGCATCTCCTCCAGATCGATGCATCGTCTAATCAGCAACAAGGTCTTCCGCTGTTGGGCCTTCATCGAGGAAGATCCTTTATGTGTTTTGCTCATGGGCGTAAACAATGCTGGTGGCATGTGTCGCCTCTTTTGATTCATACCCCCTGAGAAACATTTTTTCGGTCCTTTATAAATTATTGATTGTTTGTTTTTAACCTTGCAATACTAAAAAAGAGCTGATAAAAAAAAACAAAAAAACTCAAAAGGTTTTGCAAGCAGTTTTTCAGTCGATTGTGTTATTGTTGACGGGACCTTATGTGATGTGCCTCTGATAGTGTTTTCATATTGCCATGCAGACCCTACCAGACATACAATACAATACATAAGGTGAAATTTTACCGAACGCCGAGGCCCTTCGCATACATACGAACTGTGCTAACGACGTCTAAATGTCGACTCTTCGAACGTCTCGCATTGATGAAGTGCTAGGGGCATTTAAAGTATTAGTCGGAGCTGCGTCACTATCGCAGGATTTCAAACGGAAGCCCATCTCATTTATCGGAGACGTGAGAGACGTGCCGTGCTCACGTCCGGCTCTTCGTCCGTTCCCGACTCGCCCAGGAACGCAAGGCATGAAAACAATTTATGCACCGTGCCATTCTTTTTGAGGTTCGGTGCAGCTCTACGGAGTTTAAGGCCAGTTCACAGATTTGCATTCTAGTGCAATCGACTGCGTCACAATCGCTTGTGGGTGCTTACAACGAGAGAACTCGTTTCCGCCTTTCATTGTATAGCTTCGGTACACTTCTGATATGTTTTACGCATCATGCTTTTGTCGTGTGCTCAAAATAATTCCAACAACGTTATAAGTGACCTTTTCTCGTAGATAGTTCATAGATTTGATCTTGCCAATACTGCAGAACCTTTGATTTGGTGAAAGGTTAGGAGCCCAGTGGAAGCTCCGCCTCCAACATGCGGTTGTTGCCTTCCGCCGGGCCTTGGCTGTGTGTGCGACGAAGTGTCATCAAAGGCAGTTAGCTTATACTCAAGATGGAGCGTCTATTAGGTGCTGAACCTGTCACCGATAGCTATACACAGATCAGAAGGGTTCATAAGAGGTCACAAGCAGTTACGGCGTAATCACACTCAAACGCAGATGTTCGAACAAGCCTTTAGACGGAGATGCATGTTTCGTTCCGGTCCGTTTTGCCATATCGGTGCATCCTCTCCTTTCTGGCGGCGCCATGACAGGAACCCAGCGCGTGCCTTCCCCGGACAAGGCGATGGTGAAGCGGGAGCCTCCCGACTGGGGCAAGCCCGAGGTGAGCTGCGCCACGTGCGGCATGGAGCTGATCACTGAGGACCAGCTTCTGAGGCACCGCTGTAATGTCATCCGCGGCCGCTACAGCTGCTCCTACTGCCGCTTTTCCTGCAACGACCGCCTGGAGCACACCCTGCACCACTCGCAACACCTCAGGGAGAGGCCTTTCAGGTGAGAGGGTCTTCTGGGCAGCTGGGAACGGGTGCTTCGGGCAAGTAGTGATCTGTAACCACCCCACCACCCCGTAATGAGTTGGACATGCACCAACACACCCTCATGCTGAGTTCGACACTTCCCAATGCACCCCCAGGTTGAGTTCGACACCCCAGCACACCCAAGCTGAACTCGACACTGACCCCCTCTCAACACACTTGAGGCTGTCTGACAGCCCCACCACACCCCAGGACAAGTTTGACATCCCCTCTCCCCCCCCACTATATCCCCAAGGTAAATCTGATACTCCCCCCCTCTCCCGAGTACCCCAGACTGAGTCTTGCCTTCCCCCCCAACACCTCCATGCTGTGTCTGACACCCGGCCCTGTCACTCCTCCATGCCGAATCTGGCACCCTAAGACACCCCCAGGCTGAATTTGACACTGCACTACTCAAGACACACCCTTCTCCAACACACCCCCTACCTGAGTCTGACAACCACAACACACCCCCAGCCTAAATCTGACCCCCCCCCCCCCCCCCGTACACACCCCAGGCTGGGTTTGGCATAGTCCCCCACAACACACCCCCATGCTGAGTTCACCCCCAACACACTATCGTGCTGTGTCTGGCACCCCATCGACCCCGAGGCTAGATCGGGTACTACACTCCCCACAGGACACTTGCCAGTCTAAGCCTGATACCCTCCCTCAACACAACCCCAGTCCGGGTCAGATGCCCCCAACCCAACCCTAGGTTAAGCCCGACACTCCCCAACACACCCACAGGCTGAGCCTAACACCCCCAGGCTGAGTTCGACACTCCCAACACACTGCCAGGCTGAGTTTGATATTGTCCCCCCCCCCCCCCCCCCCCTTTAACACACACCCAGTCTGAGTATGATACCCACAACACACCTTCAAGCTGAGTTCAACAAACCCCACACTGAGTTCGACACCTCCAGCCTGAATCTGACACTTCTCCCCAGCACACTCCCCAGGCTGGGTCTGGCATGCTGCCCCCAACACACCCCATCCTGAGTCCATCACCCCCAACACAGCCCCAAGCTCAGTCCGACACCGTCCCAACATACCCCCAAGCTGAATATGACACTGCAGTCCCCCAACACACAGTCTGACACCCTCCCCCAATCAAACCCCAGGCTGAGATTGACATCCCATCATACCTCCATGCTGAGTCTGACACCCGATACACCCCCAGGCTGAATCCAACACTGCACGCCCCCCAAGACACTTCTCGACCTAAGCCTGTCACCCTCCCCCAACGCAACCCTAGGCTGAGTCTGACACCCCCCACACCCCCCAGGCTGAGTCTGATGCCTCCTGCAGACCCTCAGGCTGAGTTTGACAACATCCCAGCATACCCCCAAGCTGAATCCTACACTGCACATCCCCTATACACACTCCAGCCTATGTCTGACACCCTTCCCCACTACAACCCCAGGCTGAGTTCGACACCCCCCCATCACACCCCTAGGCTGAGTTACCCAACATACCCCTAGGCATAGTCCAGTGCCCCCGACACCTCCCCCCCCCCCCCCCCCCAAGCTGAGTCTGACTCTCCCAAGCTGAATTTGACATTACCCAACACCTGCCGCCCCCCAACACACCCCGATACTGAGTTCAACACACCCCCAGGTTAAGTCCAACACCCCCAACACATTTCTAGGCTGAGTCCAACGCCCCCCCATGCACCGAGTTTGACACCCCCTCCTCAACACCTCTCTAGGCTGAGTCCGACATCCCCCTACACACCCCCAGGCTCATTCCAACACTGTACCCTCCAGAGATGGCAGTAGTGACATTTCTGTAACATACGTAATTACAATAATTAAATTACTTTTTGTGTGATGAGTAATGTAATGAGTTCTTTTAGGTGGTTATTTAAAAAGAATCACTCATTACTTTTGAAATTACTTTTGTCCCAGATAAAAAAATTGTCTGCAAGCTCAAAAAAAAAAAAAAAAAAAAAAAAATTTGCACGATGAAATGTTTTAAAAGAGACATCAGAGCAAATAAACGACGGCCATCTAGGCCCGAAGCCTCGTACGAAGAACTTGACAGACGCATGTAGGCAGGCTGGAAAGGCGAAGGAGAAAAGCTTACGCGTAAAGACATTGTTGGAAGGTCACGGCTCATGAACTCCAGGCAAGACAGATTCACGGCGTCATGTCATCACGATGGTACACTCTGCTTCGTTCATCCCTAAGCTGACGGTGCAGTGGGAGCTACAAGCTCCCCAGAACCGGTCAACCCCCTTTGTTTTGATCAGCTGACACATCCTTTTCTCTGCACGTAGGTATAGGAGAGAGCGTGATTACGTGGCGAGAGATGGACGTGTGACTGTTCCAATGAGCACGTTGCTTCCACCATACTGTCAGCTTAGGAATGAACGGCTTATACGCTACAAGGCGAAGGCACATCACCGCGGTGATGTCAACAGATTTTAAAACCTGAGAGGACAGGACAAATAGATACCCAGCCTTCTTGCTCGTTCGTGAAGCGAGGTCAGACCATGAGCTTCGACCATTGTGAACGACAAACAACCGGAATGAATTCATCAAGGCCCCAGAACGTTTTGTGCATATCCTTGAGTCAGATACCCCGATCACGTCCCCAGGTCGGGTCAGACACCTCCCTCCCCCCAACACACCCCCAGGCTGAGTCCGACACCCCCCCAAACCTACTCACAGAGTGAGTGCGACACTACCTCCAACACACCCCTAACACATCTTAAAGCTGAGTTTGACATCCCGCTACACAGCCTCAGGCTGAGTCTGACACCGCCTTCATAAAACACACTTCCAAAAAAATGGCAAGCGATTTTCGGAAATTTATCAATGAAAAAATGGGGCCCATTTCCTGTTGCTGACATAGACTGTTGCCGACTGTATTTGTGGGTTTCTTCAGCCCCCTTTTTTCACTAGAAATCTCCGTAAATGGCTGATTGCTTTTTTTTTGGATGACGGCAAGCTTTGAAACTTTGTCATCCCGTCTGAACCACATGAAGAAAGAAGAAATAAAACATTTAAGGGGGACAAACACAGACATACACCATTCATATCCTTAAATGTTCATCCCCTTAAAGTATTTATTGTATGTTTTATTACTATGTGTTTCTACCACTTAAAGGAGCTGTGCAACAATTTCAGGGCTTTGCTTAAATAATTGTGGAAGTTGATGCCTGACACTTCTGCAGTGAACTACAGAAAACAGATTTTGCCTGGATACCCTAGTTTTTACTTAAAAAAATGAAAAAGATCCAGGTTTTTGCCGCCTCTCAACTCGTGCATCGTCTTCCGGGTCACGTGCACAGTGACGTCACTAGAGTAGGCGCGGAGTTCCGGAAAAGTTCTCTCTTTAGAGCCATCAGCGAGCAGCGAGAACTCATCCGCTGCCGACCGCGTGACCACCCGTCCTTGCCAGTGTGGCGCTGTCCCCCTCCCCCTCCGGCTTCTGGCGGCTGTTCGCGGTTTTGTGGACCTAGGATAGATGGCGCCACTAAAACTCCGTATAATAAAAGTTTTGTCGATGATAGCAGGGTGTTGACGCATTTATATATATGTTGGAACGACAAGATTTGTAAAAAGAGTTACCTTTTATCGAGCAGGTATTCGCACAACTTGCTATCTTTCTTACAACGACCCAAGTGACGTCACGCCGCTTGTTTCTCATGGCCGCCGCTCGTGGCTGCAGGTCGGGAAATATTCCAAGTTTTGCCTCGCTATTACGCGGCGGAATCGCAACATTGCGATGAAAAGAGGTGTGTTTTCTGCCATTTGTGACACAGTGAACAATATCAAAAGCAGAAAATGCCAATTCCTTCAACGTTAAAATCGTTGCACAGCTCCTTTAAATGTCCTCCTCTTTTTTTCTTTGTGTATAGTCTTCGATGGGCTCCTTGTATCTACCTGGTCCGAACTGCCAGTGCTAAAGTTTGTTGTGGTGAAAAACAACTGTAAAGTTTTTTTTAAAAAATAATAAGTGGCGTTTGGAGTTCTCATTGCTTGTCGTTTGTTTCCTTTGTCACCGAAGCTGTGCGGTGTGCGGGAAGGCGTTTGCCCGCAACAGCGACCGCAATCGGCACGTTAAGATTCACACCGGGGTGAGGCCCTTCCAGTGCGACGTCTGCTCGCGCAAGTTCCGCCAGTCCTGGCATCTGCAGTACCACAGGAGCACCCACGGGGACCTCTGATTCTCTCTCCAGGTTTGTATACGTATTGTACGGGACGTGACGGAGAGCCCGGGTCACGCATGCAAGGTGCTTCTCGAAACACTGAGCAGATTGCTCCTGCAAAATGCACGCATTGCACAAAAAAAAGATTGATGTCGTATGCAGAGCGGAAGTTTGTCTGCTTCCTGCAGAGGGGTTGCGATAATGTCAGAACGCGAATAATTCAGGTCTTGATTACTTTTGAGCAATTAACTTTTTAATTAGTAAATTGAAAGGTATGGTCTCAATGGAGAACCTTTTGGAGCAGCATCGAAAACTACTAAATCAGCACACTTGACAGAAATATATCTCAAAGCATTTTACAACATTCCCCCCCCCCCCCCCCCCCCCTCAAAAGAAAAAACACAAAAAAACTTAATGTGGGCACATTTTGAGGTTTAGGTTTTCTATCAAAATGCATCTCTGTGCGAGCAGTCCCGCTCCCCCACGGCCAGTGCATGCATCTAACATTTGCTGCCACACATTCTTCACGTGACAGAAGTGGACCCAAGAATCAAAGCTTATTCTTGTTGGTTTAGATGTCAGTGTTTCATTTCGCCGGCTCGGTCCACACTTCCTTCCATTCTATCTGGGAGGTGAGGCGGTTCCTAGGCACACATTTCGGCCACAGGTAATAGAGCCATCGATGCAAAGTTGCACTCTGACTCGAAGCTGAAAGCCAGAAACGCGTCCAAATTCAGTGGGTTTTTTTTTGGATGCTGTAAAATGGTTGAAAAGAAGCGCCGAAGGACGGAACAAAGTGGAGAAGGTAACGACGACGTGGAGCG